GGGACTCGATCCCAGGACTCCAGGATCACGACCTGAGCCGAAGGCAGTCTCTTATCCAACTGAGCCACCCAGGCGCCCCGATCTGTTTTTAATTGAGGTGTCATTCACATGCCATAAAATCCACCCTTGTAAATTGTACAGTTTGGTGGCATTTAGTGTTTGCAAAGTTGGGCAACCGTCACCTCTGTCTGGTTCCAGAACATTTTCATTCCCCCCAAAGGAAATTTCCTACCCATTAGAAGTCTCTCCCCCAGCCCCTGGCAGCTACTAACTGGCTTTCTGTCTCTTTGGATTTGTCTGTTCTGGACATTTCATGTCAATGAAATCATACAACATGTGGTCTTTGGTGTCTGGCTTTTTTCACTCACCATCGTGTTTTTAAGATTCTTCCAGGTTCATTCCTTTTTATGGCCAAATAATATTCCACTGTATGGATGGACCATGTTTTGTTGACCATTCATCCGCTGATGGACATTAAGTATTTACACTGGCTATTGTGAGTAACGCTGCTGTGAACATTCATATACACGTCTTTGTGTGAACGTATGTTTTTAATTCTTTCGGGTATAAACTAAGGCGTGGAACCACCAGGTCATATGGTAACTGTTTAATATTTTGAGGAACTGCTGGACTGTTGTTCAAAGCAACCGGGCCATTTTATGGTCCCACCAGCAACAGTGTATCAGAGTTTCAATTTCCCACATCCTTGCCAGCACTCTTTTTGGGAAATATATCTATCTCAGACAAGACATGGCCAACACATGGACCTGGGTTTTCTCCCCAACCGGCTTCTCTGTCTCAGTTAGTTTAAGCTCCATGTGCATCCAATTAAGTAAGCTAGAAACTCGGGACTTAGTCCTGGTTCCTCTTTTTCTCATGCTCCATGGCCCATCCCTTAGAAAGGACCAGGAGCCCTGCCTCCAAGACAGACCCTGAACCCACTGAACCCAGCCAGCACTAGATTTCTCTAGTTAGTGCCACTAAACATGGCTCCTAGGGGCCTCCCTGCTTCCATCCCATCCCTCACAATCCCTTCACCTAGTAGCCAAAGTGACTTTTTTTAAAAAACAGACCCCAGGTCTCTCCCCTACTCAAAGCCCTCCAGAGGTTCCCCTAAGATCAGTCTTTCCAGTCTCATCTTTCCCATCTGGCCTGGGTGGTCAGTCTCCAGTCACACATGCCTGCCTTCTGCTAGTTCCCACCTTGGGGCTTTAGCCTCATCGTGCCTCTGCTGGAGATGCTCTTCCTTCAGATACACAACCAAGTCCTTTCTGCCATTCAGGCTTCCATGTAAATGTCTTCTCGTTCACTTCCCAATCTCTACAGCCCCCAGTCACCTTCTCTCCCATAGTATCTCCATTATTGTGCTGTTTTTTTTTTTTTTCCTTGTGTTTATGTGGCTTACCTGTTAGTTGTCTGACTTCTCCAGGGGGGTGTGAGCTAGGAGAGGGCAGGCTCATTCAGATGAAGGACAGCATTGAAGGACAGATGGAGGACAGCCCTGAAGGACAGGAGGAGCTTGGTAAATGGTTTTCTGAATGAATGAATGAAGAAACCATTATGCTCCCCAAGCCTTGGTTTCTCCAGGTGTGAAATGGGAGCATCTGAGCGAAGGCTCAGGTGTATTGTGATGGTGAGTGAGGACGTGTGGAGCCCTGATGAGCAGGACAGCTTCTTATAGGTGCAAAGCATCAGCATCGTGAGAACCAGGACATCAGAGCAAAAGCCTCTGGTCCCGACTTCGGCTGAAGCAAAGCGTGCTAAATAATAAAGCTCGCCTGAACAACACTTTGTGGATCAGCCTGCATAATAATGCTTTCCCCCCCTCCATGTCTGTGCTGTATCCTCTGCATTTGTCCCTCCAGAGCTACCCTCCACCCTTCGCACCCAGCTCTGCTTCCTCGGAAGCTGTCACAATGGGCTGCCTCAGTTGGCTCCCTTGCCCTTCTGGTACAATGGATTCAACCCTTGGGTGACACCAACAGATCACAGGAGGAAAGCGGTCACAGTATTTATTCTCCAGGAGACCTTGGTCTGATCGTGGTTATGTTCTTCTACTGAAGGCCATGGCTCTTATCTGCCACCCTCTCCTCCAGCAACCACCCTTCTCTAGGTCCCATAACTTCTCCCTCTTCCTGTCCCATTTACTGAATGATGGAAACATCCTCTAGCTGATGCTCTCGCTCTAGGCTGTTCACCATCCTTTAACCTGACCACACCTTTGTCTACAGCACCTTCATTCACTTCCCCCAACTGTGGTGCTTAAGGGGCCCCATGCTCCCCACCAGGTTCTTACCAGCACAGCGTCCACATGATCATACCTTCTAGAGTAAGTATGCCTGCTTGTGATGGTGACATTTATGCTTTTCTTTCTTGCCTTCCTTTTCCAATCTGATATCCCAACCTTCTGCTCTCTGCTCCAAGACTACCCTTTAACCACAGAGGACCAAAATCGCCTAGAAGATTGAAAGATAAAATGTGTTCAGCATCTTGGAAATGAGTGAATGCAGTTATCTCTCCCTTACCCCAGGCTGGATTCAGCCCTTCCTTTTTACTCTCCAGCTACTGCATGCAGGCAGTCAAGATTATTTCCAGCAAATGGAGTTAGAGCAGCCAATCTAATGAGTAGTGTTGAGATTTGGCCTATGCTCTATATTACTTAGGTGTCTAGCATATAAAAGCAGTTCTTTCCTCCAAGTTTGTCTTGAACCTGAGCTTCTTTCGTAATTTTTCAGGATTAAAGGGGTGGGGCCATATTACAGAAGCAATTAGATAACTTTGAAATATGAGAGGGTGTGTGTGTGTGCGCGTGTATTTACGACTTTTTAAAAAAGATTTATTTATTTATTTATTTTAGAGAGAGAGGACGAATCGGGGGAGGGTCAGGGGGAGAGAATCTCAAGCCGACTCCCTGTTGAGCACAGAGCCCTTTTGGGGCTCGATCTCATGACCTATGAAGTCATGACCTGAGCCAAAACCAAGAGTGGAATGCTTAACCAACTGAGCCACCCAGGTGCCCCTATCTGTCCTTTTGTGTCATAGTCATCTTAGTGGGTCTGTGAAGTGGTATCTCATAGTTTGATTTGCATTTCCCTGGCGGCTAATGGACAGGACATCTTTGCATGTGGTCATTGGCCATTTCTGTATCTTCTTTGGAGAAATGTCTATTCAGAACCCTTGTCCGTTTTTAAACTGGGTTTTTAAAAAGTTGAGTTTTAAGAGTTCTTAATATATTCAGTACACTAGACCCTCATCAGATATATGATTTGCAAATTTCTCCCATTCTGTGGGTTGTCTTTTCACTTTCTTGCTGGTGTCATTTGAAACACAAGTTTTTCATTTTGATGAGGTCCAGTTCATCTACTTGGTTTTTACTGTTTGTGCTTTGGTGTCCTTGTCTAACCCAAGGTTAGGAAGATTTATGCCTTTGTTTTCTTCTTCTAAGAGTTTTTAGTTTCAACTCTTACATTTAAGTCTTTGATCCATTTTAATTTTTGTTTTAAGATTTTAAGTAATCTCCACATCCAACATGGGGTTCGAACTCACAACCCTGAGATCAAGAGTCACATGCCATGAGCCAGCCAGGCACTCCAATCTATTTTTTGTATATGGTGTGAGGTGGGGATCTGTATTAGTTTTCCAGTGCTGATGTAACAAATTACCACAGACTTATTGGCTTAAAATAACACCAATTTATTATCCTACAGTCTGAAGGTCAGAAGTCAGAAATGGATCTCACTTGACTAAAATCAAGGCATTCTCTGTTCTAATCCATTGATATGTCTCTCCTTATGCCAATACCACACTGTCTGGATTACTGCAGCTTTGTAGTAAGTTTGAAATCAGGAAGTGTGAGTATTCCAACTTTGTTCTTTTTCAGAATTGTTTTGGCTACTTGGGGCCTCCTCTAATTCCATATTGAATTTTAGGATCAGCTTGTCAATTTCTACAAAAAAGGAAATCTGAATTTTGATAGCAATTGCATTGAATCTGTAGACTCATTTGGGGAGTACTTCCATCTTAACAATATTAAATCTTCCAATCCAAAAACGTAAGATGTCTTCCCATTTATTTGGATCATCTCTTTTTTTTTCTCAGCAAAGTTTTGTAGTTTTCAGTGCACAAGGTTTGCAATTCTTTTATTAAATTCATACTAAGTACCTTCTTCTTCTTTTTTTTTTTTAAAGATTTTATTTATTTATTTATTTGACAGAGAGAGACACAGCGAGAGAGGGAACACAAGCAGGGGGAGTGGGAGAGGGAGAAGCAGGCTTCCCGCAGAGCAGGGAGCCCGATGCGGGGCTCGATCCCAGGTCCCTGGGATCATGACCTGAGCCGAAGGCAGACGCTTAACGACTGAGCCACCCAGGCGCCCCACTAAGTACCTTAATCTTGATGCTATTGTAAATGGACTGTTTCCTTAATTTGTTACTGATTTTAAAGATGTACTACCTATGCATGTCTCCTTGCATTTACTATAGGCTACTGAATTATACCCCCCAGCCCCATAAGTGGCCCAGCTCCCCAGGCCCAGCAGGCCTTCTCTCCTTTCCAGCTTCTCTGCCCATGCTATTCCCTGGAACACCCTTTCTCATCAGCCAAGACCCATTTGCCCCATTCTAGGAGCTTCTCCAGGCAACAGCAAATGTGGAGGCCTCTCTGGAACCGCAGAGAGACACAAGAGATCCCCAGAGAGCATTTGCAGAAGCAATTCAACAAGTATGTTTTCAGGCCCAACTCTGCCCCAGGCTTGATTCAGGGGGCTTTCCAGGCATCAGTGAACAAAACAAACGCTGTCCTCATGTGGCTTTTATTTTAATTAAAGAGGGAAACAACAAAGAGCAACAAGATAAATGTTATAAGGTTCGGGAACTTCAAAGTCCACCAAGAGGTGCCTTCCTCCGGGAAATCTCTCATCTCCTCCCTCCATCCCACCCCGCAATCCCCTCTTGGGGACCCCAGCTCTAGGGTCCGCTCTTCGGCCCCGCCCTGACACCACTAGGCTGAGAGCAATCGCACGGGTTCCGCCCGCTCAAGCCCAGGACAGCGTGCAAAGAATCAATGAGCCCCTTCGGCCCGAAGGCCCGGCCCTGCCGCGACTTCACTCGTGGGACTGCGCATGTGCCAGAGGCGGCCGCCCGAAGCTACTGACAGCCGTGTGGCAGGGCCGGCCTTCGCGCAGGCGCACTGGTGGCTGCCCGGAGCGCTTCCGCCTCCCCGCCGCCGCCGTCGCCATGGCCGCGCCGGCCCCGGGCCTCATCTCGGTCTTCTCGAGCCCGCAGGAGCTGGGCGCGTCGCTAGCGCAACTGGTGGCGCAGCGGGCGGCGTGCTGCCTGGCGGGGGCTCGCGCCCGCTTCGCGCTCGGCCTGTCGGGCGGCAGCCTCGTCTCGATGCTGGCCCGTGAGCTGCCCGCCGCCGCCGCCCCCGCCGGCCCCGCCAGCCTCGCGCGCTGGACCGTGGGCTTCTGCGACGAGCGCCTCGTGCCCTTCGAGCACGCCGAGAGCACGTACGGTCTCTACCGGGTGAGAGCTACGGGGGCCGCCGGGGGTCACGCCGAGAGGGCCGCGCCCACCGCCTGCGCCCGACTACGGGGGCCGCCGGGGGTCATTTCAAGAAGGCCGCGCCCACCTCCTGAACCCCGCCACGGGGGTCGCATAGGGTCACACTCTGCCCTCTGCCACTGCCTGGGAACGGTCTGCTGGGTGCGCTGAACTCCCACCTCCACTGCCACCCGAGTGGGCCGGTAGGGGCCTTGAAGTCTCTTTATGCTTTATCCGGTGGCCAGGTAGAGGGAACAGCCTGGGCGAGGGCGTGGAGGTGAAACAGAGTGGCCCGTTCCAGGGACCTGGGGAAGTTCAGGCGCCCCAGCCTGGTGGCTTGCAAGGCAGAGTTAGGGAAGGGCCAGGCAGGGGGTATCTGGCGTGGAGCCTGGGTCTCAGTTTTCTCGTCTCCAACCTGGACGCCTTCGTGATGATCTACACGCAGCTTTGGGCTCTGATCACCTCCCAGGCTGGGTATCTTTGGCTTGTGGCCTCAGGTCCTATAGAATCAGGGAAACTGAGGCTTGGAGGAGGCGTGGTCTGCCCTGGGGTCCTCCGGCTGCATCTGAGCCAACTCCTCCTGCCTTGGACGGGGAAGACACGCCCAGGGAGGTGTGGAAGGGGCGGGCTTAGCCAGAAGCTTCAGGTTGCTCAGGTTCTGGGTGTGTTGCCTTCTCTTTGCATAGAAGCTTGAGCTGAAGATTTCCTGGTTTGTTGTTGTTTGTTTTGTCATAAGAAGGAAGGTCTACTGATTACCAAGCATTTTATCCACATCATCTCATGTAATTTCACAATAACCTATGAGGTCGGAGCCGTTATTTCCTCCATTTCATAGATGGAGAAACTGGGGCCAGAAGAGGAGAGCTTGTGTGCCAGGTCTCCTCTGATGACCAGCAGGGGAGCCAGGGTTTGAACCGGACCCCCCAGACAGCACCTGGGGCACATCTCAGGGGCAGGGGCCTCCCTTTGTGTCTTCCTCAATAGCTTCATTAAAAACTGGGCTTGCATTTCTTTCTTTTTACCTCGCATGAATTGGAAGAATTTTTTTTTTTTTGAAGAACTCTTTTTTTACTTAGGCAAACTGTACTTACTCAAGTAACAAAATTCTAACAAAACAGTAAAAAAAAAAAAAAAGTTAAAAAAAATGTTGCGGGGATGTTCGTTGTGTGTCCCTGTATCCAGCGCTGGGGACATGGGGGTGCTGGGCAGTTCCCTCATGGGGCTCATAGGGGCATCGGGCACCAACACACAGGGAAATAAATCAGGGAAATCCACTCAGAGCATTCACATAATGCAGTATGGACAAAAGATAATAGTGTGATAGAGAAAGTGCCCTGGGAAGATCCTTCAGGATGGTGAGGGGCAGGGGTGCTTTGAGAGATGATGTTTGAGCTGAGGCCTGCAAGTGTGAGGACCTGGCCAGGGGCAGAGCCGGGGCAGCGGGTATGGCAAAGGCAAACTCGATGCCGTGGGAATAGATGTGGGGCAAAGATTTGCTGCTTCTGCCAGTTCCCCTGTGAGGGGAGTCAAGTGACTCCCCTGCTGCTGCCCTAACAAAGGACCACAAATTGGGTGGCTTGAAACAACAAGAACTTATTTTCTTAGTTCTGGAGGCCAGAGCCTGAAATCCAGGTGTTGGCAAGGCCACACTCCCTCTGTAGGCTCAAGGGGGGGATCCTTGGCCTCTTCCAGCCTCTGGGGCCTCCTGGTGGTCCTTGGCCTCCAATCTCTGTATCTGCCTCTTCATGGCCTTCTCTGATTCTCTCTGTGTCCTCTCCTCATAAGGGTACCAGTCATTGGATTCAGGGCCCACACTACTCTACTATGAAATCAACTAATGATATCTGCAAACACACCCTTCCAGATAAGGTCTCATTCTGAGGTTCTTGGTGGACATGAATTTGGGGGGCCACAAGTCAACCCAGTATAGGAACACACGGTTGCTTCTATCCTCAAGACGGATCCGGTGCACCTTGGGGCTCTCAGCGGGAGTGTTCTCCTGCTCACCCTGTGTGCTCTATGCATCTTCTGCTGCACAGGCCAGGGCTTCGTCTGGGCTGGGAGGATTAGCTGGGGCTACCTCCTTCCTGGCAATGGTTCCTCAATGCCCGAGGGATGTTAAGAGAGAATCAACCAGCAGTTCCATTTCTAGGAAACTGCCTGATTGACACTCCAGCCCCTGGCTCTCTGGCAGGAGGCCAGGTGGAGGAGGAGGTCATGGCTCTGAGCCTTTAGGGGAAGGGCAGCTAAGGAGAGGATCATGTGACAGAACTGGGCACTGAGATTCCCCACTGGCTTTGCTCAATGTAATCCCTGAGGGTGTGTATCGATGGGGACCTTGGACAAAGCAGGAGGTCTTTCCAACAACAGATCTGACCCTGTCCCTCCTTTGCTCACACACCCTCCTTGACTCCCCATTACCCTCCATACAGAGCTCTTACTCCTCGGGCCAGTGTTCAGGGCAGGCAGCCCTATGTGGTCTGGTGTGTTTACTCCATGTCCCTGTCCCATGCCCCTTTAGAATACGGTATTTTTTGCGGCTTCCTCCTTTTCCTCCATGGCTCAGCTTGGCATTGCCTCCATGGCACAGGATTCCAAGATCCTGTGTGAAGGGAGGCACCAAGGTCGGGGTCACCGGTGTCCCTCCTGGAGCAGATCAAAGGCTCATCTGGGGCGATGAGGGAAAGGGCTAGAGCCCTCCACCTTGCAGGAGGCCTGACTCCAGGTGCTTCCACAGAAATTAAATCCACCTTTCCGAGGCCAGGGTGTGTGCTATATGCTGGGCAGGGATACCCCGTAGTGGCAGCCGGAAGAGAAGTCAGTGCTTACCACCTTCACATGTGGTGCCTCCACGCAGCCGTATGGGGGAGGCGCAGGCTTGGGTGTGGAAGCTCAGAGGAGGTGCTCTGAAGGATGCATAGGAGTTTCCCAGGCAAGGGCAGTGGCTTATGTGTGGGTTGGGGTAGCAAGGTCAGCAGAGCCTCGTGGAGGGCAGAGAGGGGCTGGGTTTTATCCTGAGGTGCAGGGGACCCTGGGGGCTTTGAAACAGGGCTATGGTTATAGCCACACGGGTGCCGGCTAGGGCCAGGAGGCCCCCAATCAGGCTGGACTTGAAAGACTCCCGGTGGAATGCCACTGGGATCCCGACTCACAGAGGAGGTGGGTGTAAGGACGGTCCTGTCCTGGAGGCGTCCTCACCTGGAGAATCCAGGCGGTCACCCATGCAAACCTCGTGCCTCTGGGAGCCGTGTATTGCTGTCGCATGACTTTGTCCCTCCGTCTGCTGCAGACCCACTTGCTCTCCAGGCTGCCCATTCCTGACAGCCAGGTGATCACCATTAACCCCCAGCTGCCTGTGGAGGAGGCGGCCGAGGACTATGCCAAGAAGCTGAGACAGGTAAGTCCCCCAGGGTGGCCCCAGGGAGGCCTCATCCACACGGCGGTGAGGGAGCAGCCCTGCGGGTGGCGCTGCATGATTGTCACCAGCAAAAACTTCCCCCACGGGTGGTTGGCAAATCCTGCCCCACCCTGGACAGATGCCATTGAGGATGCCCCTTCTGAGAGGCCACAGCCCCGCCTTTGGGTCCCTTAGGGTGGCCCAGCTTCTGACCCTCTGGGAGTGGGTCTTGGTTCTCACATCTTGGGGACGTTGTGTCCCCAGACTCTTGGCCAGTCAGACGGGTGAAACGTGGAACCTCATAGAGTCCCTTTCATGCAGGTGAGGCTGAGCGTTGCTCCCTGTGTTACAACCACTTGGGATTCTTTCTCTGACCACTGTCTCTTTGTGCCTTTCGAGTACCCCCCACAACGTTGCAGGACTGTCTTTTCCCCCACCCAGGCCTTCCAAGGGGACTCCATTCCAGTTTTTGACCTGCTAATTCTCGGGGTGGGTCCTGATGGCCACACCTGCTCGCTCTTCCCAGACCACCCCCTCCTGCAGGTGAGTGCACCACACGGGCCTCTGCTGACTGGGGCTTCCAGAGTGAGGGCCACTTTTGGGGGGCCAGGAGTACCCACAGCGGGGTTTGAGTCAGCCTCTGCCAGTTGGCTGGGCTTAACCCTTTGGAGCCTTAGTTCACCTATCTTAAAATGAGGGTTTAAATCAAGTACCACAGGACCGGTAGGAGGGCATGGAATGATGGATGGACCATGCCAGGTGTGTGTGAATGCTCGAGAAGCTGAAGGGACCTTGTCCTTCTGTCTCCATCCTGGGCTTCCCTCCCCCAGGAGCGGGAGAAGATCGTAGCCCCCATCAGTGACTCCCCAAAGCCACCACCACAGCGCGTGACCCTCACACTTCCTGTGCTGAATGCGGCCCGAACCGTCATCTTCGTGGCAACTGGAGAAGGCAAGGCAGCTGTCCTGAAGGTAAGGGCCGAGGGCCCTATTCCCAAGAAGATCAAAGGCATGTGGGCCCAGGGATGGAATATGACCCCAGATATTACTGTGCTGGAAGCACCAGGTCCCAAGGTACTTGAGTAATTCTTGGGCTGAAGGGGAGATGGAAACTATAACTACAGGCTAGTTAGGAATAAACAATAACAAAATCAAATTGATGAGATGAGGCCAAAGCTGCACTCAGGGGTAAATTTATAGCTTTGAAAAGGCAGTTTTAAAAAGTATTAAATAGGGGCGCCTGGCTGGCTCAGTTGGTAGAGCATGTGACTCTTGATCTCAGAGGTGTAAGTTCAAAGCCCCACATTGGATGTAGAGGTTACTTAATTCTTTTAAAAAAATTATTAAATAAAAAAATAGTTAAAATAAATAAATTGAGCACCTTAGACTTAAGAAAAAGAACAATACCATAAATCTAGAAAAAGTCAGTGGAAGGAATACATGACATTAAAATCAGAAATTAATGAGTTGGTTAAGGGACACTTGGGTGACTCAGGGTTACGTGTCTGACTCTTGGTTTTGGCTGGGGTGGTGATCTCGTGGTTGTGAGATTGAGCCCCATGTCTGTCTGTGCGCTCAGTGCAGAGTCTGCTTTGGATTCTCTTTCCCTCTCCCTCTGCTTCTCCCCCCACCCCCACCCCCCAGCTCGTGCTCTCTCTCTCTCTAAAATAAAAAAAAAAATACAATCTTAAAAAAAAAATTAATTGAATTGGTTAATATTCTTAAAAGCTTAATGGTAATAGGTCCCAAAGATAGACCCCTGGCAAAATTAATCAGGGAGGAAAATTATATAGTAGGAATAAGTAAAAAAGGAGGAATAAGAAAAAAAAGAGACAGACATAGTATTTTAGGAAACTATAGAATAAATAAGATATTAAAAGTAAACTAAATCGGGGCGCCTGGGTGGCTCAGTCGTTAAGCGTCTGCCTTCGGCTCAGGTCATGATCCCAGGGTCCTGGGATCGAGCCCTGCATCGGGCTCCCTCCTCCGCGGAAGCCTGCTTCCCCCTCTCCCACTCCCCCTACTTGTGTTCCCTCTCTTGCTGTGTCTCTCTCTGTCAAATAAATAAATAAAATCTTTAAAAAAATAAAAATAAATAAAAAAAATAAAAGTAAACTAAATAATAAAAAAGGTATTTTAATTGCCATCGTTGAAAAAGACCAACTATGGAAGAAACTGGCAATATTTTTAGAAAATTAACAAATAATAATTCGTCCTCCCAAACTGTTGAGTCCAGATGTCCTCACGGGGTGGCTTGGTGTTGGGGTTAAGGGTACAGACTGTAAAGAATCCAGCAGACCAGCGTGCCTGCCGGTGATGCCCAGCATGGCCTTGGGCAGCCACTTCAGTCCCCCCGCAAGCCTCAACTTTCCCATCTGCAAGGTGGGTTGGGAGGGCTCCTCCCTGTGGACCTCCTGAGGGTCAGTCCAGGCAGTTTTAGCTCAGAGTACACTCATGTGAGGCCACCCAAGCCTCAGCTTCTCCAACTGTAAAATGGGGGTGGGAATAGAGGTGACCTCACAGGGCTGTAAATGACAGAGTGCATGGGGCAGGCCCAGCTATCAGATAGCGGTATTTATGATTCCCGCCGATCGTGAGGTCACATCAAAGGATCAGCACGCCGCAGCCCGCGGGACCAAATCCTACCAGCTAAGAAGGATTTGAAAGCGGATGGGGAAAAAAAAAAAAAAAGCAAAAGCAGAATATTCTCTGACCTGTGAAAATTCTACAAAAATTCGGATTGCAGTGTCCGTAAATACAGCTTCACAGGAACAGGCTGTGCCCATTTGTCGATGTGGCATTCGCTGCTGCTTTTGCTGTGTAACAGCAGGGCTGAGCGGTTGTGACAAAGACAAGGTGTGATCTGCAGAGCGCAGGAGTGACTCCGGTCCGTGCAGGGCGGGTGCTGACGCCCCTGTTCGGCGGCGGTCACGGATGATAGAGAAGGAAGGGACCTGCTGATTGTTTGAAGCTAAGACAGCTGGAAGGGCAACATCACGTCTTGAGAGGAGGACAGTCTTGTCCGTGGGGGGACCCGGGAGCTCTGAGGGGTGCTGGGGCTGCTGGTGGGGCCTCACGCTCCTGCCCTTTCTTCTACGCAGCGCATTTTAGAGGACAAGGAGGAGAACCCGCTCCCCGCCGCCCTGGTCCAGCCCCACACTGGGAAACTTTGCTGGTTCCTGGACGAGGCAGCGGCCGGACTCCTGACTGTGCCCTTTGAGAAGCATTCCACGTTGTAGCTGGCCCTAGGGACACCGCGGCGGGGACCGCAAATGACCCTCATGGGCCGGGACCTTCCTGGGCTGGGGCCCGCTGCCACCACCGCTCCAGGCTTCATTTTCAAAAAGCTGTGTGGTGCCACGGGAAGGCTGCAGGGTCCGGCCGCCAGCCCCGTGCCCCCGGGGTGCTCAGCCCACCGGCCATGGCTCTGCGTGACCAGATATTAAAGGGAACATTTGCTTGAAGTCTCCACTGTCTCGTGGTCCTTGGTGGGCGGCAGAAGCAGGGATGCCCAGGCTGAGCGTGTGACCGGAAGCCCTTGGCCCAGCGAGGGGGAGGGCAGGGATGCGGCGCCCTGGATGAGTTTCCCGGGGCTGCCGGAGCAAAGGGCCACAAAATTTATGGTCGCCCAGTTCGGGAGGTCAGAAGTCTGAAATCAAGGTGTCCACAGGGTTGGGTCCTCCTGGAGGCTCTGAGGGAGAATCCGTCCCGTGCCTCTCTTCGGGTGTTTGGTGGCTGCCAGCTCCCCTCGGCCGTCCTTGGCTTGTAGACACGTCGCTCCAGTCGCTGCCACTCTTGTCACGTGTCCCTCTCCCCTGTGTCTCTCTGTGTGTGTCCTCTCCCGTTTTAGTAAGGACACCTACCAGTGGACATCGGACAGCCCTAAATCCGGGATGAACTCTTCTCAAGATCCTTAAGAATTACAACTGCAAGTAAGGTCACAATCGGAGGTTCCAGGGGACATATCCTCCGTGTGTGTGTGTTCGTGAGAAAACGTAACAGAATTTACCATCTGAACCACTTCTAAGTGTCCAGTTTAGCGGTGTTAAGTACGTTCTCCCTGTTGTGCAGCCGTCACTGCCGTCCATCCCCAGAACTCTTGGAAACCTGAAACTCTACACCCATTGAACAGCTCCCCATTCTCCCTTTCCCCAGCCCCCGGCACCCACAATTCCACTATCTCTCTGCATCTGACTACTCCTATACGTGGCACCTCCTATACGTGGCATCATACAATGTCTGTCCGTCCGCGGCCGGCGTCTTTCACTCAGCGTAACATCCTCCAGGTTCATCCGTGTTGGAATCTGGGTCAGAATCTCCTTCCTCTTGAGGGCTGAAGAATATTCCAGTGTATGCACATGCCCCTGTTTTTCCCTCCATCCGTCAGCAGACACTTGGGTGCCTCCCACACTTCGCTTATTGTGATAGAGCTGCTGGGAACAGACGGGCAGATATCTCGAGACCCTGCTTTCGGTTCTTTCGGGGATATTCCTAGAAGTGGAATGGCTGATGCATATGGTGATTCTACGTTTACGTTTTGAGGAACCCTCATACTGTTTTCCACAGCGGCTGCACCATCGCAGCAGGGCACAAGGGTTCCAGTTTCTTCCCATCCTCACCAACACGTGTTTTGGTTCTCTTGATAGTAGCCCGTGGACATATCCTTTTGGGGAACACCATTCAGCCCACTACACATGTAACTGAGCTCTCCCTGCACACACAGGGCCAGTGACAGCCTCTGTGTCCCGCTCTGCTGCAGGCCTTCTCAGAGCCTTGAATATGCCGAGAAGCCCCAGTCAGTGATGTGCCGGCGCTGTAGCGTTTTCCTGGGGTGTGACTGTGCATGGCCCACCCATCAGCCTTGTGGGGGAGGCTGGTGGGTGCATGGGGTCCCTCAGCCATGCTTGAGCTTTGCCAAGTTTGGAGGCTGGGGGCATCCTGCAGAGGCACCTGATCAGGCTGTGGGGGTTGAAACCCCGAAGCCAAAACCACAGAAAGTGAAGTTTCCTTCAACATCTTGTCTGGGTCTGTCGCTCAGATGTGAGAGTGAGGAAGTGGGACAGGGCCAGGGTGGAAACATGAAGAAAAGCAGAGAAAGCACCCCAGCCACAGGCTTAGGCAACAGCAGGTGGCCATGACCCCAGTGTTTCAGGAGGGGGGTGCCAAGAAGCAGAGGGAAGTGATGAGACAGACATGGGGACCCCATGTGGGGGGCCTCTGGGACGTGTTACCTCTCCAACCCTCTCCCTGTAGCCGCAGATCTCCCTGCTCCAGACCTGCTTGTGTCTGCCCCTCACTAACCTCCCTACCTTGCGCTGTACTGGAACCTGTCAAACACATTCCCACCTCAGGGCCTTTGTGTGTGCTGTGCCCACGACCCAGTATTCTTTTTTTCTCCAGCTTTTTGCACAGCGTCGCCCTCACTTGCTTTGGGTCGCGGTGCAACATCACCTCCCCAATCCCACTCCACCCCTGGTACTTTCTACCTCTTCCTGTTCTATTTTTCTTTCTTAACTCTATCATTATCTGACAGTTTTGTTGGTGTGCCAACTGATGGTCCATGGGAGCTGGACCACGGTCAGTTTTGCCCACTTCTGCATCCCTGGCACATAGTTCAAGGATGACACTCAGGCTGGCAAGGAGTGATGTTTGTTGAGAGGAGAAATGAATCCTGGGGCATGGGTGAGGATTACAGTCAGATGTTCCTGGTGACTTAAACAAAATGGAGGGTTAGCTCTTTTTCTGGAGGGAGGACACCCAGGGTTGGTGGAGCAATGTCATGAGAATGGGGAGCTGTTTAATGGGTGTAGAGTTTCAGATTTCCAAGAGTTCTGGGGATGACGGACCCCCAGTTCCTACATCATAGTTGTGCCATTGTCACTTTGTGGTTTTACCTCATGGTCCAAGGTGGACTGCACATGCTCCAGCCATCACATCCACATTCCGGCCACTGGAACACAACACTCCCCTCATCTGAAAGCCTGTGAGACTCCCATTTGATCATATTTTCAGCCTGGAACACAGATTCTGCTCCTTCCCTCCCTTCCTTCCTTCACCCAACTGAGGGCTGCTCTCTCCCAGCCACTGGAAAAACAGGTGAAGGGGTAGGGAGATCCAACTAGCCTGATCCAGTCCGGAGCTATATGCATTGATTGAGAACAGGCTGACAAAACAGGAACACAAGGGACGCATCGCACCAGTCCATGGCACACCAACAGCCCCCCACCTTCTCCCCCTGCCCCAGCACTGACCCCAGGAACTGGGGGTGTCTGTCCAGCTCTGCCTCCCCAGTCTGAGGTTGCTGGAGGCTGCTGGGTCAGTGCTGGATCCTCTCAGAACCCAGCATCACCCATCAGGGGGTAGGCACAGTGGAAGTGGGAACCAGGATTTAGACGCCCCATTCCTGACCATCCCCCTTCTCTGCCCCACATACCAACTGCTGCCAGTCCTGCCTGGTGTTGGCCCTGCATATCCCTCCTCCAAAGCTAGGATTCTAGTCTTCCATACCCCTAACCCACCCCTGGGTCTGCCCGGGCAGCCCCTGCAGAAACCAGCAGTTCTGAAGGCCTTGGCCCCAGGGGAACCAGGAGGACGCAGGTGCAGGGTGGGGCAGGGCAGGGTAGGAGTGGGGCGGGCATTCCCTCCCACCCCCGACACACACATTCACACAGGGGCCATGCTCTGGCTTCCCAGGCAGCTGGTCTCAGCGGCATCCAAGCTCCTCACCAGTTGCCTGGCTTCCAGGGTGCCCCTGAACCCAGAAACGTGGGGGCTGTGGGAGGGGAGGGAGTGTCTGCTTTGCTCTTGAGGGAGCCCCTAGAGACGGCAGCAGGATGGGTGGGCGGCCCTCGAGCCCCCTGGACAAGCGGCAGCAGCAGCACCTGAGGGGTGAGCTGGCATGGGGTGGGGTGGGAGTGGGGCAGGGGGGGGTTCAGGGCTAAGGTTGTCAGACACTGTGTCTGACAGTAATAGGATGCCCTACTAATGTGAATTCCAGATAAGTGATGAATATTCTTGTTTTGTATAAGTATGTCCCAAATTTTGCATGGGAGCATACTTATGTTAAAAAATGACACCTAATTTATCTGGAATTCACAGTTAATTGGTGTCCTGTATTTTTAATTGGTAAATCTGGTAACCCTATTCAGGGTATGGGTTCAGGATGAGGGCGAGGGACCAGGTGAGAGGTGGCTCAGCCAGATCTCCTGGGGTGATTTTCCTAGGTGGGAAGGGACCAGCAGGGGGAAACAGGCTCAGTTTCTGATTCGAGACTAAAAGGGGGCTGGTGGCTTTACATGGTTGAGCACCTACTATGTGCTGGTTACTGGGGACACAATGGGGTTTGAGAATGGTTCCACCCTTCCTGGGTTCATGATCTAGAGCAGGAAAGAAGATCAAGTTATCATTACAAGAATGGCAGTTGACTAAGCACGGGGGAAAACCCGTAGGTTCCTCAAGTCGGGGGAAGAAGAAGGGGTGGGTAATTGCCCACTGAGGAGATAATGGTCAAGCCAGGGCTGGAGGGTTGTGATGGAGTTGGTGGGTGGGAGATGTGGGAAAAGCATCCTAGATAGGGGGAACAGCATGTCCACAGGCATGTGGCGTGTCTTGCAAACACTCACACCCAGACCATCCAAGTTCGCACCATAGCCCTGCCTTCAATCTCTGTGTGACCTTGGGTGAATGACTTCGTCTCTCTAGGTCTCATTCTCTTATCTGTAAAACAGGAATAGCAACAATGCCTACCTCATGGAACCATTGTGAAGATTCAGTAAATTACTCTATGCCATGTTGTTGTTTTTTTTCCCTATAGGTGCTTAAACAAGATATTTATTTCTCTTGCCTATAGAGAGGTACAGTGGCAGGAAACCTGGTAAAAGTTAGACACCTGAACTCCTTCCACATCATGGTTCTACCATGTGTGGCTTCTGTGCCTAAGGCCACCTCGTGGCGCATAATGACTGCTGAAGCTCCAGCCATTGGGTCCACATTCCAGGCAGCAGGATGGATTTATGTCTTAGATACAGCCAAGTGCACACATCTTAGGGGAACAGCTTGAAGGACTTTAACCCTTGTGTGATCACTTCCTATCAGGATGCAGAAAGTTCTCTGGTGCTAGGGTGAGGCTTTTAAAAGATTTTGAAACTCTCCCCAGGGAAGGGGCCAGAGGAAACTTGGGTGGGATGGATCAGTTCATTATCTTGATCGTGGTGATAGTTTCTTGGGTGTGTAAAGGTGTCAGATTTCATCAGATTGTATGCTTTACGCAATTAAAGTTTATTGTGCATCAGTTACAAATTAAGCCTGAGTCACTTAATTCCCCCGCCCCCTGCCCCCACGTGGATAGAAACAGTCTGGACGGTGAGGGGAATTTAGAGCACGTCTTGTTGGGCACCTTTGGGGCGATGGCGGGAGCTCACATGGGGGTCTCTCTGCCTGTTCTGCCCTCCCCAGGCAGGTCTCCGGGGCCTGATTCCACCACCTTACTGTCCCCTTGCCCCTGCAGGCCAGGTGGACACCCTGCTGAGGAACTTCCTGCCCTGCTACCGCGGGCAGCTGGGAGCCTCTGTCCTGCGACAGATCTCCCGCGAGCTGGAGTCCCGGGAGCCAGCCGGATGCCAGCTGATGCGCAGTAAAGTGGGTGCCGCAAAGGGAGGGGGGCTGAGTGAGGGAAGCTGGGGGGGCGACTTTGGTTCAGTTGGGGGCCTCCTTCCACCTTGACCCTAGGGGGCGCCAAGACCTGAGGAGACTGTTTAAAAATTCATTCTTTGAACAAACATTCCCTGGGCACCTACTGCAGACCATGCCCTAGGCTAGACACCGGCGGCGGGGGGGGGAGGGGGGCGGGGGGGCACAGCAGTGGTGGTCGAAGATCCTGCTCTGCACCCCCCTCCAGGCTCACAGTCTGTTGGGGGGAGAAATGAGCAAGCAAGTTAACAGGTCATGATGCAGGATGACTTCTGATAGATGCTATGAAGACAAGATGAAAGGCAGTGTTGAGGGGCAGGGGGTTGGGGTTCAGGGAGGGCCCCTCTGAGCTGAGATGTAACGAATGAGAAGGAACCAGATCTGGAATCCAGAGTGGGAAGGGAATTCTAGGCAGAGGGGACAGCCCATGCAAAAGCATGCCCATTGGACCCTCAAACCTTTGCACATGTGGGGCCCTCTGCCTGGTGCTCTCTTCCTGTTCTTCCTCATGCTCCAGCCACGCTTCTTCCAAGAAGCCTTCCTTGATCACCACAGCCCCTTCCTGGTTTGGGTGCTCCCTCTGGGATCCCCATCCCACTGCTTTTCCGGGAAGCCTTGGGTCACACATCTGCCTCCCTCACTTGTCTGCCCTGTGAGGGCAGGGGCCAGGTCTGTCCCCCTCCCCCTCCCCCATATCCCTTGTGCTCACCTGGTGCCTGCACAGAGTAGGTGCTCAAGAAGAGTTTATCGATGGAACTTAAGAGTGTGGAGCTGCCTGGCTCAGCTCCAGATGTCTCCTGAGCCAACAAATGGCTCCACGTGCCCCGTACGACTCCCCCAGTCCTCACCAGCCTGCGAAATGAGTCTTCGACCAGTGAGGAAACTGAGGCACAGAGAGGTAAGGTGACCTGCCTGAGGTCACCCTGCCAGGAAGAGGCAAGGCATGATTTGAACCTGGAGTCCACACTGGTTACTGGACCCTGGGTCCCTGCCCCAGTCAAGGGCTCTCAGTCTTCCCATCTTTCTCAGATGCTTCTTTTCCCAGTTGTGCCTGACCTGGGCTGGAGGCTTCCCCCACCCTGTGGACACAGAGCCTTCTTCTTCTTTTTTTTTTTTTTTAAAGATTTTATTTATTTATTTGAGAGAGAGAGAGAGAAACAGCATGAGAGGGGATAGGGTCAGAGGGAGAAGCAGGCTCCCTGCTGAGCTGGGAGCCCGATGCGGGACTCGATCCCAGGACTCCGGGATCATGACCCGAGTCGAAGGCAGTCGCTTAACCAACTGAGCCACCCAGGCGCCCCCACAGAGCCTTCTTTCACCTGGGGCTCTCCCTGTCATGCTTGGGGCATCACAGGACCCCAGGTGTCGTCCCACCTGCACCTTTTGCCACCTGTAGGTTCTGGCCACCTGGGCCCCGGGCACAGTTGACATCGGGGTTCAAGCAGGGTGGGGGATTTCCCCTTGCTTCAGTTTGAACATTTTATCATATACTTATTTTATATATCATTTCTATAACAATGTTTTTTTAAATTTTTCAAGATTTTATTTATTTATTTGACAGAGAGAGACACAGCAAGAGAGGGAACACAAGCAGGGGGAGTGGGAGAGGGAGAAGCAGGCTTCCCACCGGAGCAGGGAGCCCAATGTGGGGCTCGATCCCAGGACCCTTGGGACCATGACCTGAGCCGAAGGCAGACGCTTAATGACTGAGCCACCCAGGCGCCCCTATAACAATGGTTTTTTTAAGGATTTTATTTTATTTTTTAAGTTTTTAAAATTTTTTATCTGTTTATTTGAGAGAGAGACAGAGACAGAGATAGCGAGAGAGGTGGGAAGAGAGAGAGAGCAAGAGAACTGAGCAGGGAGCCAGACACGGGCTCAATCCCAGGACCCTGGGATCATGACCTGAGCCGAAGACAGACGCTTAACCGACTGAGCCACCCAGGCGCCCCTCTATAACAATGTTCTAACAATATTATTATGAAAAATCTCAGGCCTCAGAGAAAGTTTGGAGAATCATTCAACAAACACCGGAGTTTCTACTGCCCCATCGAAGAATGAAAACATCACAAATACAGTTAATTTTTTCATCGAATATTTATCGAGCACCATCTGTGCACTGGGCCTTGCTCTGGGACCCAGTGATGAAACAAAATGCACACAATTCAGGTGGCCAGGTAGTGGGAAGAGTAACAAAGATAATAAAGTGATGTCCCACCCTGCCCAAGGGAGGGGTCTGTGGACAGAGTACTGGCTGTTTCGAATGAAGGCGAACTACACCTGCTCCACACCCACAAATCCCTCTTGTATCAGTTAGCTAACACCGCGTAACAACACATCACACCGTCTGTGGCTGGAGACAACCCACGTGTATTACCTTACAGTTGCTGTGGGTCAGGAATGTAGACACAGCCTCCCGAGTTCTTTCTTTTGGGGTCTCTCACAGGCTGCAATCAAGATGTTGGTCAGGGGGCGCCTGGGTGGCTCAGTTGGTTAAGCGACTGCCTTCGGCTTAGGTCATGATCCTGGAGTCCCGGGATCGAGTCCCACATCGGGCTCCCTGCTCAGCGGGGGGTCTGCTTCTCCCTCTGCCCTCTTCCCTCTCGTGCTCTCTGTCTCTCATTCTCTCTCTCTCAAATAAATAAATAAAATCTTTAAAAAAAAAAAAGATGTTGGTCAGGGCTGGGGTCTCCTCTGAGGCTCAAGTGGGGAACAGTCCGCTTCCAAGTGGGGGCTGTGGGGGGATTAAATCAGTTTGTATGTGGAAGTGTCACAAACAAGTGCATGCTCTCAGCATGTGAGAAAGAACAGAGGTGACATAGCAACAGCACCTGACCTCCCTGTACTTGGTGGAGGCTGGGATGGATGGAGGGTGCTTTCTAAAGGTGGTCTGGACATGGGGACACTGGTTTGTGCCCCTGACATCCACCGGCCCCTCCTCCTGCAGAAGCTTCCCCGAGTCCGTGAGCACCGAGGGCCTCTGACCCAGTTTGGGGGCCACCCACCTCGGTGGCAGCCAATCTTCTGTGTCCTGCGTGGGGATGGCCGCCTGGAGTGGTTCAGCCACAGGGAGGTAAGCAAGTGTCTCTTGTCTCTTCCATTCTGGCCTCACCATCCCATTTCCCTCAGCATGGGTTTGGGGTCCAGCTCCCAACGTGGTCCTCTTTCCTTTCTTCAGTTACCTGGTATGAATTGAGGGTCCCTATGAGATTGGCCTGGGATGGGTGACCATCTCTTGCTGGGCTGGGTAGGTAAACTGAGGTCCAGGCCAGGAGTAGGGATTTACACATGGTCATCAGCAGAGCTGAGGTTGAAACTGTGAGAGGCCTCTGCGTATCACATCTGGCTGGGAATTTGGGCAGGTCATTTGTGCCCCTGGGACTCAGTTTCCACCTCTGTGAAATGGGATGATGGTGGTCCAGGCCACACGGGGCTGTGAGGATTTAGTGAAATAATCCTCAGACAATATTTGGGACTAGCCTAGCACACAGTGGGTGCTGGGTGCTTGACTACAGGGAGTGAAGGAGAGTGGGTGGAGGACTTCCCTAGCTAGCCCTAAGCCTTCCCCTGATCCCACAGTTGGGACATGGAAGGCACCGTTTAGACCTGTCCCAAGCTGGTTCTCTGGATGCCTTTCATAGGAATATGAAAATGGGGGCCATCCCTTGGGTTCCATGGCCTTGACAGGGTATACTGTCCTGACTTCCCAGCGTGAATATCTCCGCCTATTGGATACTCTCTGCCCAGTCTCCTCAGGTAAGTTTCCTGGGACCTCAAGAGCAGGTTTCTTTAGTTTAGAATTGTTGACAGTTGGGGCCAAATCATTCTTTGCAGGGAGGGGGACACCCTGTGCATTGCAGGATGTTGAACAACATCCCTGGCCTCCACCCACTTGATGGCAGTAGCACCCCGCTCCCCCCCCATGAGAGGTGTGACAATCAAAAATATCTCCAGACATCATCAGGTATCCGCTGGGGGCAGTATTGCCTTTGGGTGAGCACCCCAGCTCTAGCAAGAGAAATATCCACTCTCATCAGAGACAGAAGGAGACTTAGAACATTGGACCAGAATTGAAGTAGCAAGGGTAAAACAATAAAACCTGGGTTCGGTGAGCACATGGGGAGATGGGCACTGGTGGGTGGGCTGCGGTTGAAGGGCTGGGGTGACCAGCGATTTCTGCCTTCCGGATTCCTGCATCTTCCTGTGGTCCCATCTATCACTCTGGAAATCAGAACCAAACACTGAGGATTTAGGACACCCCAAATTAATTAACCAAAAAGAAATTCACTCATTATGTCCCCCCCCAACAATCCCCCCAACAGTCCTCCCAATAATATCTCATTGGTATCACTTTTAAGCCCATTTTATAGGCAGGAAACCCGAGGTTCAGATAGAAAAACTGCGCCCTACACATAGAGCTAGCAAATGATTTGGCGGGGTTTGAATCTGGACCTTGCTGAGCCCCCAGGGCAAGCAGGGCTCAGATCACGTGCCCACTCAGCTGGATTGGTGGTGGCTGCCCAGGCCTCCGGGTTAAGGAGGATCCTGAGGCTGGGAAACAATGCTGGGATGGATTGCTGATGTCTGTCTGCCATGGGCCTACCTCCCTCGGGGACTGAGCTAGAATCAGGAGAGTGCAATTATGAAAGCGTGGTTCATCCTTACTGAGCAACTGCCCACGCTGGGGGCTCCTCTAAGCGTGTCATGGGTGTTTTCTTCTAAGTGAACGAATGATTGTAGAGTGAGTGCGTGAATGAAGACACAATCTCCTCTGCCCGCTTGCAGGAGAGCATACGCAGGAAGAGTCTGACCCCCTCCTGGAAATGCCGGTGAACTTCCCCCTATTCCTGCAGCACCCCTTCCGCCGGCACCTCTGTTTCTCTGCAGCCACGGGAGAAGCGCAGCGAGCCTGGAGGCTAGCCCTACAGGGTGGCATCCGGCTTCGTGGCACAGGTGGGTCCTGGGAAAGGCCAGGCAGCTGTGGGTCTTGGAGTCTGAGGTAAGGTAGCTAGCTGCCCCTGCTGGCCATGGGGTCATCGTCTCCAAGTGTCTAGTTTCTTCACGAAATGGATTGTGGGGGGAGACAGAAGCAACAACTGGCAGTTACAAGTGACCTGGGCTGCAGGGCTGCGCTGGGGACACAGCCTTGTGGCAGCTTAGCCTGGGAGATCAGGGAGGGCTACTCGGAGGAGGGGAGGAAGGGAAGTCAAGCCTGATGTCTGACAAGGATAAGGGGCCAGCTAGGTGAAGAAGGGGAACGGGACCGACACATATGTTGAGCAGGTTGTTGAGTGCACAGATGTACCTATGTGGAGGGGCAGCCCGGGCTGTGACTGTCCACAGCGGATGCTTTTTCCTAAATCGTATTATAAAGGTGCCTTATGGGCGGGTGATGGTCCTGGGGCACCGTGTTCCCTGCAGAGGGCACTGCTTGTGCAAGGGTCAGGAGATGGGGGAGCCTTGGGCGTTCTGGGACCTGGTGAGGAGGTCGAGGGCTTCCTTCCCGGGGCGATAGGGAGCCAGGCGGAGGTGAGAGCAGGGGAGGAGTGGGCTGGCACTGAGGAGCTGCCCCCTCAGTCCTGCAGCGAAGTCAGGCCCCCGCTGCCCGTGCCTTCCTGGACGCCGTAAGACTCTATCGGCGGCACCAAGGCCACTTTGGCGACGACGATGTGACCCTGGGCTCGGACGCCGAGGTCAGTGCCAAGCAAGGCCGTCCCCGGGACCCTCTAGGCCCGCCGCAGCGCTCACGGTCCCCTCTCCCGCAGGTGCTGACCGGGGTGCTGATGCGGGAGCTGCTGCCCGCGCTGCGAGCCCAGACCCTGCCCGGCCTGCGGGGGCCCGGGCGCAACCGTGCCTGGGCCTGGACCGAGGTAGGCGCGGGGTCGCGGGGGTGGGGCCGGGACACGGGGAGGGGGGACCGGACCCGGGGGCCCATCTCCTCCCTCCTCGCCCCTGTCCCCTAAACTCTCTCTGCATCTCTCTGCGTCTCCGTCTCTCTGTTCTCGCACCCCCGCCCCATCTCGGCTCCCTCCCGCGCCTCTGGCCCGTGTGGGGTCCCCTCGGCCGGGCCGGGCAGCTCCTAGATGCAGTGCACGCCGCCGTCCTGGCCCGGGCCTCCGCCGGGCTCCGCGCCTTCCAGCCGGAAAAGGACGAGCTGCTCGCGGTCCTGGAGAAAACCCTCCGGCCCGACGTGGACCAGATACTGCGGCAGCAGGAGCGCTTGGCGGGGAGGCTGCGGCGTGAGCCCAGGGGGCGGGGCCTGGGCGGGCGGGGGCGGGGACGAGAGCCTGAGAGGTGGCCGGCGAACCGGGTGGGTGTAAGGGGTGGGGCCGAGAATCCCGACCCGAGACCCAGCTGGGCAGAGCAGGGGCAGGGGCCGGGGCGGGGTTGGGGGGGGGGAAGGAAGGGGAAGAAAGGGCGGGCGGGCACAAGGGAGGGGTCTCAGTGAGAGTCTGGTCGTGGCCGAGGCTCCAGGATGCGAGACAAGGGCGGGGTCAAGAGGGAGGTCCGGGCGTGGAAGGGCGTTGGGTTAGGAATGGAGAGAGGGACACCCAGTCGGGAGACTGGTGGAGGCACAGGCAGTGACAGACCTGACCCGGGATATCCCGGTCAGATGGCGGAGGCTCCCACTCCGCTCTGTAACCAAGAGAACCGGGTTGGAATCCGGACTCTCTCTCTGGGGCGTGGGACTTGGAGCTGATTGCTGCCGTTCTCAAAGCCTCAGTTTTCTCTGGTGTGAAATGATAGAAGAGGGTCCTCAGAGTCTGAGCTCCTGTCCTCCTCGTGCTGAGCCCAGAGCCGCCTCCACCCCCTTTGCGGAGCCCCTGTGGAGGAGACCCAGGCTAGTGTCTTCCACTCCCAGTCGAGGTCCAGCGCCCCCTGGAGTCGTGCCTGCGCGGGAAGGTGGACACACAGCTGTCCCTGGTCACGCAAAAGCTGCTGAGCACCATGGAAGCCGTGCTCTCGGCAGTGCAGACCCTCCTAGCTCAGGGCATGGACCGCCTGTCTCGCCATCTGCGTGGGAACTCCTCTGGCACGCAGCTGCGCAAGGAGGTGAGCTCCAGTGTGTGCGTGTGTGTGTGTGTGGGGGGGGTGTTCATCCGATGGACCGGCAGTGTGTTAAATTTACAGAAGAGTTGCATGAACTGTTTCATCTTTCTGTTTGAAACCCTCTTTTGAAAACCTTTCTTGAACTTTGTTCTAGGCTGCTTTTTACTTATTGTAGCTCACCACGCTATGGTCACTGGGGGCACAGTTTAAAACATGGTTGGGGGGAGGAGTAAAATGACAAGAATAGCATTTTAGCAACATGAGTCTGGAGTCACCTACCCTCAAATTCCTCCTCTTCCCATTCCCTTGTTGTTGGAGCCCACCCCATCCCCTAAGCCAGCGAATTCTGCTCCACACAGGTCACCTCAGTTCTTCTGATATTAAATGAAGACCTACTAAGAGCCAGGAAAACTTCAACTTATTAAGCTTCCGTTTCATAATCATCTCCTCCAGGAACTTTCCCTGCTCCCTCTCTGTATCCACAGCTACTTGTGTTTCCTTCCTCACAGATGGGTTTACATGCCCCTGTAGTTGTTTGTCTATAGTTTATCTCCCCCAACTTTTCTGTGAGCTCCTTGAGGCCAAAGACCATATTGGATTACTTCATTTCTGCAGCTGCAGAGCCCCCCAGCACAGAGAGGGCATCAGGTGGTGGGTGTAGATGTGACAAGGGCTGAGTGTGCCTATTTCCTCTCAGTCATGCCAGCACTGCATGTTATCCATTTTTTTCAGGTTTTACCATTTTATGTCTATCACACCATACCTGTTACTTTTATTATGCATTTTTGGGGTAATGACTGAGGTGGGATGTATTTCCATTTGCATTTCTCCTACTATGAATTGGCTGTGAGGTCCTTGGCCCTGCTTTTCCATCAACTGATGGTGCTTTTCTCACCTGCCTGCCACTGGAGCCCAGGTTTACTCATTTGGGGAGATGCCATGGGACCCAGAGCTGATGCAGACCTGCTACCATGAGGCTGAGCGAAGCCAGGGGCACCTAGGGCAGCTGGTGGTGCCATTTGGCTTCTTCGGAACACAGAGCCTGGTGTTTGGGGCCCAGGATCTCGCACAGCAGGTGAGGGGGAAAAGGAGGCTGAAGGAGGCAGGGGCAGCAGAGTCCACTGAACAGGTGCTAGGGAGACCGTGATGACCAACAGAACTAGCCTCCCTCACTGGGCTCACATGCGGTGGACAGGGCTGTGGTGCAGACACACGAGGTGCTATGGGAGCCCTGAGGAGGTGCTCGATTCATGTCCAGTTAGGAGGACCTCCAGGAGGAGAGGACTTCTGAACTGAGACAGCAAGGGGAAGAATGGGGGTGGGGTATGTCCTGGGTAGAGGGAAAATTGTGGATCAGCACCTGGAGGTGAGGGAGTTTGCCTGCATGTGGAGGAAATGAAGCCATTTAGAGATATTGGGTTGTAGGTTTCAATCGAGGGCAGAAAGGTGGGAGATGTGCCAGCAAGGTGGATGGGCAGATAGGTCAGGGACTTGAATATGGGGCTAAGGGGCCAGGCTCTGTCCTGAGGGCAATGGGGAGCGCCAGCAGGTGTGTGAGCAGGTGAGGGGTGTGATCAGATTCAAGATTTAGGAAGCCCTACCTGCGGAAGGGGGACTGTTGGGGGCAGGAGTAGAAGAGGCAAGAAGGAGGCCTGAACCAGAATGGGTGCTGTTGATGGAGAGAAGTGGGGTGTGTTTGAAGGCCAAGGGAATGGGACCTGCTAATTGACATGGTGAGTGAAGGAGACAGGGATTGAGAAGACCAAGTGCTGCCTAGTACAGTTGTTCAATTTGTACACTGCACAAGAGCACTCAGACAAGGAGGCTGAACTCCGACCAGCTCTCTGCTCCCCAGATTGAGCACCCAGGTTCCCACTGATTGCCTGACTCCCAAGTCCTGAGTGGAGGGAGATGCTGTTTCTTGAGACAAAAAGGAGGTTGGGGAAAAGTGGCTGGTTGGGTCAGTCTGGATGCTGAGAAGGGTAGCCAGGTAGTCGCAGGGCCCAGAAGGCCGCAGCATGGATTCCCAGGGGGCTTATCAGATGCTCTTCCTGCAGCTTATGGCCGACGCCGTGACCACCTTCCTACAGCTGGCGGACCAGGGTCTGACCACAGCCCTGGACTGCACCCAGGCTGCCCAGCAGCTGGAGAAAGTCCGGGGACGTGTGCTGAAGGTGAGGTCCGCCGGGAGGGCATGGGAGTGGGCCTGCCTGCTCCGATGGCCACTGGACCGGCCGCTGTGTGTGTCCGGCAGAAGTTCCAGTCGGACAGCAGCTCGGCGCAGAGCAAGTTCATCCGCGGGTGGCTACTCTGCATCTTCTTGCCCTTTGTGTTGCACCAGCTGGAGGGGAGCTGCAAAGTGGTGAGTAAGAGGGCACGCGCGTGCACATCCTAGAGGACAACCAAGTGTCTGTCTCTTTCTATAAAGTGGGCAGCGTGCTCTCTCCCTCGGAGTCACTGTGACCATAAGAGACTCTTGTTCCCTAAGACTTGTGGTTGGGGTGGATGGCTCTTCTGGGCTCCCACGATGCCCTCTGCTTCTCCCATGAGAGTGCTCAGCATCTGTCATTTGAGAGCTGCGGTGGGGGCCCAGGCATCGTATATCAGTGGGTGACATGGGCTTCAGGGAAGGGAGGAGGCAAAGAGGGAATGTGTGTGTGTTGGGGGGTTTGCCAGGTGGTCAGGGAGGCTCTCGGTGAGAATGACACCTGAGAAGCAGTGAACTGAGGGCATGAACCGTGTCCTGGGGAAGCGTGGTCTGGGCAGAAGGCCACAGCACGTGCAAAGACCCTGAGGTCGGACGGTGCCTGGTGTGTGGGAGGAATAGTGAGGAGGCGCGCATGGCTGGAGCTCGGTGAGTGAGGGTGTAGGAAGGGAGCAAGAGAGAAGGTCACAAGGACCTGGTCACACAGGGGTGCCAGGCAGGGGTCTGCCTCAGTTGCTGACAAGATCCTCTCGCTGAGGCAGTTGGGTGGGAGGGCTAGCAGAGATAGCCGCACTATTCCCATTGAGATGTGATGTGCTGTGTTTCACTGATCCCCACAACAACCTGAGGGAATATGGATCAAGGAGTCCATTGTAGAGATGAGGAAATTTAGTCCCAAGGTCCCCCCGCCGTTAATCAGGGTCAAAGTTACAACCCTCCCCTCCAGCCCAGCCCCTCAGCCACCTCTGTTCCAGGAGCTGCTTGAGTTCGAAGGAGACATCCTTGCCGTGGGTAGCCCGGCTCTGACCATCGAGGGCATCTCTAAAGACATTGTCCAGGGGGTCCTGCTGCAAAGGATTGACAGAGGTGAGCCCCATTCCTCTATGGCTCAAGGAAGCCTGGTGACCCCTGGCTGTGTGTACCATGCTCTACCACGTTCCCCATCACCTCTTACTTTCTGTTAACACTAGCCCCAGGGTAGGACTGGGACAGATGGGGACTAGGGTGAGTGAGTCTTCGAGGGGCAGTGATGGAAGTTCCCTAAAGGAGGGGGCATTGGAGCAAGGCTGTGAGGGGTGTGTAGGAGTTCTCAGGATGAAGGGAAGGAGGCAAAATTCAGAAACTGGGGGTAGACATTTATATTTATTCATTCAGTAACCACTCCCTGTTCTTTCTGGGCTGACATTGAAACCCCCAGAGTTCTTGGATCTTCTGGGCTGGGGAGCAGCTCCAGAACCATCTCTTCTCCTTCTTTCTTCATCAGTTTGTTCATGACCTAATGCCTGAGACTGCAGAGATGTGTGCTGGGATGAGCGATGTGAGACTGAGGGCATGTCATGGCATCCACGTGGCTGATGCAGAGGACATGAAGGAGAATGGAAGGAGAGGAGGCTGGGGGCTGCCGGGGCAGGTGTGCAGGGCCTGAAATAACAGGCAGAGGAGGTTAGGCTTTATTGAGCAGGCAAGGGGGAGCCATGGAGAGTGTGTGAGCAGAGGGCAACAGTGACCATCCTGGAAGCCAGGGAGGAGGCTGAGGGCACAGTCCTGGAGGTGAAGGATGGACTCAGGCAGCTCTCCTCTTTCTTGGGAGAATCCAAAGACAGTAGGATTCTGGGAGCCAGGAAATGAGGGTGAGGATGTCCTTGGTCTTTGGGCATCCAAACAAAAAGAACTAAATTCCTTTAGAAAAGGGATATTTTAATGGAGAAAAAGCTATTCTCTAATTGGAAAAAAAAAAAAATCCAGAAACAGCTAACTTCAGAGAGTTTCTGTTCCTAGAGGTTTTACATGTCCTTAATTGACTTGTAATGTCTGCTTGGAGTGCTATGTTGGCAGGTGGGGCTGGTAGGGGGCTCAATGAAAGTGTGGGGATCAGCTAGCAATGTCTACCATGGGCACAGGTATGGAGAGAGGCTTATTTGAATATGGGTTCCTGGTTGAGACATATCCTCCCATCCTTTGCCCTCTTGTGGCCTCTCAGAGAGAATGCATGGAATCCCCAGGTGGGTCCAAGGTTTTATCTCTCGCTTTAGAATTGAAAAAGGCCCTTGGTGCCAGTGACGTGTCTTGCACTCTGGATGGCTGCTCGGAGGCCCCATGGGACCAGACAGGAGTAGGTGAGGACCTCAAAAGCCCTTGGGCCATGCCAGTGAATTGTTGGGGGGTAGTGGGGCCTGGCATGGGGTGTAAGGGATAGTTGTAAGTGTGGATTCCTGGATGGAACAGCATATATATCTTATCCCCTGACCCAGCCAGGTTGGCCAAGCTCATGGTAAAAGGGCAATGGGGAGCCAATGTTTGTCTGAGCCACAGAGGTACTCTCTGGCATGCATAGGAATTTGTGTCCCATTTCGTCTTGCCGGGACTAGGACTCCATGGAGTCCCTCCCAGCAGCTACCAGTTCCCAACACTGCGAGGGGAGATTGTGGTGATGGGAGCCTTGGGTCCACCACAACAAGGGCTGCTCTGGGAGATGGGTATAGGGAGCCAGGCTCAGGGCCAGGGCAGCCTGGCCTACTGCAGGATCCTACAGCGAGCTCTTTGTTGGAGCAGTAAATGCATGTAGGGCTGAGGCTGACACTGCTGGTGGGGCAGGGATCCTCAACTCCAGCCGTGAGATGGAAATGTGTCATGGGGACTTCCCTGAAATGGGGCAGAAAACAACTGGTCCAACTAGAAGCAGACCGGTGGGCAGGACGGCTATAACCTGGATGTTCAGAATCCAGGGCAGGTGCAGGGATTCTGGAACAGCTCACAGCTCAATCCCCTTGTGTATTGCTATTGTGAGAGCCAACTAAGCAGCTCCCACACTTTTCAGCCACAGAAACTCTGAGATAATATGTGTTGTTTTTAGCTACTAACTTTTGGGATCATTTGTTACACAGCAATAGCTAACTAATACACTAATACATTGCTGATCTGGGGTAGCATCCCGTAGTTGATCACTGTAGATAAACTGATGAATATACATAAGTGCTGGGATAAATGGAGATTAAACTGTCTTAGAAAGACTTCTAGGTGTCAGAATATTTGGGGATTCGCAAGTGAGGATGAGGGATTGCAAATGGGCCCCTTAATCTATTTGACCAGAATCTAACCGATGATGGCCATTTTGCTTCTAGTCTTCCAACTAACTGTTAATGTTACAGGGAATGACCTTGTACATACTTTCCAGGCAAGTGCAGGTCTCTGTGGGTAAATCCCCCAGTATGAAATCTCAGGGTTTTGAGCATTTGTGTTTAGTGTTTCAACAGCAGTCTCCAGAGCACTCTCCCACCTGGTGGGAGTCTGGTCCCACCTGGTGACCCTTACCTGTGTGCAGGTGGCCCTGGTGACCAGCAGTCTGGTCCCACCTGGTGACCCTTACCTGTGTGCAGGTGGCCCATTTCCCCACAGACTGCACAGGCTACCAGCTGACTCAGGATTTCTCAGATCTTCTGAGTGAATAATGGCATCTTGGCATCATTTTTATGAGCATGTCTTGTTGGAGATGAGATTAAGCATCTTTTTGTGTGTTTAAGAACTGTTTTTAGCTTCTTTTCTGTGAAACTTTGTTCCTCTCCTTGGCCCACGTATCTTCTGGGCGCTTGTCATTTTCTGCTCAGTTTCTTTTGTTAGGCTTCCATTTACTGAGCATTTACTCTGTGCCAGGCATTTGATGTGTTTTGGCATCCTGATGATACTTTCTATTTTACAGATGAGGAAGCTGAGGCTCAGAGAGGAACTTGCCCTGAGCAGCCAGGCTCTGGTACCGAGGTCCAGTCACTCTGCCCGCTGCCTCCTCCTAGAACATTCTGCAGCTGAGTCTTTGGACACCTCAGTCCTCGTTCCCATTGGATAAATGTCTACTAGTGGAATTTCGGAGTCAAGCATATGCACCATTTCAAGGCTTTTATAACCCTCATACCTCCACCTCATTCCTCTCCAGAAAAGCTGGGCTTTTTTTTTACACTCCCATTAGCAGCATTTGTGCATATTCTCCATATCCTTTCCAAACACTAGAAATTTTCACAAAAGAAAAAATGTCAATTTGAGACACACACACATTTCATTGTTTAGTTTGAATTTCATTAATGATTACACTGAACCTAAAAATATGTTTATTGGCCATTTTTATGTTCGTGCTTTTTGTTGTTGTTGTTTTTTAAGTCAATTGCATGTTCATGGCTTTTGCCTACTTTTCAGGAGAGTTTATCTTTTTCTTATTGATCTCTAATAATTCTTTGTATATTAAAGATATTAATGCTTTGTTATACAGGTTACAGGTACTTTTATTCTCAGCCTGCTGTGGACCTTTTGGGTTTGTTTATTTGCTCCAAATCTTAACTTGGTATCAAGTTTCCCAGCTGAGAGTGAAGCATTTGCTGACTTCCCTCTGCTTGCCAGAAGAGTCATCTGTTTACTGGGGGTTGGCAGCTTCTCCCTATCACAAGCCTTCCAGCTGCTTCCGGAGCAGATTCTGAGGGATTTCCCCAGGGTCCTTCTTGGTTCAGCTTTCAGAGGGGTTCAGCTCCATGGAGATAGTTTCCTCCCATTCCGCCCTGGAGTTTTCAGCCTCCCCAAAAAGGAAGATTTTCTTCACTTTTCCTGATTTTACCCTCCAATTCAAACTTCTGACATACATTTGTGCTTTTACAGCCCTTGTACAGCTGTTTTTGTTTGTTTGTTTTTTTTAATTTTTAACCCAGAACGTGATGTTAGCTCTGTAAAATTAGAGCAACAAAAACTTGTCATCCTGCCCTCTGAGGAAATCACTATTTGCTTATGGTTCTAAAATCTTCCAGTCTTTTCTCAGTTTATCAGGGTATGAGATGTGTCTTGTCACTGTTTTTCTAACTTAATATGAATGATCTTTCCTTGTCAGGTCCATAGAGTGTAAAATGGTTTTTGCCATTTTGTTACAGAAAGTTTCAAAACATACCCCAAAAGTACACCCCTGTGTGCCCCCTCTCGGATTCAGCAGTGACCAAGTGTGGCCAGATCCCTTTCCTCCACTCCCATCCCTCACCCCCTTAGTCAATTGTATAACCAGTGCATTTTAGGCTGTGTTTCCAAAATATTAAGCTAAAAACTGAACTTGAGCAAAGGATTGTTGTGGAAAAAATGTGGAGAACAGAAGCAAAGGAGAGAAATGAAATTGGAAGAAGGGGATGGACAAGTAGAAGGACATGCGGAGGAGGAAGGGCAAGTATCAGGTGACTCTGCTAGCCAAGCTGGGAGATTTGGGGCTTTTGGATCAAGCCCACCGCCCTGTCCTACTTCCTTAAGTTCAGGCCCTACTGTCCCTTGAGCACAAGGCCACATGACCTGGGCCCTGCATTTTACTTAACAATACTGAATCTTTTCCTCCCGACCACCATATGAACAAATGTATACCTGAGCATCCTTCTTAAAACTTAATTTTTAAGAATGACACAAAAACAATCAATAGAAAGTACATTAGAGTGTGGGGAAACAATCCCCTGGTAGCATTTCTATGGAAACTCCCACCCTGCCTCCGGAGGGCGTGCTCAGCACTTGCAAGTATCACGTGGCTCCATCTGACGCCAACCCTGCGGGGTCGGTAAGACCCTATTTTACAGATGGACAAACTGAGGCTCACACTGGGAGCCCACGGTGGGGGCTGAATTTGAAGCCAGGTCTGGGGACGCCAGGGACCCCGCGCTTAATACCCACCAGCCCTTGAGTACATCCCTGTGAAACCAGGTCCTAACTAGCCAGGTCCGCCTGGTGGCACAGACTGGGTCCTATACAAATGGAAGTGGTATGGCGTATCAGGCGAAGGTCCAGGCTGGGGCAGGCGTCAGGAGGCACGGGGTGTTCTGAGCTCTGACACCTCTACGGCACTGAGTCACGTGCACTGGGAAAGCTAGGAGCGCTCTGTGCCTTTAAGGCGGGAGCTGGGGGCCGGGCGTCGGGGCGGGCCCGCCGACTGACGTGCTCCGGGCGGGAGTCGCGTCAGCAGCCCTTCGTGCCTTTAAGGCCCTCGGGAGGAGGGGTCCGGGAAGGGGGCCCAGACGGCTGATTCACGCCAGGCACTCTCCTCCCCTTTAAGGCGCGCGGCAGGGCGGGGTCCGGTGGCGAGCTCAAGGCGCGGTTCGCGTCCGCCGTCAGAAAAGCGGCTTAAAGGCGACGCGTGGCGCGATGGCGGCGGCCCCACGCGCGTGCAGGCGGCGCTGGCGGCCGCGCCCGGTGCTGCTGCTGCTGCTGCTGCTGCTGGCGCTGCCGCCCCCGGGGGGCCCGCCGGGCGCCGCCGCCTACTTCCCGGAGGAGCGCTGGAGCCCCGAGTCGCCGCTGCAGGCGCCCCGGGTCCTCATCGCGCTGGTGGCGCGCAACGCGGCCCACGCGCTGCCCGCCACGCTGGGCGCGCTCGAGCGGCTGCGGCACCCGCGGGAGCGCACGGCGCTGTGGTGAGCGCGGCGCCCGCCTTCCCCGCGCCCGGCCTGCCGCCCCCTGCCCGGCGGCTCCACCCCGCGCGCTGCCTGCTGCCCTGGCCCCGGGCTGGCCGGACCCACGCGTGTGCCCTGCTTGCTTCCCTCTTCGGAGCGGGCCAGACGCGCGGGCCCTCTGCTTGCTGTCCCTCCCTCCCTCCCCGTCTCTGTCCCGCCGCTGTGGGACTGACCGACCGCACTCTGCTTTCTGGCCCCGCGGGTAGGGCAGATCCGGGACCACTGGTGCCCAGCCCAGGACTGGGCCGCTCTGCCTGGGACTAACCCTCAAACCGCCTTCGGAGCACTCACAGCTCCAAAGAAGGGGAGCCCGGAGCCCCCACGCTCCACACTGCACTTCCACTAACAGGAAGTCTTTTCAGCTTCTGCTGCATTGGATCCTGAACCCAGCCTGAGTCAGATCCCCTGCCCTCTAACGAGCGTGGGTGGGTGGGTGCGTGGGTAACGGGACCAGGTGGCCAAGGGTCGGGGAGTGGATCCTTCCCGCAAGGGGAATGGGGCAGAGCCATGTCGGCTGGCAGGTGACTTCCCGCCTCCTGCCTCGGTTTCCTAATCTGGAAAATGGGGGCATTAATATAACTCTGGTTGCCTTCATCTCCGAAGGTTAACCAGTTAATGCACGTGAGGCCCTGTGCCTGGCATCTCTGGCTTGGTGCTCAGTGACCAGAAATGTGGCTATTATTATATTGTCCTTACTAGTCACCGCTGCTGTTGTTGGCAACTTAATAACAACTTATTTGAGGGGATAGCAGCTCTCCTCTTCATGTGGACTCCTAAATGGCCCTCACCCCTCCATCCCAGATTCCCTAGCCTGGATAATGCAAGCACACAGTTGGTGCTTAAGAAATGTTTGTTGAGGGGCGCCTGGGTGGCTCAGTCATTAATCCTTTGCCTTAGGCTCAGGTCATGATCCCCGGGTCCTGGGATCCTGGGATGAGCCCTGCATCGGGCTCCCTGCTTGGCAGGAAGCCTGCTTCTCCCTCTCCCACTCCCCCTGCTTGTGTTCCCTCTCTCTCTGTGTCTCTGTCAAATAAATAAAATCTTTAGAAAAAAGAAAAAGGAAATGTTTGTTGAATTAATGAGGAAGCACAGGCCACTATGAGATGGTGTTGTTCATAAGAGAGAATCGAGGAAGGTGGGATGGGGGTAGATGATATATACATTTTTAAATTAAATCACAATATTTAGTACTTAATGTGGTTATAAGATCCTAGGTGCTCAGTAGTACTAACAGTGTCTAATGTGTTTTTCCCAAAATTAGCTTGTTTAATCCCCTCTGCAGCCCAGTGAAGCAGGTCCCATCCTCATCTCTGTTTCAGATGAGGAAACAGGCGTGGCGGTGGGGGCGGGGGGGGGGGGGAAGCATCTTGCCCAGGGCTATAAGCTGCTGGAAGGCCAGCTTGGGGGTGTGGAGCCCCTGTTGCTTCAGGCTGCCGGGTGCTGCCTCAGTCTCCCGTCTTGCACTGACTGCCTTGCTCTGCTTTGCAGGGTAGCCACAGACCACAACTCAGACAACACATCGGCTGTGCTGCGGGAATGGCTGGTGGCTGTAAAGAGTTTGTACCACTCCGTGGAGTGGCGGCCGGCAGAAGAGCCCAGGTGAGCTTCAGGTTCTGCCCTGACACCGCGCCACCCCCCCCCCACCCCCCCCCCACCCCCCCCCCCCCCCCCCCCCCCGGCAACTGGGCTGTATCCCTAGTCACACACCTCCCAGGACTCCCTGTTGTCCTGTGACAACCCCCGCCCCTCTGGCCCTGACTCTCCAGCCCAACTCTGCAGCCTTAAGGGCTGCCCATGGCTACTCTGACCCGCTCTTAGCTTCAGTGGGCCGCAGTCCTCCAGCTGGACCTTTGCCCCCACAGTTCCCTGCACCTAGAGTTCCCTCACTCCCTTGTCCTCCTGGTGGACGCCTATTGCTTTCTTCCCAGTCTCACTCTATGCCCCAGGGCCAGCCCTGCTGCTTAGCTTCCCATGCACCCCTGGGCAGTGCAGGCCCCTGGTTCCTTTCAGCTTTTCAGGGTTTATTTCTTTAGCTCTCTGCCTACATCCCCTCCTCCAGGAAGCCCTCTCTGACCACTGCCCTCTGGGTTGCCATAGGGCCCCATCCTTAGCACATCACAGCTGTCTCTCCGCAGGTCCTACCCGGATGAGGAGGGCCCCAAACACTGGTCTGACTCGCGCTATGAGCATGTCATGAAGTTGCGCCAGGCAGCCTTGAAATCTGCCCGGGACATGTGGGCCGATTACATCCTGGTGAGTCTCTCAGCCAGCTACTCTGAGATCGTGGGGGAGATCAGTGGGTTGTGGAGACCATCCTTAAGCCCGTTTACAGAGGGAAACAGGCTCTGAGAGGAGGAGTGAGTTGTCAGAGGTGACACAGCTGGTTAGCGGAGGAGCTGGGGTTCAATCCAGGGCCTCTGGGGTTCTTAATCATCAGCTGGTGTCCCCAACCATCCCCTGTGGCTGGACCCTTGGATTGTCTCCTCTTTATTGCCACCTCTGTGCACCCCACAATTCCTCTGGGTGACTGCCGAGAAGCTGGAAGATGGGGTGGAGATCTGGGGGGGCGCTGGAGACGCTGGGCTGCTGAGGCGTGACTTTCACTTCCTTCTCCTGGGCCGGCCATTGCCTCTGGAGGAAGGGACGGTTCAGGCCGGAATACATTCGTGTGAAGGTACCTGCGCGCAGGCCTGTAAGAGCTCCTTCAGCCCAACCCCTTGATTTGGACGTGGCCCCCTCCCCTGGTGTGGGTGGGGCTGGATGGCGCTGGCCGCTGGGCCTGCCTCCCCGTGGAGGCTGAATGCGATGATGCCAGCCTGACAGAGCCTGTGGTTGGTTTCCATCTAGGCGCCAGGCCCTGAGCTGTGGTCTGTACCTTCTTTATTCAGTCAGCCCCTCCCTTGCCCGCCACCTGCCAGAGCCTTAGGACGCAGTGAGGATCAGCACAGGCTGAGCCCTGCCTTCCTAGTGTCCCAGGAAGGGGGGCCGTGACCAGAAACCAAAACTGAGTGAGGAAGTATCTAGAGGCAGCAAGTGCTGTGCTCGTAGAAAGGCAGCTGGTGATGGATCAGTGTCCTGGGGTTGCTGTGACAAAGAACCACACACCGTGGGGGGGGTGGGGGGGTGCTGCAAACAGCGGAAGTGTATTGTCTCCCAGTTCTGGAGGCCAGAAGTCTGAAGTCAAGGTGTCAGCAGGGCCCTGCCCCCTCCGCAGGCTCTAGGGGAGGATCCTTCCTCACTTCTTCCAGCTCCGGGGGCTCCATGTGCTCCTTGGCTTGTGGCCTGTGGCCTATGGCCGTGTCCCTCCATTGTCTGCCTCTGTGGTCCCGTGGGCTTGTCTCTCTGTCTCTCCTCCTCTTATTAGGTCATCAGTCATTGACTTTAGGGCCTGCCCTATTCCAGTCTGACCCCATCTAAACCTACATCCTAGTTACATTGGCAAAGACCCTATTTCCAACTAAGATCACAGTCACAGGGTACCAGAGGTTAGGACTTCAACCTATCTTTTGGGGGCCACCATTCAAGTCACAACAGATGGCATAGTCAGGGTGTAGTGACGAGTGAGCAGGGTTGGGGGTCTCTCTTAGGAGGGGACCCTAGCCATGACCTGAAGGAACAAAGAAGCCAGCCTCGGGGGAAGCTGGGGGACAGTGTCTGAGGCAGAGGGAACGGAGTAAGGTGCAAGCTTGGGGCCGTCAGGGACTGGCAAGGAGGCCAGTGTGGGTGTGATGGAGGTGGTCCTGAAGTGGTGGGTGGGTCAGACCAAGGCAGAGATTTGGCTTTTACTTTGAGGGTAATGGGGAACCACAGAGGGTATATAAGCAGGGAAGAGCTGTGTTCTGATTTATGATTTTCAGAAGCCCTATGGCTGTCATGGGGAGCAGGGCCTGTTGGGGCAGGAGGGGGGACAGCAGGAGGCCTGGAGCAGGACTGTAGAAAAAGGCAAGTAAATTGAGGATGCCTTCTTGGGCCGAGGGACAGGTCCCTGGACGTGGGGGTGACAGGAGGACCCCATATCCCTGGCCTCTCACTGCAGAGAGGAGAAAGAATGGAACAAGCTCTTCCTGGGGGCCCTGTAGGTTGATGCCTTAATCAGACCATTTTACAGATGGGAAAGTAGAGGCTTAGAGAGGGAGGTGACGGGCACCTGGGTGGCTCAGTTGGTTAAGCGACTGCCTTCGGCTCAGGTCATGATCCTGGAGTCCCGGGATTGAGTCCTGCGTCGGGCTCCCTGCTCGGCAGGGAGCCTGCTTCTCCCTCTGACCCTCCCCCCTCTCATGTGCTCTCTGTCTCTCTCATTCTCTCTGTCTCAGATAAATAAATAAAATCTTTAAAAAAAAAAAAGAGAGAGAGAGGGAGGTGACAATGTGCTTTTTGGAGTCTCGGAACCAGTGAGGCGCAGAGGTGGGACTGGAACCTCCTGGAACCATCTAGCACAGGACCACCTTGTCTGCTTCCCTGGGTTTTGCTTTCATGGTTTGAGGCTGGCTGGTTTTCACTTTTTTTTTTTTTTTAATTTTTATTTATTTTATTTATTTGAGACAGAGAGAATGAGAGACACAGAGCATGAGAGGGAGGAGGGTCAGAGGGAGAAGCAGACTCCCTGCCGAGCAGGGAGCCCGATGCGGGACTCGATCCTGGGACTCCAGGATCATGACCTGAGCCGAAGGCAGTCGCTTAACCAATTGAGCCACCCAGGTGCCCTGGTTTTCACTTTTTTCCCTCAGTAAACTTGGGTGGAACTCTACATGTTGGTTCAAAACTCAAAACAGCTTTTGACATACCAGTATCTTTTTGTAACTGGGGACTTTGGAAATCCATATTGGGATGTGAAATCATTTGTCCAGTGTTTTAAAATTGTTATTAAAAGGAATTCTTAAAAAAAAAAAAAAAGACCTCTTTTTACAAGAAAAAAAGCACCTCTTTTTTTCTCTTTTTGCAAACACTATAGGTGTTACTTGTAAGAAAATATACAAGAAAAAATAAGAAACTTAGGGAAGAAAAAACAAGCAAACCCTGTAATCTTACCTCCCGGAGAGACTCACTTTCTGGCTGGTTTCCGTGTTTTCTAATTGAGGTGCAGTTCACATAATGTAAAATTAACTGTTTCAAAGGGAACAACTCAGTGGCATTTTGTACATTCATTATGTTGTACAACCACAGCCTCACTCTAGTTCCAGAACATTTCCATCGCCCCAAAAGGATGCCCCGTCCCCATGAATAGTCACTCCCCGCCCTCCCCACCCCCCAGGCCCTGGCAGCCACTAGTCTGCTTTCTCTGTCATAGATGCGCCTCTTCTAGTCACATAAGTGAATCATACGCTATGTGCCATGTCTTGTCTGGCTTCTCTCACTCAGCACGATGTTCTCAAGGTTCATCCACGTTGTAGCTGTGTGTCCGAGCTCTGTTCCTTTTTAAGGCTGCGTGATGTTCCATTGTGTGGATGGACCACGTTTTGTTTAGCCATTCTTCCACTGATGGACACGTGGGTCATTTCCACCGTTTGGCTCTCGTGGCCACCGCCACTGTGAACATGGGTGTGCAGATGTCTGTTTCTGGTTGTCTCGGTGCATACCTAGGGGTGGAATCGCTGAGTCATACGTAGCTCTGCGTGTAACTCTTCGAGGAACTGCCAGACCGTTCTGGGTGTTTTTATTGTGTGTATATTCGAAGGTCACACATATAAATGTTCGCAGGGGCCAGGAAGGGAACAGCCCCGCGGCTTGTCCCAAGGGACAGCCACCTTCCGTCTCCAGCTGGGGGTTGCCCTGTGGGAATGCCATTCTGGAGTTGCCAGAGAAGGCTGGAATTCTAGTTCTCGCTGTTGTGTGTGGCAAGTGATTTAAAGGTTTTAAAAATCCTGCGTGGGAGGCAGAAAGCGTATCTGTGGATCAGATGCATTTAAAAATCAATCAATCCTAAGAGTTCCTCCTAAGAGTTCTGTAATGCATCGTGGCCTGCGTGTCTTCACATCCCAGTGCACAGGGACACCCTCGCCTGATCCTTTTCTGTGGCGCGATTCCTAGCTGCCTCGACTCGCTCTGCAGTGGGATGGGGCCGGAACTTCTCTAGCTGATTCGCCACTGCTAGACTCCTGGGTTGTTCCCCAGTTTGTGTGACCAACAGCACTGCAGTGAGCCTCCTTGGTGACACGTGGTTTTGGGGGGGACCAGCAGGACCCCCCCCAGCCCCCAATGGTGACCCTGTTCCTGGGTTGGTGGATTTCATTCCACGCTGCACCAAGCAAGTTACCATCTTTTTATCCCAACATGTAAGGCGCTAAAGGAAAACAAAAGGCTTACGTAAAGATCTGATTCGTACACTCTTTATCAGCACGTAATTCACGTTAGACAAAGTGCCTTCCTCCCAGCCACTCCCCGAGGAATTGGCCTCTGCTTCCACCGTCCTACTCATGGACAGGCGCTGCCTGTTTGAAAAGTTCCCAGAAATGGCGCTGTATGGTACACTCACTGTCATGTTCCATGTGCCCCCCCAGAGGCACGTCTGGGCCCCATTTGTGTTGCTTTGTGCTGTGTGGTCTGTCCCTTCTCTTGCTACAGAGGGCATTTCATTGTGTGAGCATTACTTGGCTTGTCACTAGGGGGAGAGCTGGCCGTGGAGGAACTGGAACCGGCTGGCTTCCAGGGCCACATCTGCTACTCCAGGATCCCCAGACTGCCCCCCTCCTCCCCTCCAGGACTCTGGCCGCCGCCCCAGCTGTTCAGAGCTATGGCCAGCCCAGGTCAGTCCCGTAGCCCCTGCTGATGCTCTGTTGGGTATTTTGCAGTTTGTGGATGCAGACAACCTGATCCTCAACCCGAACATGCTAAGTCTCCTCATCGCTGAGAATAAAACAGTGGTGGCTCCCATGCTGGATTCGCGGGCCGCGTACTCCAACTTCTGGTGCGGGATGACTTCCCAGGTCAGGGTGCTGCTGGGGTAGGGTGGGGGCGGGGGATGGTGGGGGCGAGCGAGTGGGGACATGGCTGGAGTCTAACTTATCACACCACTTCATGGTGAGCACTTTACAACACCATGGTGATAATCCTTAAATAGCTCCTTGACGGAGGGTCTGTGATTGTGCCCTCTCCTCCCCACCCCCTTTCCAGTTACTGAGGCAGAAACAGAAATACAGGGAGAGAGGACTTGACTTGCCTAAGCTCACACAGCTAGGAAGCTGTGGTGCCAGGTAGGACTTTAGGCACAGCTTGATCCAGGTGTTCAAACAACATTCCTGTCTTCCTCCATCCTTTGGGTGGGGCTTCATTTTCAGACTCCTGGGGCACAATCCCATCACCATCCAGCCAAAGTCCACTTTGGGCCTTGTCTAGTCTCCTCCTACACCTGAGCCAATTCCTGAAGCCAGGAAAATGCCAGGTTCTGATTGGCCAAAGCCTGGGCCATAAGTCCCACCCTAGGGTTGAGGCTGGGATTGTGGGCAACACCAGGAGGAGTGAAAGAGTAGGTGCTGGAGTGGGGGCCAAGCCAGAGCCAGGACCCCCCTCCTGTCTCCTCCTATCTTTTTAATTGACGTGCAATTCACATAACATAAAACTCACCATCTTAAAGTGAACAGTTAAGTGGTTTCTATTTAAAAAAATATGTCGTAGCCCAAGTTCCCTGAGGTCCTACTTCTGATGTTCAATCCTGTGTAAGTCAGGGAATCACAAATATCCAGTCCCTTTCTCAGCTTTCCCATTTCCTCCTTCAAGTGCTTCCTTTCTGATTTGAAGTGTTGAGCTAGGTCTGCGGGCGCACAGCTGCTTACCTTCCCCCATCTGCCCCTGCCCCACCGCCTAAGGCTTCGGGGGTGGACATGAGGCCTGACCACGCCCAGAGCTCTGCATTCGGGGGGAGCCCACCACAGCCAGAGGCTGGCATCTGGGTCCCGCTCTCCAACTGTTCTGTGCCTCCCCTTGTCCCAGGCCTCCAGCCTTACCTCTAGGGTCCCCCATATAGAGCTGCGCCCTCCTCCCTGCAGGGCTACTACAAGCGCACGCCTGCCTACATCCCCATTCGCAAGCGGGACCGCCGGGGCTGCTTTGCCGTTCCCATGGTGCACTCAACCTTCCTGATCGACCTGCGGAAGGCGGCATCCAGGAACTTGGCGTTCTACCCTCCTCACCCTGACTACACGTGGTCCTTTGACGACATCATCGTTTTTGCCTTCTCCTGCAAGCAAGCAGGTGAGCCCACAGGGAGTTTGCCAGCACGGGGGCATCTGTCTGGCTCTCTGGGACCCAGCGTCGAGCCCACAGAAGGTTCGCAGAACCAGAACTGCAGGGTGCAGGGACGGCTACAGGTGTGGCTGTATCCAGGTGTTCAGGTGATGTCCCCAGGACTCCCTTTCTCCCCAGCCTTGGCTTTGCCGGGTCACTTCACTCCCCATATCTTTAAGACCTCTTTATTGAAGGTTATTTTCATCTTGTTATTCTCCTGTGTTCTCCCAGTTTTCTGTAGCTGAGCATAATTACTCTCTATTTGTACAGTTAGGGAAGAAACATTTTAAAGAGAAAGAGAACACAGCCAGCCACAGTTGACCTCTCATTTTTTTTTTAAACCATGGTTCGGCAAACAATGGCCCATGGGCCAAATCTGGCCCACCGTCTGTTTTTCTATAGCCACAAGCCAAGTATGTCTTTTGGGTTCCTGGACCTAATTCTATCATGAGTGTGTGTCGGGGGAGGGGGGAAACTTCCCCACACCAACAAGCCATTGTCTCTGTAGGACAAGCAGGGTGTCCTCCAATTCCACTCAATTCTGACACTATCTTTCCAGAGATAGTCGTATCAAATCCCACAGGTTGAGGAGGGCTCAGTCCGACAAGACTGCCGCCCACCGCAACTTCAGATGCCGGCCACAAACCCATGTTCTCCTTGTGCTTCTGACCAACTGGCTATAAATCCGAGGCTCCCAAGATGCTCTCCCTGGGTTCCATTAATTTCCTCGAGCAGTGCACGGAATTCAGGAAACCCATCTACTCACTAGATGACTCGGTGTAGTATAAAAGGCTATAACTCAGGAGCAGCCTGTTGAAGAGATGCCTAGGGTGAGGTATGTGGGAAGGGGTGCAGAGCTTCCTTGCCCCCGCCAGGCTCCAGGTATGTTACTCTCCCCACACTCCACATGTTCACCAACCCAGAAGCGTCCTGAACTCCATCCTTTTGGGTTTTTATGGAGGCTTCATTACATAGACACGATTGATTGAATCATTGGCGCTTGGCAATCCAACCTCTAGCTCCTCTCCTCTCCGCAGAGATCAGAGGGGTAGGACTGAAAGTTCCAACCCTCTATTCATGGTTGATTCCGCTGGCAACCAGTGTGTGTGTTGGGGGAGGGAGGTTCCTCTTTAAATGCTTTCCAAAAGTCACTTATTAATGTAAGAGACACCTTTAAGCTCCCAACATCTAGGAAATTCCAAGGGTTTTGGGAACTGAGCCTGGAACTGTGGACGAAGACCAAATATATATGAGAAGTCTATATTTGGTCATCTGAATGGAAAAAAAAAATGAAGAATAACATTTTGTGACATCTGAAGATTGTATACAATTTGAATCTCAGTGCCTATAAATAAAGTTTCATCGGCTCGCAGCCACGCCTATTCATTTAAGTTTCATTTCTGGCTGCTTCTGCCTTCTAGCTGCAACTGAGTCATTGAGACAGAACTGTCTGGCCCACAAGCGTAAATATTGACCATCTGGCCCTTTACAGAAAAGTTAACCAGTTCAGGTGAAAATCATTTTTCCCTGGGTTTTTTTACTTAAAAAAAAAAAAAAAAAAAAGATACGCCCAAAAGCTTAAACCACCCCGAAAAGGGCAAATGCAGATGGGGGTGCCGTTCCTGCCCTCCGGTTCAGCCGCATCTCCTGTTCCTGCCTCAGGGTGGCTTCTTGTACGGTTGTGGGGGTGGCCCTGTGGCGGAACCGCGGAACCCCTGGGGGGATCGAGGCAGTGGCCATGGAGGCGCTCTTGTTAACAGCTCTGGAGTTTTTCCGGGCCTCCCTGCCAGCGCGAACCCCTGTTCTGGCTCCCGGTCCCAGCTGGAGAGCTGAGGAGTCGCTGCCGGGTGCCGGGAGCAGGGGGTACCTGTTGAGGTTCCAAGCCCGCCCTGGGCGGTGCGGCTGGGCTGGGGGGGAGGGGCGCTGCTGCCTCTACCGTATTCACGTTGGGTTGTTGTTCCCTCGGCCGCAGAGGTCCAGATGTATGTCTGCAACAAGGAGGCGTACGGCTTCCTGCCTGTGCCACTGCGAGCGCATAGCTCCCTGCAGGATGAGGCCGAGAGCTTCATGCACGTGCAGCTGGAGGTCATGGGTGAGTCCGCCCGCGCCAAACGGGGAGGGCCGAGTCACCTCCCTTTCTCTGCCACCTCAAGTCGGGCGCCTGAACACTGATGGAGCGTGTGTCTGTCGCTTTGCTGGGAGCGGGAGACCCAGCATGAACAAGGTGGATGGTTGTCCCCGCTCTTGCAAGCACGGCATCCTGAGAGCAGTCAGGATGGGCTTCTGGGAAGAGGTGGCATGAGGATGCAGGGTGGGTAGGAGTTAACCAGGAAGAGGATTACAGCTGGAGGGAGCAACAGGGGCAAAGGCCAGGAGGCTGGAGGGAACGTGAGCTCAGAGAACAGCCAAGGTTGACGGGGCAGAAATAAAGGTGGCGAGCTGGGCAGAGCTGGCAGGCGGGACTGGGGCAGGGGCCTTGGACACCAAGCCGAGGAATGGGCCTTTTCCCCAAGGGCAGTTGGGAGCCATAGAGGGTATGGGAGCAGAGGGGCAGCAGGTTTTCGCTGAGGGACCTTTATGTGCACGGCAGTGCCTGGGACACCACCATTTCGGGCTGTGTCCTCATCCATGCCCCTGCCAAACCCCAGACCCACCATTATTTAATATTTATCTTAAGCAGACATTTTTTTTTTCACTTGAATACATTTTTTTTTTTTTTAGATTTTATTTATTTGAGAGAGAGAGAATGAGACAGAGAGAGCACATGAGAGGGGGGAGGGTCAGAGGGAGAAGCAGACTTCCTGCCGAGCAGGGAGCCCGATGCGGGACTCGATCCAGGGACTCCAGGATCACGACCTGAGCCGAAGGCAGTCGCTTAACCAACTGAGCAACCCAGGCGCCCAATCTTGAATACATTTATTTAAAAAAGGAAACTAGGTATTTTTACCATAGTTGCAAGTTCATGTCTTTCTAATATATATACAGATAAATCCATAAACTAGTAAACTAGCCATCCTTCTAGTGGGCCCCTGACATGGGACAAGCACATGGGGCTGAGCTGGCTCCTGCCCCAGCTGGGGAGCTCCAGGGCCACCACACAGTGATACATGTCTACTTCTGTGAGGGCCTGGCCGTGTGCTGGCCACACACATCCCCCAGAAGGCCCCCTGGGGCAGCATGGCTGAGCCCCCCACTGCACAGACAGGGAGGAGCCCTGCTCTGGGGCTCCTTTCCCACTCTTAAGCCTCTCTCCAGGAAGTTCTGTCTATGGCTCCCCCTGGTGGCTGAAGATGGAACCACATCCTGCCCTCTTTGTTTTGGGGGATTTGGGTTATTTTGAGGTGACACCTGGAGGCTGCAAGGTCACCAGGGTGAAGACCCCTGCAGTACCTGAGTGTCACACACAGTTCCCCAGGCCTGGTCCAGTAGCCCCACGGCCGCAATCACAGAGGTGGGTCTCTGCTCAGTACCAGCTCCAACTGGTGATTGGCCCCTGAGAAATGTCTCCCAGGCTGCCATAGTTTTCCTACTTGATTTTATTATTTTTTTAAATTTTATTTTTATTAATAAGTTTTATTTTTATTATTTTTTATTTTTTGAGAGAGCGAGAGAAAGCACGTACGAGAGCAGGGGCGGTGCAGAGGGAGAGGGAGGGAGAGAGACTTAAGCAGACTCCACGCCCAGCAGAGCCCGATGCGGGGCCCTTGTGAGAACATGACCTGAGCTGAAGAGTCAGACACTCAACCGACTGAGCCACCCAGGCTCAGTTAGAAACTATTAGAAACTGAAGTCACCAGAGGGGTGAATATATTCCTGTGTCTCGAGGACCAGAGCAAAGCATACAGAACAAACAGAAGGAGGGTCTGGAGGTTTCAAATATTTGTGTAAATCCTTCCTTCTGGTCTGGGCAGAGACTGCATTTTCTCTCCATCCATATGTGGGTACCTGGACCCGGGCTGTGCATATGATTTTTCATGCGTTCGAAAGTCTGACGATGAAATTTCAGACTTGCAGAAAGGCTCAGTGAGATCCCTGTGGGTGGGGAATCCTGTAACCTGCTTCCTTCCCTGCCCCCTGCTCGTGGACAATGGAGCATGTTTCCCCATCGGCCCCGTAACCCTTGCTTAGTATAAATCCTGTTTTTTGAGTGTTAACGCACACTGTGGTAATGGGTGGTGTGCGTGTGGTGTGATGATTGCTTTTATATCCTGTCATCGGCCACAGGCCAGGCCCTGGCCTTCCCCTGGCCCTCCCGCCACCCCAATTTCATCGGCTGATGGGTTGTGGCGGTTCCGTGCTTCTGTAAGTGGAATCACCCAGCGTGCCTCTCTCAAGCGCCATGTCTTCTGCCCAGCGTCTCACGGGTACTGGCGTGACCGCCGTGTGCAGCTGCAGCTCGTTCCCTGTCTTGTTGTGTCATGTTAACCATAGATTTATCCAGTCTTGGCTGCATCACACGTTACTTTACCAGCCTTCTCATGAGGGACACGGAGGGTGTTTCCCATCTTCCCCAGGGTTGCTGTGGATTTCCCATGCACGCGTGTGAGGGAGATCCAGACATGCTCAGTGGGCGTGAAGTTAGGAAATACCCACAAGATTGCTCTACTTCTTAAACCAGTTGCAAAGTCTGCGGGTCCCCAAGACCACGCTCAGGTTTGATAATTCACTAGCAGGACACAGGACTCACTGGAAGCTGTTACGCTCACAGTTAGGGTTTATGACAAGCGAAAGGACACAGGTTACAGTCGGCAAAGGGAAGGGGTGTCTGGGGTGGAGACACCCAGGGTGTTCCGTGCATGGAACTTCTGGGTGTCCCCTGTCTGTGGAGTCTTGTGGACAGCTTTCACTTTTCCTGGCACCAGCGTGTGACAACATGCATGGTGTACTACCGTCCAGGGATGCTCCCTGGGCCTCGGTGTCCAGGGTTTTTACTGGGGCTCACTCACACGGACCCGGCTGACTGCCACACGGGTGATCTCCATCTCTAGCCCCTGCAGGGGGCGAGCTGATTCCACGTGGCCTAAGACCCCTACCCTAAATCACACCCTTGGCATAGACCACCCAGCGTGGCCCAAGATCCCAGACAAACAAAGATAGTCTTGTCAGGCAGAATATTCAGAGGGCTTCCACCTCTCAGGAGCTGGGCACAAAGGCCAGGCCTCTCTTTGGCGAAATTTGATTATTCACCCCCATGACGGGTCTGGAGGTGTTAGGTTTTTATAATCACTGTGATGTGACTTTCTGGAAAGGCTTCACTGCTTTGCTCCTGGATGCCTGATGTTCTTCATTTTCCCAGAACTGACGACAAAGAGTGAGGAGATCCTCCCTCCCCACAGGCAGGCCTTGTTGCCCTCCGTAGCTGCAAGTGGAGGGGCAAAAGCTCAGGAGAGGGGAAAAGGCATCTGGAGTTTGAACCTGGGTGCTCAGATCCCAACATCTTGCCCTTGGTCTCCAGCTCCCCAAAGAGGGCAGGGGGGAGGGGCTAGCCAGAGCTGTGAAGAGCCCTGGACGGGAAGAAACCCCAGGGATGCAGTGTCCCTGGGGGACCAGGTTGGCTTTGGGCTGTGCCCTGGCCTGTCCCAGACAGAGGGGCCCGTGTCTGTCCCTCAGACTCAGACAGGGCCTGTATTCTTGATGGGGCAGATGCCGCAGTCACCATCAGGCTGGGCTCCTCTGGGCCAGCCTCCCCAGCCTCCTATCCGCCCGTGGATCTGATCCTTCTGAAGGAAGCCACCAGGGTGTGCCAGGCCAGGCCCCCGGGGACATGGTCTGAGCACTGTTCATAGCAGCGAGAAGGGCAGTGATCATGGCCACTCTGAAATTCTTGCCATACCTTGGCTTGTAGACACGCCACTCCAGTCACACAGTCCCCTTTCCCTGGTGTGTCTCTGTGGTCTCCCCTCTGTGTGCGTGGCTGGATCCAAATTGCCCATTTTGATAAGGACCCCAGTCACTATTTTAACTTGATTGTCTTTGTAAAGACCTTATTTCCAAATAAGGTCACATTCTGCAGTACTGGAGGTTAAGATGCCAACATATTGGGGAGGACACGATTCAACCCATAATATGTGTCATTTCATGGCATCTTCTCCTGAAACCTCTGGGTGGAGGAGGTTTTTAAAATTGGAGTCCCGGGGCACCTGGGTGGCTCAGTCGGTTGAGTATCTGACTCTTGGTTTCAGTTCAGGTCACGATCTCAGGGTCCTGAGATTGAGCCCCGTGTCGGGATCCACGCTCAGCAGGGAGTCTGCTTGAGATTCTCTCTCCCTCTGTCCCTCCCCTCCCCAACTCATGCACACTTTCTCTCTCTCAAACAAGTAAATAAATCTTTAAAAAATAAAAAATAAGATTGGAGCCCCATTTTATAGATGAGGAAAGCCAAGGCCCCGATAGGTCAAGGTCATACAGCTTGCCATCATTTCTTTGTTCATTCTATGAGTAATTATTGAGTGCCTGCTGTGTACCAAGCATTGGGCATTGGGGACTCAGTGGGCAGACCTGGTGTCTGTCCTGCGGGGCTTGTGGCCTACAGACAGAAAGCCGGGGAGGTGGGCCCACAGGATTGGGGTTTGATGATGGAAAGCCAGATGCTGTGGGAGCCAGGAGGAGGTCCCCTGCTCCAGCTCAAGAGGGCATCTTAGTTGAGAACTCAGGGGAAGGAGGGGAGGAGGGAAAGGTGTTTCAGGCAGAGGCCCAGCACGTGCAAAGGTCCTGAGGTAGGAAGGGGTGCATTTGGGGCAGTGCCAACAGCCAGAGTGAGGGGGTGCTGGGGGAAAGAGACTAGCACCAACATTGTGAATGGTGCCAGGCTAAGGAGCTCAGGGTGTCGGGGGTCCCAGAGGGGCTGGGGGAGGGAAGGGACATTGTTAAGAGGCTAGAGCCCCTCCCTCAGTGACCCCGCTGACAAACCCCCCCTTCTGTCTGCCTCACAGTGAAGCACCCGCCGGCGGAGCCCTCCAGGTTCATCTCAGTGCCCCCCAAGACGCCAGACAAGATGGGCTTCGACGAGGTGAGCCAGGCCTCCCCTGGCGGGCTGGGGTGGGGGGCGGGGGCTGGCCCGGAGGGTGCGACCAGAGCTCTGGGCCGCAGGTCTTCATGATCAACCTGAAGCGGCGGCAGGACCGGCGGGAGCGCATGCTGCGGGCCCTGCAGGCTCAGGAGATTGAGAGCCGGCTGGTGGAGGCCGTGGACGGCAAGTGCGTCCGGAGTCCCGCCGCGGGGGGAGGAGCCAGTGGGCACCGGGCTGTAGACCACTCCCTGGCAGGCCCGGCCCAGTGGGTCTTCCTCTGACCCCCCCTCTCCCCGCCCCCAGAGCCATGAACACCAGCCAGGTGGAGGCACTGGGCATCCAGATGCTGCCTGGCTACCGGGACCCCTACCACGGGCGGCCCCTCACCAAGGGTGAGCTGGGCTGCTTCCTCAGCCACTATAACATCTGGAAGGAGGTAGGTCTGGCAGGGGAGGGGAGGGCAGGGCCGTCCTCAAGCTTCTGGCAGCTCAGGGAGGGACTCGCTGGCGCCCCCTGCAGGCTTCTGAAACTTGGGCAGGACACAGGGCCTCTGTTTCGAGATGACTTCACCTGCATGTCACCTGCAGCCTGGCTGGGGCAGCTGCTGTCCTTCCATTGTGCAGATGGGGAAGCAGACTAGGGAGGGAGGGATGAGCCCGGCTCCCACAGAAGGTGGGGTCTCAGGCCCAGGACCCCCAAGGGAGGCCTCTTCCCACCCCACTGTCTTTGGAGCCTGGACTCTGTGCTCAGCATTGACAAGGAGAAGTGATGGCCGCAGGGACAGTAAGCAACGCTAACCCCGCGCCAGCGGCTCGTCAGCCAAGCTCAGAGGCCGAGAGTCAAACCTGGAGCCACCGGGCATGGGGCCAGATGGGGCGTTTGAGGTGACGGTGCTCTTTCCCTGAGTGAGACTCGTCATGGATGGCGTGGGGCAGAGGCTGTGGTATCTGGGTGGCCCGACCCCGGTTCAAGCCCAGCCCTGCCTCTTAGAGGGATGAGCTCTGTGAGCAAGGAGGGTGCTTTGTTCTTGCAGATGACAGTCACCCTCCTCAGTCTTGAGGATTCTCAAGTGCATTCGGCGAGCACCCATGCACCTGCTGTGCATCTGGCCTGGTGTTGGGAATGTGACAGCCAGCAAGACAGATGTGGGCCCCTGCAGGGGGCTCACAGCCCAGGGATGTGGGGTGACTGATGGCAAACCACAATAAACTAAGTGCAGCGCACCCACAGGAGGGCCATGAATTGTCCTCGGCTGACAGCTTTGGCCAGTGGTTGGGGAGGGCCTAGTAGGTGACATTTGACCTGAGGCCTGAAGGCTGGGGGCCTGCCTGCCACTGCACTGGGGGGTGCTCTGCATCGGCACAGGCACAGACCTTGGGGTAGGAAGTAGAAGCCAGGCCAAGGCCAAGGTCAGGGCACATGTCACCAAGTGTGTGAGGAGCTGATGGCCAAGAGGTCCATCCAGACGATGGTGAGGAAGGCTTGTGTTTGCTTCTCTCCTGCTGCCCCAGGGCCTTGAAGCAGAGCTGACCTCAGGGTCAGCTCTGCCCTTGGTCTCTGTCTGATGTGGGCAGGGCATCCTCCCTCAGGTTGTGGACCGTGGGCTGCGGAAGTCGCTTGTCTTCGAGGACGACCTGCGCTTTGAGATCTTCTTTAAGAGACGCCTGCTGAACCTCATGCGGGACGTGGAGCAGGAGAGTCTGGACTGGGACCTCATGTGGGTGTGGGGCAGGGCTGGCCATGGGGTCTGGGCCCTGGGTGGCACTGGGGTGGGGCCGGGGCTCGGGGGCTCAGTTTGGAGTGGGGTGGAGCTGCAGTCTGGGGCTCAGAAGTGTGACGCAGAGCCTGGAGGTCTGAGGGTCTTTGCAGGTTAATAGGCTGGGCCAACTCTTGGGGGTGTGGCAGAAGAGGACTCGGGTGTAGCCTGTGTGAGGGGCCTCATGGTCCCTGGATCCGAGAGCAGTCAGGGTTTGGCCTAAAGCCTGTAGGGTAGGGCCTATGGGCCTAAGGCCTGGGAGGTAGGGCCTGTGGGGTAGGGCCAAAGGCCTGTGAGGATGACCTGGAAATCTAGGGACCTGGCCTGTGGGGAGGGGGCTCTGTCAGGGCTTGGAGACTTGGTGAGTCCTGTAGGAGATGGGGTATGCCTAAGATTTGACTTGGAAGCCTGTGCGCATGGCTGAAGATCTTGGGGTGTGGGCTGGGGTAGGTGTGGCCAGGGCTTGGGGGTGTGCCCAGGAGCTGGGGGCGTGGCTGAATGTGGGGGCATACCCAGGGAGCCTGGGTCTTAGACCAGCACTAGGTAGGATGTGGCCAGCATATTTCTGGAACAGTCCTTTGGAATCTCCTCTAAGTGAGTTGGTTTGCCCTCCCCCCGCCCCTTCTCTCTCCTGCGCACAGGGCCCTGATGCAGGTTCTAGGCCCCAGACTCTGGGCCATGCTAGTAATAGGTGTAGAAGCCATATCCCTTCATCCCCAGCTACTCACCACATTCCTGCACCTTGCCCAGCTGCCCCACAACCTTCTGAACTTAGAGCAGCTTCCCTTCTAGCCCCACTCCTTCCTGTGGTTCAGCCTCAGAGAGTGTCCAGGACGTCTTCCCCTTTCCAGTTCCAAATCCTCCCATGGCTCCCTAGTACCCTTGGAAAAAACTCATCTCCTCCCTGCACGTCCCAGACGCCTGTGGTCCTCCCTGGTCCTGCAGCTACACCAGCCTCCTGGTTGCTCCCGGGAACACACCCAGCCCGCTCCCACCCCAGGGCCTGACGGAGGCTCACTGGATCTCAGACTTGCACAGTTAGCATTCTCCTGCGGGCGGAAGAGGGTGACAGGACCCTGACTCTGCCCCCGCAGCTACGTGGGCCGGAAGCGGATGCAGGTGGAGCACCCGGAGAAGGCCGTGCCGCGCGTGAGGAACCTGGTGGAGGCTGATTACTCCTACTGGACGCTGGCCTACGTGATCTCCCTGCAGGGCGCCCGCAAGCTGCTGGCCGCCCAGCCGCTCTCCAAGATGCTGCCCGTCGACGAGTTCCTGCCCGTCATGTTTGACAAGCACCCAGTGTGAGACGCTCGCTGCGGGCACACGGGCCGGGGTCTTGCCGTGCGTCTGTCCTGGCTCGGTGGGCGTGGGGCTGGCGGACCCCCGGGTCGCCTCTTTTCCTCTGCCTACTCCTACCTCCATGCCTGCCCCCCCCCGCCCACTTCTGTCTCAGTCTGTCCCCTCCCACCTCCCCCTCCATCTTTCCCCGACTCCCAATCCACGCCGGTCCCCCCTCTCCCCACCCGCCCCCCAGGTCCGAGTACAAGGCCCACTTCTCGCCCCGCAACCTGCGCGCCTTCTCGGTGGAGCCCCTGCTCGTCTACCCCACGCACTACACGGGGGACGACGGGTACGTGAGCGACACGGAGACCTCAGTCGTGTGGAACAACGAGCACGTGAAGACCGACTGGGACCGCGCCAAGTCCCAGAAGATGCGGGAGCAGCAGGCCCTGAGCCGCGAGGCCGAGAACTCGGACGTCCTGCAGTCGCCACTGGACAGCGCGGCGCGCGACGAGCTCTGAGCGCCGACGGCCAAACGCCGAAGCCGGCCTCGCGGGCCCGGCACCCCCTAGCCCCCCGCGGACCCCGGCAGGCGGCGGAGGCCTCTCTCCCCGCGAGGGGCGTGCAGCCGGCTCGGCAAGCACGTGCACGCAGGCAGCTTTAATGCAGGGCCTACTGTATGCCGGGAGCGGGCCTTGGCGCCGGGGGATCAGGGGAACCAGACCTCGTTCGTGTCTTCGGGTGCCGAACACTTGAAGTCCTCACCGGGTACCGGGCTCCCGTGTTCGGCGGCGGGTGAGGCATAATTATCCCCTCAGCCGGTGACTGATTAAGCCGTCAAGCTTGTTTTGATTCCCCCCCCCCCGCCCCCCCCCCCCCCAAGAATCAGCACTAGTGATACACAGTCATTGTTTTAATTCATTGAAGTATTTATTGAATGCCTACTGTATGTTGGGCACCAGCCATTCTGGGCTCTGAGAATATTGGGGTAAACGAGACACTTTTCATTCATTTCTCTGAACACCTGTCAAGCACCCACTATGTGCCTGGTACTTGTGACCCAAAGACAAGTCCTTATTAACTCAGCATTTATTGAGTGCCTGCTGTGTGCTGGGAACTGAGCTTGGTGCTGGGGGTGAAGATGAACCAGGTGCTTTTCACTCTTGGATTGGCTTCTTCCCGACTCATCTAGAGAGCACCTACTGTGGGCCAGGCATTAGTGATACCAAACGGTGTGGCAGTTGCTGGGTCAGCATCGGATCACCCACGTGTGTGCGGGGCCACATGCCAAGGGCTGGGCCACCGAGATGAACAAGATGAGTCTTCTTTCTTCATGCAGCAGGCGTTTATCGAGCACCTACTGCGTACCAGACCTCATGGACTCCCAGTGGGACTGGAGAATGGTTGGCTGAGAGTTTGATCCCCACCTGTCCCTCAGTCACCCAAGTTGTGCGCAGACAAAGTCCCCCCACCACCCAGGAGGGAGGGTGGCTCTCCCCTCAGCAGGGGCAGCTGCAGGTCCCAGCGACCACATGGCCACATGCAGGCTCCCCTGGACCCGGCCCCCCTGGCGGGGGCAAGGAATAAAGACAGGGGCTGGGTCTCCTGTGCTCACCTGTGCTCCCGTGTTGACCTGTCACCCCGTTTGCTTGACCTCCCTGGCCTGCATCTCAGGCGTGGGCTCTGCCCGCTCCATGGGGTTCCTACATTCAAGGCTTTGGTGGGACTGTGTGTTTGAGGCCCTGCGTGGGCTCGGCTGCACCAGGGTACTGCCCGTGGCCCGGGCAGGTGCTCCCCGGCATGGGCTGGAGGACTCACTGTGCCTTCAGCCTAGAATGAATGTCAGAGCCAGCCAGCGGTGCTTTGCTCTCTTAGGGATACCTGCTCACTGGGTCAGGTCCTGGATAACTTGCTTATTTTTTTATTAAACGTTCCTGGTTGGTTTTCACATCAGTCTGTGTTCTTTTCTTGGTCCACTGCTCTACTCACCACCAACACACACAGTACCCCCCCCCGCCCCCCACTGCTGGCCAAGATGTGGGAGGAGACCAGGCGCTAGAGGGAAGCCCAATGGTGGAGGGATGAGGGGGGAGGGTGTAGTGAGAGCCCCTTCTCTTGGCCTAACCCCATAAAACTTCCCTGAAATAGCTCAGGGACGGCTGGGGCCTACCGCAGTGTATCCTGTGGGGTCAACTGCAGGATCATCTCCGATGACAGAATGAGGAGAGACGCTGTCATGTTTTGGGGTCTCCAGAAAACAGACTCCAAGATGAGGATTTGAGTTGTCCCAGAAGTGACCCCAGGAAGCCCCGATGAGGGGTGGGCACGTGAGACGAGGAGGGGAGGAACCCTGCAGGAGGCGTCAATGTGCAACTGAGTCTGGGCCTCTGGGGACCTCAGGAGACAGCACAGAGCGTGTGCCTCAGAGTGGTCCCACCCCAGGTGATGGGGGCGGGGCATTTAGCCACACCCAGCTCTTCGTCAAATACTGAAAGGTTCTCAAGATTCCTAAGCCCTTGGACTGCGTAGGTACGCACCCAAGGCTTCTATAAAATAACACAGACGGTGTGTATCCTTGTGGAAGAATTAGAACATACAGCTAAGCAAATTGAAAAAGCCCAATTAAATCCTATATCCTCAGAGACGACAACAATTAACATTTTGGTGAAAAACCTTCCAGTCTCACCCATGCGCATGGTGCAAATATACACACACGTTTTCAAAGAGAGGATCATGTTCCATAAATGGATTCGACCTTCCCCCCACATCCTCCACCTGACTCAAATTTTTATTCCATAAACATGGGATCAAATTACACCTGGTTTTTCAGCAATTTTCTTTTTTAAATTTTTTTTTTTAAGATTTTATTTATTTATTTGAAAGAGAAGGAGAGAGAGAGCACACAAGCAGAGGCAGAGAGAGAGGGAGAAGCAGACTCCCCACCGAGCAGGGAGCCTGATGCGGGACTCGATCCCAGGACCCTGGGATCATGACCTGAGCCGAAGGCAGACGCTTAACGACTGAGCCACCCAGGCGCCCTCTTTTTTAAATTTAACAACATATTGTGGGCGTTCTAATCAGGGCAGACGTCTATGAGTTCTTTTTGGGTTGTCACATACAATGTTCAGCGATGGTGATGGACCACCATTCACGCGGCTGTTCTGACCCCGGACTGTCACCGCCCGACTGCGAGCCGTGTTACACGACACATCCTTCCTGCAATTGGGTGAGTCAATGCAGGTGAAAATGCTGGATTCACGTGTGTGCACGGCTCATTTCATGCGGCTACTGTATTTACCCTTCTTGCTTAATCCTGACTATTCATCGTGTGTTTACGGAGGTGGATGATGCAAGTTTATTAATCTCTCATAGAACATCAGAGTCATTTCTCATGTGTTCCAGTTATGTGGGATGTTTCTAAATCTTATCAACCCAGTGGATCTCAGCTGGGGTGTTTTTGTTCCTTGGGGACATTGGGTGATGTCTGGAGACATTTCTGGTTGTGGTGACTCAGGGTGGTGCTATTGGCATCTGGGAGGGGGGCAGGGATGCCACTGCACATCCTCTAGTGTACAGGGCAGCCCTGTGACAAAGACTGATTTGGCCCCAGAAGTCCACAGGGCTCTGGTTGAGAATCCTGCACCAATCCCATTCAGCCTCTTGGGGACATGAGTCTCTAGAAGGGTCTTCTTTGTGGCATGAAGTGAAGCATCCTTCGCTATGAAATCTCTCTGGTTAAAACAGGTTCTGCCTCCAAACTGAAGAGGTTAGAAGCTTAAAAGTGGTGACTGGGAATCCCAATTTTATTCTGATAAAATCTCCAGAAGAGTCATATTTCCATGTTCCTGCTGATATATATATCACAAGTTATATTCAAAAGTCTGAAATCAGTTTCACTTGGGTATAGTCAAGATGTCAGCAGGGTTGGATTCCTTCTGGAGGATCTAGGGGAGATTCCATGTCCTTGTTTTTTCCAGCTTCTGGAGATTGCTGGCATGCCTTGACTCACAGCTACTTCCTGTATCTCCCCAATCCCTTGCTTCTGTCATCCTGTCTCCTACTTCTTCATCACGTCTCCTACTTCTTCCATCCCACCTACAAGGACCCTTGTGATTACACTTAGGACCCACTTGGATAATCCAGGACAAGCTTCCCATCATCTTAAGATCCTTAATTACATCTACAATGTTTCTTTTGCCATTTCCGTGCATCCTTGCGCAGGGGCCATGCTAAGCTTCTCTGTATCGTTCCAATTTAGGTATATGTGCTGCCAAAGCCAGAGCTCCTTTTGCCATTTAAAGTAATATTCACAGGGGCATCTGGGTGGCTCAGTCAGTTAAGCATCAGATTCTTGATCTCAGCTCAGGTCTTGATCTCAGGGTTGTGAATTCAAGCCCCATGTTGGGCTCCATGCTGGGTATGGAGCCTACTTAAAAAAAAAAAAAGAAAGAAAGAAACTTTCACAGATTCTGGGCAATGGGATGTGGGTATCTTTGATGGAGGGGTTATTCAGTCTACCATATGCATCGTTTTAGCAGACTGTAATCGTGGCTGGGTCTGTGGATGTGATGTATCATAATTTCTTATGTATCCTGGTGTAGCATAGCAGTCAGGATTAAGGGTGGGAAATAGAAACCACTTGAGGTCTTCTTTTTTTTTTTGAGTGAACTGTGTGTCCAATGCAGGGCTCACACTCATGACCCAGAGATCAAGAGTCCCATGCTCTACTGCCTGAGCCAGCCAGGCACCCTGAAAAACCACTTGAGGTCTTTTAACACAAAGGGTTTAATACAGGAAATTCACAAGACTGAACTCTGCGGTTGTAGCATGAAAGCAGCCTCGGATTGAGCTGAATGAATGAATGAATGAAGGAGCATGGCCTTATGCCAATAACACTTTATTTACAAAAACAGGCAGTGGGCTGGGTGAGGTCCAGGGGGCAGAGTTTTCCACTCCTGGCGCAGGAGAGCAGGACCAGGACTGGTCCTACAGGAATGACTCTGCAGAACCTGCTCACCAGGGGATCTGAGGCTCCCTGAAATCAAGGTAGGGAGGCGGGAGGTCCTTGACACCTCTGACTTGGGGCACATACCCTGTATCTGCGATCCAGAAATGGAATGCCCCCTTTGTGTCCACCACAACTGCTTTTCAACACCCACCAAGCTTGTCACTGGACAAGGGAATGCAGATTCCAGAACAACAGGTGTTTCTATGCCTGGCTGTGAACAGGGGAAGCAAAAACCAAGACAGCTCCGGTCTCTTCTGCCTTCCAGATGCCCCCAGGCATCTCCGTGGGTGGACCTGAGCACGTGCCAGCTGCGGGGAAACTCTGTGAGCCTGGCTGCAGCTTTGCAGCCTCTGCCTAGAAAGAGGTTGGATCGAGGTGGGTTCTGATGTCAACCCACCACTTCCTCCTCGTTTATTCCTGTACTTTATGGTGATGGGAAGAATGGTTGTGTAATTGTAGGATGCATAATTGTGGAACCTATTATATGTAATTGTAGCATTAGGAACACAGTAATTATCATGCAATATAATGAATTATGTAATGAAATGTAATCGCACACAGATCATGAATCACAGAATTGTGTTACACCCTCCAGGAAACTGTTTATCTTGTTTACGTTCCCTGGGTGATCGTGCCATGTTGGCAGGTAGCATGATGAAGAGGGGTGGGGAAAGGGGAGTGAGGTTAGGGTAGATTAAGGGGCAGGGGCGAGAGCAGGAGGACAGGGTGAGGTTGAGGCTGGGGGTTCAGGGACAGTGGAGGATGGGTCGTGAGCATGAGGATGGTGCTGGAGTTTAGCTGCAGGTTAGGGGAGGTGAGGAGAAAGAAGCAGGAGGGGGAGTTGGAATAATGGACTAGGTTAGAGGTTGGCAAACTCTGGCCCGAGACTGTCCAGCCACCTGTTTTTCTGTTTAATCTTTAAAATTGAGATGAAATTCGGATAACATAAACTTAGCCATATGCAAGTGGACAATCCTGTGGCACTTAGCACATTCACAGTGTTGTGTAGCCATCACCACCATCCACCTCCAGAAATTTCCATCCTCCCAAACTGGAACTCTGTCCCCATCAGACACAAACTCCCGCTCCCCCTCCCCCAGCCCCCGCCACCCACGGTCCTACTTTCTGCCTCTACGGATTTGGCTACTCAAGTGGGATCATACAGTCTTTGTCCTTTGGTGACCGGCTTCTTTCACTCAGCAGAGTGTCCTCAAGATTCGCCCATGTTGTGGCCTGGGTCAGAATCTCCTTCCTGTTTAAGGCTGAAGTATCTTCCGGTGTGTGGATAAACCGCCTTGCACTGGCCCATTCATCTGTTGATGGACGCTGGCTTGCTTCCATGTTTCGGCTACTGTAAACCATGCTGCTCTGAACATGGGTGTCCAAATATCTCTTCCAGACCCTGCTTTCCATTCTTTGGAGGATATTCCCAGAAGTGGAATTGCTGGGTCACAGGGTAATTCTGTCTTTAATCTCTTTAGGACTCTCTCTCCCGTTTTCCACAAAGGCTGCACCATTTTACACGCTCACCAATAGGACGCGAGCGTTCCAGTTTCCCCACATCCCCAGCGCTTGCTGCCTTCTGGGTTTTTCGGTAGTAGCCATCTTGATGGTATGAGGTAGAATCCTCCATTTTTAAATCCTAAATGTTGTGCTTATTTTTTTTTTTTTAAGATTTTATTTATTTATTTGACAGAGAGAGAGAGAGACAGCGAGAGCAGGAACACAAGCAGGGGGAGTGGGAGAGGGAGAAGCAGGCTTCCCGCCAAGCAGGGAGTCCGGTGCGGGGCCCGATCCTAGGACCCTGGGATCATGACCTGAGCTGAAGGCAGACGCTTAACCAACTGAGCCACCCAGGTGCCTCTATGCTTATTTTTTTTTTAATTAATCACACATGTATCCTGAAACTAGATTTCTTTGTGTGTAAATATATGCAGCTGGTTGTTGGGCTTGCTCAACATGGGTCATGCCCTGTGCAGACGTGTAAGATTTACTTTTTCCCAGTCAACATCACACGTCTAACATTCATTCACATACTTTGTCAGAGAAAAGCCTCCCTCGCTCCAGAGAGAAGGGCAGACGTCAACCTGCCCCTTGCCCACGGGTGTGGAGTTGACTACGAGATTCGGTGGATCCAGAGCCAGGCCATTTGGTTCTCGAAGCACAGCAAGCAGCCGGAGTGAGCCTCCGTTCCCAAGCTTTGCGGGTGACACGACGGAGCCCACAGGCTGAGGGACATGGGGCCAAGGGCTGAGCCCCTCTGGTAGCAAGCAGCACATAAGCCCGTCCCCTGGGTCAGGGAGCGAGCAGTCATGCAGAAGTCACGCTGTGTAGCCCACGCGTCTAGCTCCGGAAACTTCTCGGTCTCTGGGAGAGAGCAGCTGTGCAGCCTGGCACGGTCAGCAAGGGCGTGCAAGGCCCGTGGTGGGCTGCGTCTTCTGACACCTTGCCCACAGCCCTGGCTTGTCCCTCTCCCCAGCCATAGAATATTCCCCTGTGTGCAAATCCCATGACATGAGGCTGCTTCCAGCCTTCTTACCCACGTGCAAGATGCATTCGTAGGAGAATTTCTAGGTATAGGTAACTCCCGTGGTTTAACCACTTTGGGTCCTGCTTTTAATTCTTTTGGCTGTTTTTTGTAGCTAAGAGCACTCAGCGAAGTGGCTCCCAGGGGTGGATCTCGTGGCCCTTGCCCTAGACACTCAAATGTAGAAACCACCCCAGATCTTGGGGTGTGTGTATGTGTGTGGGGGGTGGTCCTTGAATTCCCCTGAGGAAACCCTGAGCTGAGTGAGATTCCATTTCTGCTCCCTGGTGGGATGAGGGCTCAAAACAGAAATTAAATTCAGCGGTAGGGGCACCTGAGTGGCTAAGTCAGTTAAGCATCTGACTCTTGGTTTTGACTCTGGTTGTGATTTCAGGGTCATGGGATTGAGCCCCATGTCCGGCTCTGTGCAGAGTCTGCTTGAGACTCTCTCTTCTTCTCCCTCTGCCCCTCTTGCTCGTGCTCTCTCTTTCTCTCAAATAAATAAATAAATCTTAAAAAAAGAAATTAACTTCAGCTGTAGAAAAATGAGGTTTTGTTCTTTGCATGTTTATGAAATGAGATTCTCACCTGCTATATTTAAAAAAAAAAACAAAACAGGTAGGGACCAAAGTGGGACTGGACAGGAACTATCTGAGCACAACCTTGGACTGACGACCCAGAGAAGGGCTGGAGGTAAGAATGGAGCCAGGGGGTGAGACCCTTAGCCCCGGCCTGCTCACCTTGGAGGAGCCCTGAGCAGGAACCCTGGCTATATCAAACTGCACAAGATCCCGCAGCCCAGAACATCTCCCAGATGGTATTCACAGGACAGAACCATATCTGTCTCACTGCTGACAGCCTTGCTGACAACGTTGTCCTGAACCTACAGGATGAAAGTGTTACCTGGGACAGTGACAGCCTTGTCAAGGGTAAGAAATGAGCCTGGTGACCAGGAACTCCACCCCCAGAGAAGAAGCAGTTTTGTTTCTCCCCTGGTTTTTGAGGAGCCAGCTTGGGGTCCAGCACACCCCCATCCCACCCCCAGTATCATGTGATGGTCCCTTATGCATCTGTCCTCCCAACACTTCTTGGATGAACAAAGCCTGACCAATTTTTGGGGGGAAGGGTTTTGCGCCTTCCTGTGTTGGCCAGAGGTGTTGGGGGACAGTGTGATTTCTTTCTTTTTCTTTCTTCCTTCCTTCCTTTCTCCCTTCTTTCCTTCCTTCCTTCCTTTTTCTTTTTCTTTCTTTCTTTCTTTCTTTCTTTCTTTTTCTTTCTTTCTTTCTTTCTTCTTTCTTTCTTTTTCTTTCTTCTTTCTTTCTTCTTTTTTTCTTTTCTTCTTTCTTCTTTAAGATTTTATTTTATTATTTTTTTAAAGATTTTATTTATTTATTTGAGAGAGAGACAGAATGAGAGACAGAGAGCATGAGAGGGAGGAGGGTCAGAGGGAGAAGCAGACTCCCTGCCAAGCAGGGAGCCTGATGTGGGACTCGATCCCGGGACTCCAGGATCTTGACCTGAGCTGAAGGCAGTCGCTTAACCAACTGAGCCACCCAGGCGCCCTAAGATTTTATTTGAGATAGGGACACCTGAGTGGCTCAGTCGGTTAAGCGTCTGCCTTCGGCTCAGGTCATGATCCCAGGGTCCTGGGATGGAGTCCCATGTTGGGCTCCTTGCTCAGCGGGGGGCCTGCTTCTCCCTCTGCCCCTCCCCCTGCTTGCTCTCTCTCTCTCTGACAAATAGATAAATAAAACCTTTTAAAAAAGATTTTATTTGAGAGAGAGTCAGCGAGCAAGCATGTGCATGAGCCAGGTAAAGGGCAGAGGGAGAAGCAGACTCCCTACTGAGTGGGGAGCCCAATGGGGGGCTCGATCCCAGGATTCCAGGATCATGACTTGAGCCAAAGGCAAACCGATGGAGCCACCCAAGCGCCCCAGGACAGCGTGATTTCTGAGTGCTTTCCCTCAGTGATTTCGCAACCTCCCTCCAGGTTGGGAGGCAATAACCACCATTCCAGGAATTCTCAATACATTTTTATTACTTAAGCTGGGGAAAACCAAACACAACAGACAAACGTGGGGCTGGAGGTTGAGTGTGTGTCCCAACTTGCTTGAGCTAAGAGCAACAGCGGTCCATGTCCTAGGTTCAGATCCCGGCTCTCCCCGCCCTGCAGCATCTCCCCTCCCTGGGCCTCACTTCTCCTTCTACAAAGCTAGTCGTGCATGAGTTGCGTTCATGGGTGGGAAGTGTGTTCAACAGTGTCTGCGAGTATTAAGAGCTATGTGAGTTTTTCGCCGATTTGGGAACGCAAGAAAGCCACCATGTGTCTGAGGCTGTGTGCTTTTTCTTTTTTTAATGTCTGCTGTTAATAAAATATTTTTACAGAGACCAAAAAGTCGGAATAGTGCAAAACATCTCAACACCATGCATTCATGACGACTTCTCGTTGGTTTTAAACATTTGTTCCAAGTCACATATTTACAGAGAAATGGGGGCATCTGTGCAGATGCCAGACCAACGGGATGGAATTAAAACAAACAAACGAAGAGCATTTTGATTTCACATTTGCAATCACATGCTAAGAGAAGGTGTGTGGAGGAAGAACCTCCCTGAACTGCGCGTCCGGGTTTGGGGGTCTCAGGGGGGCGGGGCCAGGGGTGAAATGTGAGTCCCCCTGGCTGTTTGGCCTGGGATGCACAGGGGATTGGCAGGGGGGACCCTCTGCCTGTGACCTGTGCCTCAAGTGAGCCACTGTGGTTAGGCAGGGCTCGGGGAATGGGGGACACCGTCAACTTGATTTCTCTCTTTAAAAAAAAAAAAAAGGCAAATAGAAAAGCAATACGTGTCAGCGAAGACGACTTTGGTCCTTGACAATTCTTAGGAAAGGATGTTCAGGGGGCAGACGGTGTCATGACCCGAACCAAACCCCCAGCGAGCTCCCCTCCCGCTCCACTGGGGCAGCAGAGTTTAGGGGCGACTCTGGGCTGTCCCTGCTCTGTCCTGCCCCTCGGTGTCCCCATCTGCAAAATGAACAGTGCAGGGTGTGGGGGACAGAAAGGTCTCTGAGGTCCCAAAGATTTCTAGTTGGGTGTTAAGTTTTTTGCATCTCTGATGGGGGCACGGTGAGGTTTCAGGCTCTGGAGCCCGAGAGGGATTGCAGGTCGAGGCCAGGCACCTGCTCGTTTTACATAAATCCTTCCAGGATGGACTGGTGAGAGCCAGAGAGAACAGTGGGTTCCTCTTCCTTCTAGATCCCCAACTTTTCTCCCCACCTCTTCATCTCAAGATCGCTCTATGTCCCCCCAAGAGACCCTCAAGGTCTCTCTGGGCATGATCTCACCCTCCCAGTTTCTCCCTTTCTCTCTCTTTCCATCCTTCCCTCTTCTTCTCTCTTTGTGTCCTTACTCTGGGACACTGTCCCTCTTGATGGGTGGGGTACAGGGAGAAGGGATCGGCTCTGTCCAAGATGCCCCTCAATGTCACACTCCCCCTCCCACGGGCCAACCCTACTTTTATCCTTTCCCTGAACCATGGAAATCTAGGGCCAGTTCCTGGCATGAAATGAGGTCCAAATACAACCCCGAGACCCCACCAGGGCTCAGAACTTCAGGCACCCCAGGTGAGGTGGTGAGTGGGTTTGGGGAAAACCCTGCTCCTCTCTGAGCCTTGTTCCAATACAGGAACTTCCTAGTTCCAAAGGCTTCCAGGCCCTGAGACTCCTTTCCTGTCTCCTCCTTGTCTGCTCTTGTCCTCTCTCCACTCTGTGTCCTGTGACTCAGCCACAGTCTGGCTGGAGCACCTTCTGTGTGCCCAGGTCTATGTGGGAGGGGAAGGTTGGTATGGACAGACATGGATAGACATGCATGTGGACCCCCCACCCCAAGACATAATTCTACTAGGCATACCCTCCCTGTCATCGCCCTGTGCCCAGTCTGTGCTCAGTGAACTTGGGGCTATCAAGAGGCCTCAAACCCCAGTCTGGGGGAAACAGAGCCTGTCACAGACACCCCCCCAGCCCCCGGCATCAGGGACAGAAGGGAGGGACAGAGGCTGGGGAAGTCCTGAGGAGGAGCAGTGAGGGTTTTCTACAGGTGAGGATATTTGTGATGGGTTTTGAGGGATAAATAGGAGTTCTCTGGGGAAAGAAGACGGAGTAAATTTCCAAAACAGTTCTAGCCTGGGAGTCAGAAAAAGTCATTCAACAAATACTCCCTGAAGCTCCCTCCATGTGCCTGGACTGGCGCTGGGGAACTTTACACACACACACACACACACACACACACACTCACACACACTGGCAGGCCTTGACCAGAGACTCCCAAGGACTCTTTTGGGAAATAAGTTGGCTCTCTCAGGCAGAAGCTCAGCTCCCCTTTCCCTGCTGGTCATCCATAAATCTTTCAGGGCTCAGCCCCGGTCATATTACCTCCCCTTTGGGTGTTGCTGGTGTTCTCAACCCGAATCATCTATCCACCTCACTCCCACCTACCCCTTGGATGGTCTGAATTTAAAACCTCCTTCTCGGTCCATGTGATAGAGATTCTAGGCTCCCTCTTTGCCACCTCCCAGCCTGCCCCTGGCCCCTGCCCCCTCCCCCACCATCCTGTAGCAGAACTTGCATCCTAGTCTCTGGTTCAGAACCTTCAGGCACCCGAACCTGCCTAAATTCAAAGGACATAGAGGACCTCCAGGTAACTCAGAAAACAGTGCCATTTCTTCCAGACTTGTTCACCTGCCAGGAAACCATCAATATAAACATACAACTCTCAATGCCTAGGATTTGCACATGGCCTCCTTAGACACGCCAAACCCTTGGGCAGTGCACAATGGGGACAACGCTACCCAGTGTGGCCCAAGGCTCATCTAAGGGGTAGGTTTGTTTTTTCTTTTTAATGTACCCTCCAAAATCTTTCCAGGAATTAATTTCAGTGTCCCAAAAGCACTTTGTCTCTCCCCCAAACTGCACTGGTCCTTTCTCCATGAGGTGGCCAGAGGGAGATTTTGAAATCTGACCTTCAGACTCTCCTCAGCTTTAAAATTTCCTGGGGTCCCCCAAGTCTCTTAGCGTAAAATAAAAACTCCCCAGGGCAGCATACAAGGCCCTGCCTGGTCTGACATCTCTGCAGGGCTCCCTGACATCAACACCTCCTCCCTGCTGTCCCCCTCGTCAGCCACTTTGACCTCGCTTGTGCTTCAAGCCTGCCCACCTCAGCCTTTGCACCTACTGTTCCCTCCGCCTGGAGCTTTTTCTCTCTAATCGGTGGTTCCTTCTCCTTTTTCACCTCCTCAGCAAGCTCTCCCTCATGTGCTGTCTGACACAGCCCCCACCACTCCAGGAGCCCAGCTACTCCTCACCCGGCCCCTGTTTTAATTTCTTTCTAGTACAAGAGAATCCTGTACTTGTCAGTCCCGCAGGGGGAAAAAAATGGCACAAAAGCACCCATCCAACGTGGAAAAGCAGATTCAGGGCAAAGACAAGCCAGGACAAACTTTCCCAAAAGGTTCTGCCTGCATGAACTACAATGGGGAAACTTGACTCTGACCAGATTGCCCCACTATTACCTCCTGGAGGAAGAGCTTCAGGCAGGTAGAGGCCCCACCTCTGGTGTTTGAATGAATGAATGAGATTTTGGAGACTAAGCTCCAAGCATGTTTGTATATTTACACACACACATATACACACACCTAGAGTTTCTGGTCTCTTTCTTGCCTACCTGGAGAATTCTGGAAGAGGAAGAAGGGGTTCAAGGTGTGCCTGGGTCCAGGGAATCGCAAATCCTCACTCTTTTTTTGGTGGGAGATCTAGAGTTCTCAGGGAATCTCCCCATAGGTTCCCAGTGGAAAGGGCAGAGGACAGGGGTTTTGCTTGGCAGCCAGACATGGGAGGGGGGCAGTGGGGGCCTTGGCCCAGAACCCCCATCCCTTGTAAGGATTGGGGGAGTTCCCCTGAGGGGGTTAGCAGCAATGGGGAGCTGTGTCGGGTCATCCGATCTCAGCCCACCCTTAGATGGGGCACACAGGCCAAAGGGAGCGGGGAGAGGGTGTGGCACTGGGACCTTCAGCAAAGTCTCAAGCAGCTCTCTGGCTCTCAGTTTTGCCATCTGTTAAATGGGTGGGTTGAACTCTATATGAGGATGGAGTATGCTGGGGGAAAGGAGAGGCAAACCCCCATAGGGAAGTGGGGGCAGCACGGGTGCTTCAGAGCCGTCCACTTGGCCCCCAGGGTTTGGGCGCCCGAGAGCGCATGTGCTTTTGAAATCCCATCCTCCCCTCCCTCCCTGTTTATTTTTTGCACAAACACGAAAAGACACTCTGGTCCAACCTGGGCCCTCCAACAAGCATCCTAGTGCCTCCAACCCCTAGGCCACCCCAGGGGGCCCTCCAGGAAGCCCGCCCCTCGAGGAAGCTGAGAGTTCCATACTTGGCAATTGGTCTTGGGTCCCAGGGCTTGGGGACCCATCTTATGGCTTTTCCAGGGGACAGGAGGCAGGGCCTCCCCGTACCAGAGCCCCAGGATCTGGCCTCCTCCATAGGGGGCGGGACTCCCTCCCATCCCAGCTCGAAATGTCTCCTAGGCGCTGGGGACTTGGCTTCTAGTAGGGGATGTGGCTTCTTCCTTCATCGCGCCCTAGGGCGTGGCCTCTTGAGGGGGCGGGGCGTCGTCCTTTCACAATTCCCTAGAGGGGTGAGCTAAGTCAAGGGCGCAGGCGCAGCCAGCCCTCTGCACAGAGCCCGGAGACTCGCCCTCTGGGAGGTCCCAGCGCGCAGACGCCGCCCCGCCCCGTGCGCAGGCGCAGTGCTGCACGCCCGCGTGCCCCGCGCTAGGGCGCAGGCGCGGCACCGCCTTCCTCGGCGGAGCGCGTGTCGGACTTGAGCTTGACGAACTCCTTAGCCACCTCGTCATTGCTGCGCTGTGACAGGATGCGCAGCACCGTGAGGCCCGTGTCGTCCATATGGATGCGGCGGCCCAGTGGCAGCCAGCAGGCGGCGCTCCCGCGCTGGGCCAGCTCCCGCAGCTGCAGTACGGCCAGCCCCACCGTGCGGTCTTCGCGCGCGAAGCAGTAGTCCTTGACGCACACCTGCAGCTCGTAGCACTCCGGGCCCGCGTCGGCGCTCAGCGTGCTGCGGGGGCGGGGGGCGGGGCGTGAGGAGAGCCCCGCCTGCCGGGCGCCCACGCCCCTACCGCTGACCCCGCCTCCGCGCCGGGCCACGCCCACATTTCCGGACACACACTCACCCCTGTTCCCCAGTAATATCTCTGTCCTGTCTCTCCTTCCTCCCTTCTTTCCCCACCCCACCTCTAACCGACAACACCCCCACCATCCTACTCCCAAGCCCCGGGCCAAACCACGTCCCCACCCAGGTGACACTCCCCCATGACCCCCTGGCTAGACCATGCTTCCACCCCGCGGTATCTGCGCCCACACCTTTGGCCCGCTGAGCTGCGGCTCCCACCACCCTGTCCCAGATATCGCACCCAGAAGCCCCTTTGCCGGGCTCCCACCTGAACCCAAGTTTTCTCCTTGACGTGGCCCCTCTCCCATACTCCCTAGCCCACCCCTCTTACTCCTAAGGTGCTCTCTCCACACGACCTGCCCTCGTGCCTTCACCATGAGTGACCCCCAACACATTCCAGCATGCCTCCCCCTACCCCCAAGCTAGGTCCCCAACGCTGGGCCTCTGCCCCCAGGGGACCTGCCCTGATGGGCCACGCCCACACCGCTCCCCAGAAACACCCTCCTTGACTGTACTCTTAGCCCTCAAGTACTACCGCCCATTCCAGGAGACATCTGCCCCGCAAGGAGACCAAGCCCCTGCTCCCAAGCATTGCATCAGGTGTCCTACCACTCCCAAATCCTCTGATCAAGAGCCCTCTTGTCCTCTCCCTAGCTCTGATGCCCCCTTACCCCTCTGCACTTCTGTCCCCCAAGAACACCCCCAACATGATCCTGCTCAAGTGAGGTTTGCACCTGAGCCAAATATCTGCCCACCCCAAGTAATACCCTGATCAGATTTATTTGTGTTCCCTAAGTCATCTGCCCCTCTGGACCCCTGATGCTTCTGATTATGCTCACCAGGAGGCCCCATCTGGATGTGACCACACCGTCACCCACTTGACAGGCATCCCAATGCCCTGGATCACACTCCACTCCTGTCCTCTACCGGTGACTCCTCCAAAGCTGCCCCGACAGCCCTGACAAGGCTCACTGCTGACTCCAGGAGACCTGCCCCCCATGCCCTTGAGACCCTCACCCTTGCCCCATCATGACCTCTCATGGCCCTTAACCAGACCTGAGTCTCCAGCCCCAGAAATGGCTGTGCCCAACATGCGCCCTCTGCCCAGACTTCCCCCTCCTCTTCACAAGCCTTCCTCAACATGTTATATTACATTCACTCCCTCCGCTGGGAACTGCCTGTCTCCCAAAGTGGTTACCCCCCAACCCCTCAAATGTCATTCCTGCACTAAGGTGCCTTCCTTCCCAGTGCCCTCACCTAGGATGTGCCCCTTCTCATTCCTGTGCCCAGGAATCACTGGCCTACCAGTCATCCCTCTTCTAGTGGACCCTGAGGCTCACCCAGCAGATGTCCCCTCCCCATGCTCCCCAAACCATCCTTAGACTCACAACTGGAAGCTCTCGTTGTACTTGGGGGCCCAGCTGTTGTTCTTGGATTTGGTTGCAAATTTTCGTTTCTTGTCACTGAGCTGGGGCCCAATGATGTTGACCTCGATGAATGGCCGGAAAATGCCAGAAGTCTGCCACTTGAGGTCATTGGCAGCCACGACTGTTAGGGGAAGGAGAGGGTAAGACTGTCAGGGTCCCCTAAATACGCAGCTGTGGTTTCAAAGCCTGTCTGAAAGAGTACATTTCCCAGAATGTTCCTATAGCTAAGTGTGGCTATATGACTAAGTTCCAGTCAATGAAATTTCAGTGAAAGAAAGGGATGTGTACAACTTTCAGGTTGTGGCTTAAAAGGCAGGGAGAATGCCCTAAACTTTCTCCTTCTAGCTGCAGGCTGGGATGCTGGTGGGTACTGAGTTTTTTGGTACCATATAGAAGAGGAAAACATATTAGGGATGAAAGTGCAACAAAAGATGGCAGGGGTCCCCAAATCTGTGAAGCCTCCAATGTCAGCTCTGGGCTGTTTGTCCTTGGTTACCTCAGAGAAAATTTCATTCTATCTTGTTTAAGCCACTGTTATTTTAGGCCTTGGTTAAAACAGCTCAATCTGTGTTCTGATTAAAAAAAAAAAAAAAAAAAGCCAACAAAAGCAAGGCAGAGCTGAGAGATGGAGAAGGTGGAATTAAGTCCCATAACACTGGGCCCCTGGATCCAGCCATGCTTGAAGATGATTTATTTCTACAATTTTCAGTTTTATGAAAACTTTTTTTTTTTTAAATGAAAAATGCTTTTCTTGCTTAAGCTAATTTGAGTTTGGTTTCTGTCATAGGACCTAGTGAATCCTGGCGAAGGCACTCCCCCTCCCAACTCAGACTACTCACCTTTCACAGTGACCTTGTGTTCCCCAGTTCCCGGATGAGTGAAGAGCTCAACGTGGACTGAAACTTCACCCACAGGGTCTTCCACACCCGAGCCTGGGCGGGGTAGGGGAGGATGCTTGGCATGAGCTCCATTCTTCCCACCCACTCTAAGAGACCTGGACTGCTTCCCACCCACGATGTGCTGGCGGCACCAGGTCATTAGCCCTGACAGGGTGGCAGTGAGGGTGGGGATGTGATGGCAAGCCACATTAGGAAGCCAAGAATGCTGGGTTCAGGCCTTTCACTACCTTGCTGTGTGATCTCAGGCAGATCTCTTAACTTCTCTGAGCTTAAAGCATCTGCCCCCCCATTTTTCTCATTCCACTGATTGCCATGCTGTCAAAACTCAGTCTTCATCTTACACACCATCGTACTCACCCTGGCTTCCTTGGGTCTCATTTTCTCCTCTTGGTTGCCCCAATGCCACACCCTTCAGGTTATCATCCTACATGCCAGCCGCTCCTTCTCACCCTCTTTTGTCACTTCCTCCTTCTCTTTCAATTGTCAAACTGTTGGGACTCCCTTCTTTGTCTCCACTCCCTCTCGAAGTACTCACACACTAGAAAATCCTACTGACTGTACCTTCAAAATACATCCAGAATCTGACCCACCTCCTTGGCTCCATCCTGTTCTGTCCTCCATCATCACATGCCTGGACTATTGCAGTCGTCCCCACCCTGTCTCTGGAATCCTCTCAGCCTCTCTCCATACACCAGCCAGAGAAATCCTATTAGGTTAGCACACTTCCCTCCTCTGCTTAAAACACTTCCATGGCTTCCATCTCCCTCTGAAATAATCAAAGTCCTTTTTGTGACCTGCAATGTCCTACCAATGTGTCCTCGCTATTACCTCTCCTGCCTCACCTCTGTCCACGCTCACCCTCACTCACTCTGCTCTGGCCACACGGGCTTCCTCACTGTTTCTCCAAAACAGTGATAACCTGACCCAGAGTCCTCACTTCTTCTGAAGGGACAGCTTGTAGGGATATCTTTATTTTCCCTGCCCCACTGCTATTCCTCTTTCAATAGAGGATCTCAAGTTTCTTGAGATTGAGAAATGGCCCCCAAGCCCACCTCAGACCTCGTGGCTCCATCTTGCACTTCAGGTATCGCGAAATGGACCAAGGCTGCCCAATCAGAGCATTCCCTGCCCATAATTGCAGTGTTTGGCTCAGGAATGGTCATGTGACCCATGCTGGGCCAATCAGAGTTAGCCCTGGGACTTTGGCTGTAACCCTGAGGAAAGAGTCTGGGTCTAAGCTGGCAAGGCTGGCTACCCAATGAGGGGAAAGCCTACATCACAGATGTCTCAACAGAGACCAATGACCAATAACATTGTCGGAGACTCTGGATCCAGCTATTACTGATGTCAACACAGCCCTTAATCTTTCAGTTCCAGGCCCATAAATTCCCTAGTCTGCTTGAGTCTGGCTAAGGTGTGCCTCTGTTTGTGGCCACCACAATGCCCTGATCGATTGGTTCTGGTGGGGTCACTGAAGGTGCAGCTTAAAAGCTTTGTCCTTGTCCCTCTCTCTCTGGTTCTGAAAAGGGCATCCTGTGGGGCCTGGGGACCTGTGACCGCCAGCACCCCCACCAGGTTCCTCCCCTGCCCCTCAGGAAGCTCCCCACACCTTGAGCACCCCATGCACGGGGGGAGGAAGGGGGAGAGTCAGGGGTGGGTGTCCAAGGTTAATCCGGGTTACCTGGCACTGGGTGGGAAGTGACTGAGGCTCAGGGGACAGAGAGGCCTGGAGACCCCCCATCACCCCACTACTGGGGCGTGCACCCCCCCATCCTTGCTGCCCACCCCAGGCCACCTTCCTTGTCATCTCAGGCTCCGGCTCCCCCCTCCCCCCAACCAGTCACATGCTCAGCCTCACCTCCCCCCACCCCAAGGCTGATGCTTCACAGCAAGCTCAATCCGGGCCAGACTGAGGGTGCCAGGGGGGGAGTTGGACAGTGGTGGGTGGGGTGAGGGGTCAGACCATGGCCAAAGCTAGTAAGAAGGGGGAGGAGGGCAATGCTGGGCGCCCCCATCCCGTGGTTTGCTGGCTCCAAGGGGAAGGGTCTTTCCCGGCCTCTCTGTGCTTACCCCAATCCCACCCCTCCCCAAGTCCCTGGCCCCCTGTAGGGGAAGGTTCCTTGGGCAAGTGGCTTAATCTCCTTTGAGACTCAGCTTCCTCATCTATGGAATGATGGACCGCCCTGTGGGGCAAGTGGGAGAAATCTTTTCAAGAATCCCTGAGAAATGCTTCTTGGCACAAGCGCTGGCTCAGAGTTAGAGCCTGAAAACTTAGTTTTCTATGCTTGGAAGAGTGACACCAGTAATAATAATAATAATAATAATAATAATAATAACAATAATAACAATAACAACAACAACAAACATTTCCTGGGATCTACTACATGTATTACAGGTCGGGAACTGCTCTAAATTTAATTCATCTAATCCTAAAAATAATCTTATGAATTAGGGCCCTTGACTGTTCCCATTTTACAGATGGGAAAGCTGAGACTCAGGGAGGCGAGATGCTCCCGCAGGCGCCCAGCCGCCAGCGTGGCGGAGCTGGGATCGGAGCCCACTGGGATCTGAGCCCACTATTAACCGTGCAGGCGCTGTCCGGGGTACCCGGGATCTGGCTTAAGAGATGCACCTAGGAAGAAGCGGATTCCGACTCGAATCGCTTCTCCGTCCCTGCGTGGAACCAGCAAGCCGTCCTTCCCCCTCGTCCACCTAGGCCCCCACAGCTGGGCCGGCCTGGGCGGGGCCCGGCAGGCAGGGGAGGCGGAAGGACGGGCCTTTTACTAGCCGGGGCCGGGAGGGGCGCAGGCACCGGGCACCGGGCGCGGGCGGGCGGGCGGGCGGCGGAGGCACGTACCCTTCTCAGGATAAATGTCTTCACTAAGGGTAAACCTAGTCCCTTTTCCACCATGGACTAATCACGGGGGAAGGTGGAGAAAGGAGGGAAGGGAGGGGTGGGGGGAGAGACGAGCGAGTGAGAGGCGAGGATGGAGGGCGAGTGTGTGTGGCGGGGAGCAGGGGAGGCGCGGAGAGGGGGCAGCGAGTGAGAGGGAGGAGAAACAAGAGAGAGAGAAACGTCAGCTGCAGACGGACGGACAGACAGCCTCCCGCTCCGGGGGGACACCAGGGACACCAAAAGCAGCAGCTTGGACTGGGCACGAGGCTGAGCACGGAGGCCCGATGCCCAGGGAGGGCCCTAGGCCCTGGGCTGACGGGGGGGGGGAGGGCGAGGGGGGAAGGGGGCCGCTCCCCTCCCCCCAGCTTCTGGCTTGATGGCCGCTCTCCCTCCCACCGCATTGCCAGAACTAAGGCTGGGTCAGCCGCCAAACTTCTCTCCCTTTTCTTAGGGCCAGTTTTGAATTGGAGGGGGGTCCCCAGGGGGGAGTCCTGCTCTCCCCAGCCCCAGCTGCTGTGTGTGAACTCAGAGAGGGACAGGAGACAGAGGCAAGAGACGAGACAGAGAAAGACAGAATTTGAGAAAGGGAAACTCCCTCTCCGTCCACTCCTCCAGGTCGGGGTCCCTCCCATCCCTGGGGCTGTCAATCATTCCTTTGCCGCATGACGTCATAGGCCCCGCCCCGCCCAGAGCTGTCAACCACTCCCTGGATCCAGAACTTCCAAGTCCCGTCCCTAGGAGCTTTCAATCACTCCCTAGTCTTGCCTTCAAAGAGGTCCCGCCCCCCAGCTTTCAATCACCTACTGGCCCCGTGTTGTCACAGATTCTCCCAGGAGATGCCAATCACCTCCTGGCCCAATGACGTTAGAGGTCCCGCCCCCCAGTAGTCGTTCACTCATTGGCCGCGCGCCATCACGGAGCTCAGGAGCTCCCGGGAGCCGCCAATTGCCCCGGCCCATGACGTCACAGAGGAGGTGAGTCAGTGGCAGCCTCACAGGCTAGGGGCTGGGTTGCCACGCCGCTTACCCTGGGCCGCTTGCGTCTGCACGAAGGTCTTGATGAGCAGGTCCGTGGCCTGCGTGTAGAGGGACAGGGCATAGCGCAGGGACTGCAGGTCTGGGCTCTTCTCCAGGAAGGTCTTCTTGAGGCCCACGCCACCTGCGTGGAAGTATTGCTGTGCAGGACAAGGTGCGGAGAGGCGAAATTAGTTAGGCAGCCCCAATACCCCCTCCCCAAGCCCGCCGCCCTCCAGTGGTTCTGTGTTGGGTGACGGGGGCGGGGCGGGGTGGGGGTGGGGGTGATGTGCTTCAAAACACCCAAGTCGGGCCCTGCCACGCCCCCACCTCCGCCCCTGCCCCAAACCCGCCGGTGGGCTTCCGGCACCCTCAAAATAATACCCATGCTTCTCGCCTCTCCTCAAGCCCTTTGTGGCCCCAACCCTGCAACCTCCCAGCCTTCTCTCAAAACGTCTTCCCTAGAACGTACGTGCCTCAGGGTCTTTGCACTTACTGTGCTCGCTGGTGGGACGCCCCCCCCCAACCCCCCCCCCCGCCCCGCAACTTCAAACACCTTATTTTGCCCATGACTAGCTCCTTGTCCTCCTTTGGTTAAGATCTCAAAGAGCTTTCCTTGACCACTCTCCTTAATATGTTGCCAACCCTATTCCACTATAATTATTTTGGCAAAAATTTCCTTCAAAGTAGTTTTCATTTCGGGATGCCTGGGTGGCTCAGTCGGTTAAGCGTCTGCCTTCGGCTCAGGTCATGATCCCGGGGTCCTGGGATCGAGTCCCGCATCGGGCTCCCTGCTCCGCGGGGAGCCTGCTTCTCCCTCTGCCTCTGTCTCTCTCTCTCTGTCTCTCATGAATAAATAAATAAAATCTTTAAAAAAAAAAAAGTAGTTTTCATTTCATGGAGACCACGGTCCCTTTCATCGAGTTCTTGCATGGGCTGGTCCTCTGCCTAGAATGCTTTGTTTGCTTTGCCTTGCAAACTCCTATGCATTCCTCAAGACCCACCTCCCACATGCCTTCTTTCCAAAAGCCCTCGCTTCTCCTTCCCTGGGCTCCCCCAGCTCCCAGCCTTCCTTCTACCCTGCCCTGACCCCACAGAGCTGGGGCTGTCTGTATCTGGCTGGCCCCCTGAATCTAGGGCTCCTCAGGGCCCTGCCACCAGCCAGCCTGGAACTGACAGAAGAGTCATCAGGGAGTGTTTATAAATTGAATGAAGTAAGGTGGGTTCGAGCCTAGGTCCATGTCTACACCAGTCACACCCTTTGCCTGGGATGGGACAGGGGTGGGACCTCTCACCTTGATGGTGTCCAGGGCCAGTTCGACTACTGCACACTGCTTTGGGGTCAAGCTCTTGGCTTCTTCCCGTACCATGTGGTCCTGGATGGATGGAGAGAGGGCTCAGATGGGCAGAGCAGGCCCCACCTTAGGGATCTGCCTGTCTATGGGCCTCATCCCTGTAAAACTCTGATGAGTTGGGTAGTGGGTCTGTCTTTTCATCATTGTGTCCCTGGTACCTAGCATGTGACCGGCACACAGCACGTGCTCAATATTTGTTGAATAAATGATTTGTATCCTTGATCAAGCTGTATCTGAAGCTGAATTTTGCAGATCTTTCCAACACACTGGAGCAAATAAATTGTGCTTAAATCAGTCTGAGTAGGGTTTCTGTCTCTTGACACATCACCATTCTGGGACCTTCCCCCTAGGAAGCTTCTCCACCCCAATCTCCTGCCCTCTGCTCTTGGCCTCACCTTGAGTTTAGACAGCTGACCCAGCTCTTTGGCTGCATTGAAGATCATCTGGGTTCCCTGCAGGTAACAACAGTCACAGCCAAGGTGAGGGTGGGGGGTCCTCCAGTCTAATCCCCACAGCCCTACTGACACCCTAGCCCTGGACACCATCTTGGTTCTTGTCCAGAGGCTCTGGGCAGGGCAAGGGTTGTGTCCCTGGGGCAGAGGTCTGGAGCTCCCCCTCAGGAAGAGCTGAGGAGGAGGTGGTGACTTTGTCCCTGCAAATCCCAGTGTGGGCACACTACCCACCCTCTCACCTCCACCAGGACCCCAGGTTTGTGGGACAGAGAAGAAAGAGAGTGGGCAGTGAGGAGCCATGGGTGTAGGAAGCCCCAGATGGTGTTTATCGGTATGGGGCAGGCTTACCAACCCAAAGTCAGGGGGTTTTAAGAAAACTATGGGATGGGCTCTGGTGACCCCACCACTCCCGGGGCCCAATGCCTCTGTGGGAGAATTTCCCCAGTCATCTGGGTGGCTGTTAGTCTGACCTTGTAAAAGGAAGAATCCTCCCCACCAACACACACCTCAGCACCCATCCCCCACCCCACCCAAAACAGACACCAGCAAGATGGCATCCTGGTTATGGCTCCAATGAGCCGGGTGGGCCTGGGTTCAAATCCCAGCTCTGCTGTGTGGCCCTGGGCAAGTCACTTAACCTCTCTGAACCTCAGCTTTCCCATCCAGTTGGGGAAAATAATATCCACTTCATGGTTTAGCTGGGGCTAAATATGTCTTTGTTCAATGTACACTCTTATTATCTTATCATCTGGTCTCAAGATCATGAGCAGTGCTGGGGGCAATGGTCGGCCTGGAAGCCACGAGTCCTGCCTCCTCCAATCACTGTGCTGGGTGACCTGAGGCATGTCCTTGGACTTTTCTGGGGCTCAGTTTCCTTCCCTGGTTAACAGGGGCACCTACACTAGCTTAGGGGATGCGGTAGGCCTAAGTATCAATGAGGTCCTGCATTTACTGGGCCCTGGGGTGGTCTGGGGTCCTGAGCAGGGCTAGGCGGGAAGGAGGGCCATTTACAGCTGGGATGCTTGGAATCACATTGATGGTCTACCAGCTGGCCAGTGGGAACTGGTTATCCTGCAGCTACTAATATTGTTACTATCATCCTGGCTGTTGCTACTCTTTTGATTCCCTGTCTGTGATTCCCTAAGGCTGTCCTGAGGCACAGCTACTTAAGAGCCCAGCTGTCTGGTCCTTGGTTTCCCCTGCCACACCCTCCTCCCCTCTTGCCTCCCTCCCACCCACCACCCCTCACAAGCAAACCAGACAAACAAAGGAAGAAGAGACCACAGATGGGTTCACAGTGCGCCCCCAGACGGCACGGACCACAGAGATGGAAGGAGGCACAGGGTGGGGAGGGGGTGGGGGGTGGGAGCCAGACAGACAGTGAGAGGCTGGTCTTACATCTGAGTGGCTTGGCAATTTCACCCTGCCCTGTGGAGAGAATCAGGCGGAGGTCAGAGTTTGGGTGGCTATTGGGAGGATGTTCACTGGGGCTTCCCTGCCCCCTCAAAGCACAGTCCCACTCCCCAACCCACAAGCTGCCCCCCAGGTCCTGAGTCTAACACTGAGCCCCCTCCCCAGCTAGGCACCTTCCCTTGTCTCCCACTGGGGACTCCGGCCAGACTCTGGACTGCCAGGAGGCTACAACCAGCCCATCACCTGGGGACAGCCTGCCTAGGGATGGGGTACCTTGCGGAGGGGGAGAGAAGAGAAAGGGCTTGGGTTTCTCTCCTCCCCCAACCTCCAAGACTTTTCCCAGCAGGCCTGACTCTAAAAGAAGTGTACTTATAGGTATCACAAGTTCCCTCAATGTAGAGACACACACCCGAGTACATCCACGCAAGTGCAGAAAGTTTACACGCACACCCACCTGGATCAGCACACATACACACAGAACTCACACACTAAAATATACACATGCACTCCTAAACACTTGCACATGTGTGCACAATCACACACATAAACTCACACACTCACCCCCACATGGATGCACTTACATGTACATGGTGATTGGAAAATTGAATGTGCCCCCCCAAAGGGCTGGATGAGCGAGTAGGGAAGCCCTACAACCCATGTTCATGAAGCGGAGACCCCAGTTGTGTGCTCACAGGTATGCTAGTTCCTGCATGAATGCACAGCAAAGGCAACTGTTCATATGTTGCCACAGCTCCCATCTCCTTACAACAAACACCCGTTAGAACAACAACAACAAAATCTACATGAAAAACAACACACATCTCAGTCCAGGGCAGTGGTCCAGTCAGTGTCTGGGCCCTTCTCAAAGCCACAGAATTCAGCTGAGCCCAGGGCTGAGATAAGCACTATGGGTTTTGTTATGAGAGGGTGGGAGCTGTTTGTACACATGTTTGCTCACATGGGCACACACACTCCAAGCCATGTCCCTGGAGAATCAACTCATCTCTGATTTCTGGTTTTGTGGGACTTGGTTAGGACACCTGCCTTTACCTGTGATCCCCATTTGACCTTCCTACCCATGCACATGAACACACACATGCACACACACACCCAGACACCAGAGCTCAGGACCTCAGCACAGATGAGGCCCTCATTACCTTTTCTAATCCCTTGCCATGTTTTCTCAAGAGGTTGCCCTGCAGAGACAATGTCACAGGGTGATCAACCTGGCAAGCCATGTGAGGTGGGAACCCAGGGTGATCACACATGTACTCATGGGGACAGGAGGTAAAGGACATCTATACTGCACAGGGGGCTGATGGCTGGGTTGCAGGGGGAAAGTGTGCGTACCTTAATGGCCAATTCTTAAAAGCTATGAGAGTCAGAGAGACAGCAAAGAGAGAGAGGAGAAATAGAAATACAGAGCCAGAGAGAAAGAAGAGAAGTCACTGCCAAAATATAATTCATTTATGTTTACTGTATATATGAGGATCTTGTTTCTTGGATCAACAGGAAATCAAACAGGCTCCAAATTCAGACAGACCTGAATTTGAAACCTGACTCTGGCATATGTTTACTATGTGGCCTTGAGCAAGTGACTCCTCTTCTCTGAGCATCAGCTTTCCTCATCTGCAAAATGGGAATAATAATATCTACCTCACTCAAAGGGTTGTCATGAAGGTGGGCTGTAAGAGCAGCTATGAAGTCTAGCATACAACGCATCATCAATAAATGTGAATCCCTTTAGCTCCTTGCCCACAAACACATTGTCTGCTGTTGGGTATGCTGCCACCAAGTGCTTACAGCCAAAGACCCAGACTGCAGCCATCAAGAAATGAGATGAGCACTTGTGAACTTTTGACAGGTAAAATCTTATAATAACCTGTCTTGTCCACAAAGGGCGACTCTGAAGTGGTTTTATTGATCTCTATCCTACTATGTGTTTACCTATTACCACCACCAGCAACAATATCAGCTCTAATTTAGTGAGCACTGCCTCAGGTAGTCATAAAGATGAGCACTTTATTGCATCATCCCATTTGGTTCGCACAACTCTCTGAGGGTTACTGCAGTTAACTCCTTTTTCCAGACAAGGAAATGGAGATTGGGAGGTGAAGTGAATTCCCAAGGTCACAGAGAGTGTGGCTGGGCTGGGATTTGACGCCAAGTCTGCCTGACACCAAAGTCACAAATGCTGTCTCCCACCTGGGTGCCTGGGTGTGTGTCTGGGATTCACGTGGTCCTGTGGTGGGAGTGGGAAGGCAGGGGTGGTGGGGGGTCGGCGCTGAACAGCTGAGTAGGGGGACCCGGGTGGTAAGGGCCTGTATTTTGGGTGGCTGCTAACAGTTCAGAGCCCAGAGGGGAGGTTAGAGGAACTCCGTTGACTTTTAACCTCCTTCTAGCTTCGGGGAGAGACAAATATCCTGGTGGAGTCTGAGCGTGGGAGTAAGGGTGAATTCCAACTAAAGGATGAGGTCAGATGTGAAGGTGCTGGGCTCAGGGTTTGGGGTTTGGGAGCCGGCAGGCACCTCCTCTGTACTTAAAACGGGGCGGGGGTGGGTGGGCGTGGCCTCCCTCCCGCCAGGCCCCGCCCCCTCCCCATGCCCCGCCCCAGACAAACACAGGCACATCTAGGCGGGAAGTGGGACAGTGGGTGGGGGGCCGGTGGGTGAGGAGGGGGCGCTGGGTGGGGTGGATGCAGCCACGCGGTGGGCCGAGTCCAGACACAGAGCGGACGGACAGACAGACGGACAGAAGGGCCTCTACTTACGATCATCTGTCAGCCGCGACGGGGGCGGGGTGGTGGGGAGGGGGGGAATAAGTCACCATGAGTCTCCCAGGAAGGCCAGGGAGGGGACGGAGACGGCACCGAGGGGCGGACCCCGTGCCCCTGCCCAGCCCAGAGGAGACAGACAGGTCCAAAGCCTCCCGCACCATCGTTGCCTCTTGGCGGCCCTGCCCACCCTCCCCAAGCCTCCCCCACCCCGTCCCCAGGAACGTCTTCTCGCTCTGTGCTGTGCCAGCAACCCGTGTGCCATTGCTGTCCTCAGGCCCCCACACCTCCCTGGAGGAACCCAAGCCCAGCCACACCCCTCCGCAGAAGTTGCGGTCCACCCAATCCCACCTGGAAGCCTGATCCCTGGAGATCAGGATCTCTGGGCTTTTCCCAGAAGGATTCCAGAGGCATGATCCTGGTCTCTGGATGAATGCTGACCTCTGCTTGACCTCTCTGACCTTAGATGCTCTCTGTGACCTCTGGCTGACCTCTGGGAGCTGTCTGTTCTATTGGTCTCTGATCTTCAAAGTCCATGGTATCTCCCCTCCTTGTCTCTTGATTGACCCTAAGAGCCCTCTGATGAACCCATTGACCCCTATGACCTCTGTGATCCCCAAGCTGACCTCTTTATTTTCTGGGTGATCTCTGACCTTCATATGCCCTCTTGACCCACATGTGACCTCTATGTCCCTTAGACATCTCTTAACACTACTTGACTTCTTTGACATTTATCTATCTGACCCATGAATGACCTCTTTGATTCTTTGATGACTTTTGACCCATATGTGATCTCTCTGATCTTTGAATGGCCCCACTGACCTCTGAGCCCCAATGCCTTTGGCATCAAGTTCTCTGGGCTCCCACAGGGGAGGTGGCCCAGGAATCCCCTCTGGCCCCCTATGGGCCTCACCGTCTGGTCAGTGAGGGGTGGCAGGACGATGGTCTTCTCCATGGTGTTCATGACCAGCTTCCATAACTCCTTTAGCACCCTCTTCAGCACCGTCTTCTCACAGATTTTGGCAAAGAGAGTCAGGCTGGAGGCGAGGGGCAAGTCTGAGAGATGGCCCAGCTGGCCCTAACCCGAAGAGCCCCTTTCCCTCAACAAATGGGCAAGGCGGGAAAATGCTCCATGGATACACAAGAGGACACAGAGCCTGTACAGGGACCACTAAATGGGGTCTGATGAGACCCCATTGATCAGAATGGTCTGATGGGGTTATGATGTGTGACACACATGAAGAGTAAATGATGGCTGGACTGGTCAGCAGGGACCAGGCTAGAAAGGGACTCAACACCTGGGAGGAAGACCTGGGCCTTAGCATGAGGGCAGTGGGGATCCATGGAGTGCTCAAGAGAGACACAGCCAGGCTTCCCTGTTCGAAAGAACAGAGTGGGCGGTAAACTGGAATAGGAAGGCTGGAGACTAGGGACTGTGAGAGGACTGGGGCCATGCTCAGTCAGAGAGGAAGGGAATGGTGGGAGGAGGGCAAACTTGAGAGGGTAAACAACAAAGAATTCATGGCATGGGGGGTGGAAGGAGACAGAATAATCCACCATGATCCATCCAGCAACTGACCCTCCCATCCACCAAATTATCCCTCCCCCTAACTTTCTTTAATGACCCCTCCATCTTTTTCCTTCCCCCCTCCTCCCTGCTTCTTCCCTCCCATCCATCCTTCTACCATCCATCCATCCTCCATCCTCCCTCCCTCCCTTCTTTCCTTACACCCATGCATCCATCCTTTCATCTACACTTCCATTCATTTATCCTTATTTCAATCGATTGATCCATCCATCCATCCATCCATCCAGTTATTCATCCATGCAAATATTTACCTAACTTCATCTACCCATCCATCTGTCCATCCATCCCTCCTTTTATCAATATATCCTCCATCTAAACTTCTAAGCATTTATCTTTTAATCTACCCATCAATCTGCCCACCCATTCTCATGTCATCTATCCATCCAACCACCGTCAATTAACACATAAAAAGGACTCACCAGTCCTTCCAATCATTTACCCACCCATCTTTCCATCCCTTCATACCTCCACCCACCTACCCATCCAAACCATCCAACCACCACCCAGCAAACATGTCCTGAGTGTTCTCTCCAGGCCAGCCCTGAGTCTCTAAAGCCCCATCCCTAACCTCTTCCTGGCCATCCTAGTCCACCCAGCCTGGCTTACTTGCTGTCCAGCAGGTCCATGATGGGTTGCAGCACATTGTCAGCATCCTGGGCCACGCTGCTGCAGGCACTGGCTGGCACATTGCCCGTTCCCTTCACCTGGCTGAGGATGTCGCCCATCTGCTTGACACACTCCTCGATGTGTGGCTGGAAGCTGGGGGCACAGAGGGGAGGAGCTCAGACCAGACTCTCCAGGCCTCCCAGAGAAAGGGCCAGATGAGGCCTCAAAAGCTGACCATGGACCTTGATGTTTTATCCTGAGCATCAAGGAGCCATGGCATATAACTGAGCAGGGAAGGGGGTTGTGTATAATAGCAGAATTGGGCACTGGGCTGAGACATTCACCTGTGCTGTTTATTTCACTGCACAGTCCTACCCAGGTACTATTATTATCATCATCCCCACTTTACAGGTGAATAAACTAAGGTTCAGAGAAGTTAAACAACTCACCCAAGGCTACATAGCTAGTAAGTGGTGAAGCCAGGATTGAACTCAGCTCTGTCTAACTCTGAGCCTGAAGTCTTCACCACTACATCTGCTGAGTCCCTGGATGCCCCAGGCTCAAAGGTCTGGGGACTGCCCCCTCCTGTCTGCTCCCAGCCCTGGAGGTGTCCCCACCTGGTAGCAAACACCCGGCTGAGCTCGTCCAAGACATTGTTGAGTTTCACCTGGAGCTCCTTCAAGATGTCACTGGCCTCAGCATCCAGCTGAGGAGGGAAAAGGGACATCAGGTTAGGTTTACAGAGCATCCACACAAATGGGGCATTTTCCCATCCAACACAGGGAAAGAGATCCCAAGGGACTGGGGAGGAAACAGGCAAAGATGGTGGAGCTGCTTGCTTGGGTTAGAGGGAGTGGCTGAGCTGGAATTAATCAAGGGCCGGCAGGGATGCAGGGAAAGTGGTGACTCTGCCTGGGGCTTGCCTCACCTCCTTCCCTCCCATGGCTTCGAACATCTTCTCTAGCTGCACTCGGAGCTGCTGAGTGTTGTTCATGAGGATGCAGGGCTGGGGATGCAAACAGAGCAGGGAGTCAGGGCTCAAGACCCCTCCCCAGAGCCTCCCCCATCCACTGCTAGGGACCCCAAGATGGTTTTGGGGTCTGGGTCCAGAGGAAGGTCCCGTAGGGTCATTTGAGAATGGAAGACAGCATTTGGGACCAGATTCCTGGGAATGTTGGTGGGGGGTGGTTTCTGGAGATTAGCAGAGGGCAACAGGGCTCAAGTAACTTCTCCAGGGTGGGCTGGGCTTCTGGAAGTAACAGGAAGGGGGGAATTCCTGTCACACACCCATATTCTCCTACATGGGCTCAAAGCTTTACACACTTACATCCATACACCCTGAAGGCTTCATTCACAACAATCAGACAATGACACATTGAAGGCATGTGCCCTCACCTCCAGATCCCCCCAGACACACGTAGCCAGGTACATGGACACACACAGTTGGACACACAGAGACACAAGTATCAGAGCCCAGGGGAAGGATGGAGCCTTGGGGGTGCAGAGTGGGGCTGGGAGGGGACAGGACAGGGTCCCCCACAGGTCACCACTTTCTCCTTCTCCTTGGAGCAGTAGGAGGCGAAGTCCTTGGAGATGATGTCCGCATACTGGAGGAGCACATTACTGATGGTCTGGGGAGGACACAGACAGGGGGTAAGAACAGGGGCTGGGGCTGGGCAGGTCCATCAAGAGCCACTAGTGAGATCAGGGATGAACCTGAATCCCTATGAGCACTCAAGATGGACCACTTGAATGGGTGAATTCACCCAGGATGACCCTCACAACCAAGAGGAGATACCACCAAGTAAAGATGATTATTTTATGTAGACCCAGCTAAATCTCCATCATATTAACCCAGATAAATCTCCATCATATTAACCCAGCTCCAAGCATAAGCATGACTGGATCCCAGATGGAATCCCAATTCTTACTTGGAGTCCTCAACTTCAACCCAGCCTAAAGCCAATTAGCTGGAACCTTCAACCCCAGTAGGATGGTCCCGACCTCCAAACTCACCCCAATGCCCACCCAAATTCTACATAAATCCCAACACTCACTCCAACCTCAATGCCAAATTGAATCTCAATACTAATAGTAACCTAAACACAACCCCAACTTCAATCCCACCCTCAACCTTGATTCCAGCTCCAAATTCATCTCCAACTTAAACCACAGCCCTGACCTCAACTCCAACCTCAACCCAAATGTTGTCCCCAACCACAACTCCAACACTGATCTCAACCCCAACCCCAATCCTACTGATATCACCAACCCCAACTTTGACCTCAATCCCAAACTTAACCCCAATCCTGACCTTGACCCAATCCCAATTTCAACTGCAACCCCAACCTTGACCCTATCCCAATCCCTCACCTGGACTCCATCCCTAACCCCACCTGCACTCCCGCACCTTGGCAAAGCGCCTCATATAGTGCCCCACGATCTGGGGGTCAGGGCACTCGAGTTTCTTGATGATTTCAAAGCTCTGGTTGAGCTGGGAGAAGACATCCACCACGGAGCAGGAGAATAGGGCATGCTCTGAGGTCTGCTGGAACTACAGTGGGAAGGAGGCCAGGAAGGAAGAGAGGGGTCAGAGCTAGACAGCCCCCAGCATCCAGCCCTCCTGCTCTCCATGGGGAGAACCAGAGACCAACTGGCCTGGGGTGAGGCGAATAATGTGCAAGGGTGACTTAGAGGTGGACACAGAGGCTATGGGGAAGGTAGGGCTTCCAGCTCAATGATGGACTCTCATTCATTTGCTGAATGAACAAAATACTTTCAACACTATGAACAAGACGAAGATGGTGGCCACCTTTCAGAGACTGGTTTCATCTCAAGGGCAATTTTTGACCCCATATTGGATCCCAGTGGACCCCAGAGGGAGTGAGACCACTGAGGGCAGACTAGGGGCTTGATCATGGGCCAGTCTCCTCACCCCATCCTTCTTGTCTCGTTCCAGGGCCCCGTGCAGGAAATCCCGGGATACTTCCTCATTCTCGTCCAACCATTGGATGACAAAGGGCTCAAACCACCTGGAATGGAGAGCAAGGGTGGGGTCTTGCCACCTCTTGTCTCCTGACCCTCTCCTTTGCCTAGTTCTGAATGGTGCTTGGGCAGGTCCTTCTCTCCCTTGAACTCACCCTGTGGCCTTTGGGTAGGTATCCCCCGCTTCCCTACCCCACCAGGCCTCAGTTACTTCAGTCACGAAATGGACCTCATGACACTGTTAGGGCAAGGCTCATACTTGCAGGGTTCATGGTTCAGATAAACTACCCATGGACAAGTGGATTTCCTCTCTGGGATCCCATTACCTGTACAGCAGAGGAGTATCTATCCCACAGTGCTGCTGTGAGCAGTGATTGACACAACACATAGTAGGTCCTCGGTAAATGGTGACCACCATCCTGCTCTCCAACACAGCCCGTGAGTCAGACATCCAGAGTTCAAATCCTGGCTCCGTCACTTATTGGATGTCATCCTGGGCAAGTCCTTCAGCATTAAACTCTCCATTTTCTCATCCACAAAATGGGAATTATAATGCTCCCATCTTATAGAATTGTCAAAAGGATTAAATGAGAAAAGGCAAAAGGCACTGCTCAGTGCAGTTCCTGATACTTAGGCATATTAATTGGGCTATAAGAGTCCATAGTCCAATGGCTGAAAATAGAGAATACCAGATTTGTATACCACTGTGCCCTTGATGCCCAGGGAACCCTGAGTAGGTCAGCCCTCATCTCTGGGCCTCAGTCTAGCTGTCAGTGCTACAGTTCTGGCTTGGGGAAAGGGACTTACGCAGGGTATTCAGGCACACGGTCCTTGAAGGCAGGAAGCTCTGTCACATATTCATTGTACAGCCACTTGACCTTGAAGTGTAGGTTCATGTAGTCAGCGCTCTTGCACAGGCGATGCTTGTCATGCTCTGGTAGGGGAAGAATGGAAGGTCTCTACCCCCTGTCTTGGCAGCACCAGCTCTGGCCATCACAGGTGTCCAACCTCAAGCTTGAGGGTCCAGGATGCTCACAGCCTTGGAGGGGATACTACTGAGGCACAGCTACCTGCTATAACCAGGCTAGAAGGTATGGGGATGGGCACACTCACCCTCCATGGCGTACTTCATGTCCTGGGCAAACAGGTTCCACATCACTTCGGCACTGATTTTGCCCACATTCAGCTCCTGGGGAAACCTAGTCAAAGTCATGGAAGTATGAAACCTTGGCAGATGGAAGCAGGGTGGCACAGGCTGCTTTGGCCTTCCCAGCCCGGAGGGTAGTGTGGGACAGACAGAGCGTTCTGGATTCAAGCTCCCTCAAAGCCACTGACCTGCTGAGTGACTTTGAACTGAAGCCCTTCTTCTCCCTGAGCCTCCACCCATCTATCTCTCCATCCCTTCAACCATTCATTCACCCAGTCATCCACCTTTCTATCCATCCATTCACTCACCCATCTGTCTATCTATCCATCCATCCATCCACCCATCCATTTCTCCATCCAACCAGCTATCCATCCATTCCTTTATCTAGCCATTCATCCTTCCACCAATCTATCCATTCACCCACCTACTCATCTATCCATCCATCCATCCATCCATCCATCCATCCATCCATCCATCCAGTCAGCTATCCATCCATTCCTTTACTACTCATTCATCCTCCCACCAATCTACCCATCTATCCACCTATTCATCCAACCATCTACCCATCCATCTGTTCATCTCCCCATTCAATCATATCTCCATCCAGCTGCCCATCCATCCATCCACCCTTCAGTCCATCCATCCCAAATCCCTGATCTTAACTGAATATCTAAACCAAGAGATACTGGCATGCCAGAGTTAGGAGCCCCTCTAGCACTCAGGGAAAAATAAGACACAACAGTTCATTCAGCTAACACAGATGAAAACTCTACAGACATATAAATCTACAAACCAAAACTGTCCATACTCACACACAATTACACAATATACAATATTTCATATTGAAGTGCATTCCACAATTGTATGCACATATACAATATACAATTAAACCCATAGGCCACAACTATAAACAGAATTACACCCACACACAAGATACAATGCAATTTAAATGTAAAACATTTAGTAGAGTATCTAGCACATAGTAAATACTTGAGCAACACTGTCAATTGTTATTTATGAACCTACACACATATACAAAATTATATACATATGTACACGTTGTTATTCACACAAATCAACACATACAAAATACATGTCTGATTACACCAGTGATTTTATACATACACACAATTTTATGTTTATGTTTATAAATTATGCCGTATTTCATTCAGGCACAACCACACCTACAGTTGCCTCCACATACACATCATTTTATGTGTAATTAGACATGATCACCTTTACACATAAGACACAAAATTGTGCACACATACACACACACATGATGACCTCCAGATAATTAACTGCATAGATACACAACTCACTGGTTGAGGCAGGGAGTGTAGGAATTTTTGTCTTCCTCAATGATGGACACTATGAGAGTAATCAGCTTGGACCAGAAGTCAAGGTTCTTGATGCTGGGTCCCTGTTCTTCTGGGGGAACTTCTCCCTTCTTGGCCTGGAGTGGGGAAATGGAGACATTAGCCAAATGGGTCCATAGGTGGGTGCCTCAGTTAGTTCATTATTGAGGGGCAGGAGGTTAGTAAGGAAGGGGTCCCATTAACACATGGGTGGTTCAGGTAGGAGAGCTGTATGAAAAGGAACTGAATTCATGTAAACTGGCCCAAACAGGACTCATGTCCATGCAGCTCAACAAAGCTTAATTAGACTCAACTCATAAAAGTGAATAGAACTGAGTTTAGTTGAAAAAAACTGAAGCCCACTAAACCAAATGGAACTGAAATGAATGTCAATCAGGCCCATTTAGATTAACAGATGGAGATTCTCAGAATTAATTCAATGAAACTGAACCTGGGCCAATTATACTGAATGTAGTGGAATTAAACCTAACTGGATTGAATTAAACTCAAATGAATTCAATTGGATTGAACCTAATCAACTCATCCAAAATCAACATCATCCTAAGTCAAAATAATGGAAATAAATTGACTTGAACTCAACCCAACCTAACTTAATCTAATTCAACTCAACTGAGTCAATCCAATCCAACTCTACCTACTCAACTGAACCTAACATACTCAGGTCAGTTCAATCCAACTTTAGTCAATCAATGAAAATGAATGTAGCTAAATTCAACTGAAATGAGCCCAACTCAACCCAATTCATTTGAACTCAACTATACCTAACCCAACAACCCAGCTCATCCTCACTCAAGCCAACTCAACCCAATCAAGAATAACTTCAAGTCAACTGAATATAAATAAATGGATTTTTATTAAATTAAACCCAGCTTAATCCAACTCAGTTCTGCTCACTAATTAGCCAAGAGTAATTTTAAGTCACCTGAATAGAAATAAATGGAACTAAACTGTTTATAGTTGAACTAAACCCAACCCAATTTAATCCACTGTACCTCAACACAATTCAATTAAAAGCGATTTGATTTCAATGAAGAGAATGAAATAAAATATCACTAAATTGAGCTTATGTGTTATCTCCTATCTGAAGCCCAAGGTGAGGTAGGGCCCCCTTAGCCCCTACAGTCTCCTGCAATTCCTCCATCCCAGGGCTAATCACCCTAGGTTGTGAATTTCAATGTATATATCTCTCCCTTCTAAAATGGTATGAACTCCTTGAAACCTTACTGACAATCCTGGCATTATATGTGTAGATAAAAAAACACATGTTGAAAGATCTCAAATAAATTGAGTTGAAATGACCAAAACTCAACTCTACTGAAGAAATTAAATTCAACTCAACATTTATTGAACAGTGATTCTATCCTAGGCAAACTGCATGCCAAACTCAACTAAGTTTAACTAAAACTGAATTTATTGAGCATCTATTGTATATCAGGTGCTAAGCATTTATTTACATTTTATCTAAAGATAGCATCTCATTAAATTTTCTCCTCAATTCTGAGATATGGGTTTATGACCCCATTTTACAGAGGGAGATACTGAGGCTCAGTTAAGTCACTTGAGAAGGGGCAGACCTAGGACTTGGGCCAGGGTCTGGTTGGTATCCCCTATTCCATTCTGCTTTATCTGGGGTCCTCACCGGGTCTGTCTGGTACTCCCGACTATAGAGTTCATGACAGTTGTTGAAGATGTACTCATAAGTAGAGTTGAGGCAGGCTTTCACACAGTCTTTCACCACCTGGCTGGCTCGGGGTGGGCTCTGGAGTTCTTGCACCTAGAGGGAGGGAGACAGGCACAAGTCAGCATAGCTGGAACAGGTGGTACCCAGGAAGTGCCTACAAGTGGTTATGAGTTTAAGGAAATGTAGCAGTATGAAAGCAGAGGGTCATTGAGAAAGGGCACTACTCTCCAGGAGAAATGTTATTTGGTTAGGAGCTAAGAGTGCTAGAAAATGCCCGATGGAAAGCTAATGGGACTGGGTCTCCTTCTTACCTTCATCCGAAAGAAGGTGATGCTGGTGAGAAGGTCCACAGTGGATTTGAGGTCCTGGAGTCTCTCTGGGCTGCTGGCTGGGAAGTTATTCTGTTGGAAGGGAGAAGAGAGGTGGGATTATGGAAGAGGGCTGGGTAGAGGGAGACTGTTTTAGGGGAAATACAAGAGCCCCCCAAGTTCTAGGAAGTATGTGAGTGTCCATGAGAACACCTTGAAGCAACTGGGGGGGGTGTCTGGTTGGATGCACCAAGCAAATTGGGTAGGTGCTGCCCACATATGTGTACACATGTCAAAGGAACACATTCCACATGTTAAGATGGGTCCTCTCATGTGCACACTGGCTGGGAGCTCTCCCCTACAGGCACAAACATGTGTAGGAGCAACCAAGTCATCATGCATGTACTTCTCACCCGATACATGGAGAGGTCGATCCGCAGGGAGTTGTGCAGCTGGTCCAGGAGCTTGACAAAGCGCTCTTTCTGAGGAGGGAGAGGAGGAGAATGGATGGAAGCAGGGACATGGGGGTCAAGTGTAGCAGCTAAAGGCGGCTACCATATTGGGTAAGTGCTTACTATACACTAAGTGTACCCCATCCACTATTGAACTGAACCATCGTGATATCTGTTTCCATTCTACAGAGGGGTAAACTGAGGCTTAGAGAGGGCAAGTGACTGGTGCAAAATCACACACTAAGTCAGTTCCAGATTGGAGACCAGGGAGTCACACAGGGTCTGACCAGCACGGGGTTGGGCTCTCCCTCCTCCCCCAGCCCCAGTCCCTGGGACTGACCCCAAAGTTGGAGGCAGCAAAGCGGTCAGATGCGGACACGTTGGTGGAGGCGGTGGTGTGCGCATAGTAGGCATTGATGTTGGCGAGCAGGGTGCTCATGACGGCGGGCACCCCAGGACACATGTACTTGGAGGAGAGGCAGGCAAAGTGGCTGGTGGGAGGGAGTGGGAGAAATTGGGCCTGGCATCCAGCCAGGACAGGCAGTGTCCCACCAGAAGGCCTCCAAGACAGCATCTGTAAGTGGCTCCCTCTAATCTTCAAACCATTCCCTCTGGCTGATTGTGTCTTCCAAGTTTCTCTCTGTCTCCTCTCTGGGTTGCCCATCTCTGCCTCTAACTCTGACTCTCACCACGCTTCAGCTCCCAGAAATGGCACTTTCCTAACCTCCAAGGGACTACAGAATGCCCACCACACCCACATCCTCTTTGGTTCCTTCTCCCAAGAATCCTTCCACCACTAGATCTGCCAGGGTCCACTTGGTGTCCCCCTCACCCCAGTTTCCTGCACCTTGCCCTCATGTCCACCCCAGCCTGCAGCCTCACGTCATGGCTTGGTAGATGGACTCTACGCCATATCGCATGGCAAATTCATCCACAATTTCCTGGGCTGTCTCATCATAGTAAACCTTCCAGGCGTCATCACCCTTGGCATCTGGGATCTTCACAACCCCATTGTTCTGCACATCTGTCACGAAGTGGAACAGGTTCTGCCACCAAGAGGGAGAAGGCATCATGAAGAGTGCATTGAGGCACAAGGGGTCAGAGATCCCAGGTCTGGGGCAGCTTACATCATCCATCTGTTTATTCATTAATTTATTCATCTACTCTTTCATCTATCCACCACCCACCAATTCATTCAACTACCAAAAATTTTACCCATTGACTCATCCATCCTTGTAACACTTCACCCACCTACCCACCCCTTTACTTATCTATCCATCTACTCATTTACCCATCGATCCAGCTACCCCAAAATCCACCTATCCACTCCTCTATCCTTTCATACATTCATCCATTTATCCATCTATCCACTCATCTATCTAAACTTCCATCGGTCTGCCTGCCCATTCATTCACTCATCCACCCACCCACCCATTCATCTACCCAAAGTTTCATCCATGCACTAATCCTCTCTTTTAATAATCCAACCACACATCCATCCCCTATAACTACCCACAACTTAATCTCTCCATCCAGCAATTCATCCATCCACCCATCCAACCATCCATCACCTATTTATCTACCCAACAATTTATCCATCCATTCATCCATCATCCATCTTTTCACCCATCCACCTATCCAACTGCCCCCAAATTTACTCATCCACCTATCCATACTTCCAATAGTTTAACCACATCTGTCCGTCGACCCATCCTTTTATCCACTCATCGTCTATTTGTCCATTCAATCATTTATTCATTCAACAAACTGAGTTCTCTCCAGGAACCCCCCCTGTTCAGGTCTGGAACAAATGGAAGACCTGGAGCTGGGTAGTGAGAGTCTGCCTGGAGGTCAGGGAGGGCTTCCCAAAGGAGGGGGCCCTGAAGCTGGATGAATAAAGAGTTTTCCAGGCAGAAGGAATGCATGGGGGATAGTCTTAGAGGCTTGAGGATTGTGGATGGTGTGGCCGGAAAGAGGAAGGTGGGGCTGGGGCAGGCAGGAATTCCAAGTGGAGGCAATGTGGGAGATCATAGTGATCCCTGAAGGCAGGGAAGAGCAGTGGGCCTCACCTCATGCAGACAAGTGTACTGGACATGGTAGGGGGCCACCTTTTCCTCGCCTTTGATCTCCACACTGATGTGTAGCCGGATGGCACCTGATACAGCAGATTTGTCAGTCCGCTTGTCTGAAAAACAGAAATGGATGGCTGCATCAGAACTTTCCAATATAGGCCCGGGTATTTTAATGTATGCATGACTGTAGCCCTCCTGGACTCCCTGAGATTAAGACCTGGGTATCTTCTCGGATTGGCTCTCTAAACTTGTGCCACTCCCATTAGCCTAGAATTCGCTAGGCCCTGTCTCTTCCTTCAACTAGGACTCCAGACCTTACTTCCTTGCTCAGGTTAAATTCCTGAGTCTGCATCTTCCTCTTTAACCAGCAGCCCTAGGCTGGGCTAGGCTGGGCTAGCCCTAGCCTGGACTATCCCTGCTTCTCCCCCAGACTAGGCTCCCAGGCCCTGCTTCCCCCATCAAATCAAGATCTCCAGAATCTACTCATCTTAGACATCTACTCATCTCAGACTAGGATCCCCAGGTCTTGCTTCCTGCTCCATCAGATTGGGCTCACAGACCCTGCCCCCCCCCCCATAGATTGGGCTCCTAGACTAACTCCTCCTGACACTGGTTCCCCAATTTGGCTCCCTGGGGCGCCCTCCCTGTCCCTTGCAGAACACCACCCATGCTCACCCAGGTTGTACCACACGTCCATCTCGCCGCTGAGTGTCCGCACCTCGATGATCGTCTGTCCCAGGAAGTCATCAGATTCCCTCTTAAACCGCTGCTTCACACGGGACTTGATGTCATCATCCTCATCCCAGACACGCACCTTGATTCGGTCTGAGGAGTTGTGACATTCACTGCAGGGCAGGGAGAGCCAGAGGCTGGGGTCAGGTGGCTGGCACAGGCTGGTCTTGGAGTCCCCTTCAGTTGCCCCAGCAGAGAGCTCCCCCTCGGGGCTCAGGGGTTCAGCCAGTCACTTACAAGTGGAAGTTCTCCTCCCACACAGGGTTCAGGTTCCCATAGATGGTTTTTGTCCGTTTCTTGGTCTTCCCAACCTGGACAGTGACATAGGGGTCACTGGATCCTGTCTTGTCCTTTGCCTGCAAGCCCTGGGCACAGACCACTGTAAGACACACAGGACAAATACAAGTACAGGCTCAAGGAGTGAGGTATGCTGAAAACAGTCCCTGTCACGGGCTGCAGGTTGCTTGTTGGAGACACCTGTGACATGGCCTGAGGGCTTTGTTCTGACCACAGGAGCCCATGGGGACACCCACAAGACATAAAGGACTTGCTAGAGAGTTAACACCCAGGGAGCCCTCAGCTGATGCCGAATGGGAAGGTGCCCCAGGGCCACCCCTGGGTAGGACATTCTATACATTGTCCTGAAATCTCCAGCAGGACTGAGCTTACAGTTGCTCATGGAGTCACCTGTTTATTGGAAGCCACCTGTTTATGTGCCTTCCCTACCTGCTCCCAGACTCATATCTCCAGCCGCACTGGGGCTTCCTGGGGCCACTTCCTGGATACACATTGCCCTGAAATCCTCATCTTGGGGTCTTTCCGGGAAATTTGAATGAGGTTGGGCATGGATAAACACCCTAAGGCTCCCATCCCTGGGTAGGACCACTCTGCTGTGTGAGCTCAACACTGTCCCCCAGTGGTCCCCGAGGGGAATGAGCCCCAGTTGTCCACAGCATTGCTTGATCATTGGCACCCTGTGTAGGGCTCCTTCTCTCCCAAGCTCACTTCTCAACTCCCATGGCATCACCTCCCAAAGAAACAATGTGCCCTCAACTCCTCTTCTTGGGGTCTGATTCTGGGGGAGGCACCAATCAAGACTCATCCAGATAGAGTGTCATGTGCTCACATTTGGAGGCATACATGCCCACCCTGTGAGCACAAACACTCACACATATGGACATGGGAAAGACATGGACACACTCAAGTACACGCCGCAAAAGGAAGAGCCATAGGAGGAAGCACAGGGGGCTAAGAAGGGACCCTGTGCACCCCCCCAACCCCCGCGGCCTCACCAGTGATGCTGATCTTGGCCGACCACTTGGATGTGCCGTCCAGCACGCTCTGCTTGACCGCCTTCATCTGCTGTGTATGTGCGGTCTTGGTTACGGCGAAGATCTCCTGGATGAGCTCGAAGATCTCAGGTTTGTTGCGCTCCCGGATCTTCATGCGGTCCTTGAGCACCATGATGATGTTCTGCGTCCGGTCCTCCGCCCCGTGCTTGGAGCTTTTCTCTGCAGCCCCTGCGGACGCAGACAGCAGTCACTGTCCAGAGCGCGCTCCCTCACTGGAGCGAGAACCCCAACTCCCATTCCAGAGCTTCCTCGGCTGTGGCCAAGGGTACTTTAAGCCATGGCGGCTCAGGTGACTCGCACCCCAAAGCTAGAACTGCTAGAGCTTTCTACCTGCTCTCTGAATCCTCCTACCCCTTGGACCCGTCAGTCCCCACCTGTCTACGCGAGTCCCCCCTCCTCTGAATCCCCGCTCCCTGCCAAGACCCCGCCCCTTCTCTGACTCCTCCCCCCACTCTGAGCCCCCTCCATCCCGAACTAACCCTAACCCTAACCCATTTTTCTCCGGCGGAACCGCTGACTCTCAGGAACCCCATTCGTTGCACCGTTTAGCTAGTCCCTGAGTCCTGCCCCACCCCTCTCCGACCTCTGACCCTCTCACATCTCCTTTTCCCTCCTCTCGCCCCAATCCTCCGGCAGAGGAGTCCGCCCCGGTTCTTGCCCCGCCCCGCCCCGCCCCCCCTCCGCGGAGCCCCGCCCCTCCGGCCCCGCGCTCACGCTGCAGGCAATCGGCGTTGAGCAGGTCCTGGCACTTCTCGTGGCACTTGACGCCGCACTCGGTGCAGCGCATGCCTTGCCGCGCGATGCCCCACAGCAGCCCCTCGCACTCGTAGCAGTAGGTGGGCGTGGTGGCCGTCCACACCTCGAAGTTGTGTGGCGTCGTGCAGGAGATGGGATAGATTAAGGCTTGCAGGGTCTTCTTGTAAACGTGGTTTTTCTGAGGGGAGGGAGGGCGCCGGCATGGGGCGCTGTCCTGCCCCGCCCTCACCCCCTTGCTGAGTATAGTAAAGTCCCAGCCCCTCTCCCGGCCCCCACACTGTGGGAGCACGTTTCCTGTGCACGGATCCTGTTGACAGGGTGTTGCACAACCCAATTCTGGAAACTAGATTGCGGAGAGCAGAGAGCGAGGAATGCCTGTCTCGGCCACACTCTCCTCCTCCTCCTGCAGGAAGCCCCAGCCCAGCCCACCCCTCAACCCAGTGGAAGGGGAGGCGCCCCACGCACCAACTCCTCGTTGTTCAAAGTGCTGGAGGCCAAGGCCGAGGTGATGCCTGCTTTTCTGGACTGGACCAGGGACTGGGGCAGGGAAATCACCCAGGGAGTACAGGGGTCGATTCACACCCATGGGGTTGTCACCACAAGCAGAATCCACAGCCATGGTTTGGGGCCACCAGCCACGGATTGAAGCCACAGCCACGAATATGAAACAGGTCACAGCAGCAGGAGCAGAGCCAGCAAAGAATTGGAAAGTGACAGAGGCTCCGGGTTAGAAGGGACCCTGGAAGGTGTGCAGTCTCACACCCCTGACTCACCCATCCCCCACCAGACTCAGGAGCTGCACTTGGCATGATCACCAGCCACAGGACAAAACTACCAGCCACTCCATGAACCAAGGTCGTGAGTCACCTGCTCTCTCCTCCACCCATAAACTGTAGGACACGGCAGGGTTCCCCCCCACCCAGAACCCATGGGTTGGGGCCAGTTGAAAGATCCTAGTTGGGGGGGCGGTTCCTGGGAAGAGAGAGAGACCGAAGGCCCAGGTCACCATCACTCACCATGGCCTGAAGTGTCCATGCAGCAGGCAGGGTAGAAATCAGATTACGTTAGTTCCAGAGAACACCTTGCCAGCTCCCAGTCCCAGGTCTGCCATGGGCAGTTGTATAAGTTGAGCACTGCTTATGGCAGGCCTGCTCTGCTGGGGGAGAAGAGGGCACAGGCGCTCACCAGGTCGCTCACGAGTGGAATGGGCTTCCTCTTGCGGATGTCTGGCATGCTGTCAATGATGATGAGGCCACCTCCAGGGCTGCAAGACACACACAGGGATGTCAAGGGCCCAGGCTTCCCCCTTCCTCCAATAGACATAACTTGAGGCCCGGACATCACTTGATCTCCATGGATATTAAAGGCTGAATTATGTCTCCCAAAAAGATACATTTAAGTCCTAGCCCCTCGAACCTCAGAATGTGGCCTTATTTAGAAATAGGGTCATCACAGATATAATTAGTTAAGATGAGGTCACACTAGAGTAGGTGGGCCCCTAATCCAGTATAACTGGGTCTTTATAAAAAGAGAGACAGCAATGTGACAAGAGACAGAATTTAGAGTGACACATCTACAAACCAAGGAATCCTGAGGATTGCCAGCAACTACCAGCAGCTAGCAAAGCAAGGACAGGTTCTCCCCTAGAGGTATCGGAGGGAGTGTGGGCCAGCCAACAACTTGATTTTGGGCTTCTGGCCTCCAGAACTGTAGAAGAATCTATTTCTGTTGTTTTAGGCTACACATTTGTGGTAATTTGTCATAGCGGCCCTCGGAAATGAAGACACTGGACGTCAGCTTCCTCATCTGGGGAATGGGGAGATGATGCAGTTGCCCACGTTTAATGAAAATTTGAATTAAGGCAAATCTAAATAATATACTAAGATATTCATGAAACCTTTCCTTATGCTCAAAATTGGAAAATGGATATGTATATTTAAAATCTATTCTGGGGCCCCTGGGTGGCTCAGTCGGTTAAATGTCTGGCTTCGGCTCAGGTCATGATCCCCGGACCCTGGGATCGAGCCTGCTCAGCAGGGAACTTGCTTCTCCCTCTCTCTCTGTTTCTCCCTCTCCCTCTGCCTCTCCCCTCCACTAGTGCTCTCTCTCTCAAATAAATAAAATCTTTAAAAAAATAAAATCTAGGGGCGCCTGGGTGGCTCAGTCGTTAGGTGTCTGCCTTCGGCTCAGGTCATGATCCTGGGGTCCTGGGATAGAGCCCCGCATCGGGCTCCCTGCTCCGTGGGAGGCCTGCTTCTCCCTCTCCCACTCCTCTTGCTTGTGTTCCCTCTCTCACTGTCTCTCTCTCTCTGTCAAATAAATAAATAAATAATGAAAATAAAATCTATTCTGGAATGGGTCACCAGGGTGGCTCAGTCAGTTAAGCGTCTGCCTTCCACTCAGGTCATGATCCCAGAGTCCCAGGATCAAGCCCTACATCGGGCTCCCTGCTTGGCGGGGAGTCTGTTGTCCCTCTCCCCCTGCTCATGCTCTCTCTCTCTCTCTCACAGATAAAAAAATAAAATCTTAAAATCTGTTCTGGAAGGAATGATGTCAAAGCTGATGGGAAGAAGGGAAATGGAAATCTAGGCTACTGCTTCTTGGCAGCTTTGGTGTAGCTGGTGGATCTGAGCGAGCTCTGTGGCCTGTACAAATTCACTTTACTGAGAGCTGCTCTCATCCCAAAGAGGATTCAGGTGTGTCTCCTCTCCAGAAGCTTCCCATTGGCCACTGAGAGAGATGTCTGGCAGCCAATGACTCCGGACAAGCCCTGGGGGGGCTACTCAGGTACCAGTGCTCCCTGCTCCATCAGGCAGAGGTGTGGCGACCCCTGAACTACATCTATGCTTGGCTGCATCCCCTGCCTGATCCTGCCTGCCTCACAGATTTTTCTTGAGGGCACTTCCTCCATAAATCACATGTACATCCTCATGTCAGTCCCTGCGTCCTGAGCTCCCCAACCCAGGACACCTACTCATCTGGGAGTCACAGCTTCTGTCTCTATGCCTCTGTGTGCAAAGGATGTACAAAGAGAGGCAGTCACCCACCTGCTGCTATTTTAAAACATTAGTGGAACTTAAAAATATCTTTTACATCTTCTAACCTCACCACTCAGATGCCGAAGGAAAAGAAAGCCCCGAGGGCACCTGGGTGGCTCAGTCGGTTAGGCGTCTGCCTTCGGCTCAGGTCATGATCCCAGAGTCCTGGGATTGAGTCCTGCATCGGGCTCCCTGCTCCTTGGGAGCCTGCTTCTCCCTCTGCCTCTCTCTTTCACTGTCTCTCATGAATAAATAAATAAAATCTTAAAAAAAAAAGAAAGCCCCCAAAATTAGAAATTTAAGAAATTAGATACGACGAATTGCTCCACATAAGACCAAGTGATTATCATTAAAGAGCCAGCAGCCACAGCAATAATCTGAGATATTTAAAAGCAGAATCAAGCGGCACCTGGGTGGCTCAGTCTGTTAAGCGTCTGCCTTCGGCTCAGGTCATGATCCCAGGGTCCTGGGATCGAGCCCCACATTGGGCTCCCTGCTCAGCTCTCCTTCTCCCCCCTGCTTGTGCTCCCTCTTGCTATCTCTCAAATAAATAAAATCTTCAAAAATAAATAAATAAAAATAAAATGAAAAGAGAATCAAAGCAAAAAAAAATTCACTCCACGATTACAGAGATATGCTGCAGGAAATAGGCTTCTCCTTTATCTTACATTTATTTTAGGGGGAAGTGGTCTTGAATAATGTAAGCGGTTGGGGCAAAGCATGGACCTCTTTGGACTCAGTTTCCCCACCTGTAAAATAGGGGTAGCAGGCCTCCCGTGGGTTTGTTGTGAAGATTCAGTGTGTTCTATCTTTGGCTTCTGTCTGTGGTGAATCTCTTAGGATAGTGACTACATTATTTCCCCCGATCTGTCACTCGGTCTGTCCCCTGTCTAAATGGAACCCTTTGCTGCCCTCACTGGGCTGAGGCTATGGTGTAAAGCAGCCTCAAGCTCTGGGGTCAAAACTTCCTCCTACCCCCACAACTCCGTTACTCACCCGCCCTTGAACCACAGGGATTTAGACATCTCTCCTTCTCCTCGGGCCTGTAGGACAAACAGGTATGGTCAGTGGGGCAGTCTCTCCCCAGGGCAGGGTAGGCTCCCCACCCACTTTGTCTCCCCTTTGGGCTGGGAGTCAGGAGGCCTGGGGCCTAGTCCTCACTGTGTGTCCTTAAGCTTACTCTGGGCCTCAGTTTTCCATCTGTAAAATGGGGAGAAAAGAGCTCCTCTCTACCACCAATCTCAATAGAACTTGGTCTCCTGATCTGTCAAACTGGGGATGTGTTAGTATCACCTCCAACAAGAGCTCATGCTCTACAGTCCTGGGATTCTCAGGGACAGGTTCAAACACTCATAAGATTCTGTCATTCTCCCAGCCTCACCTGCTCATCTGATCTTGTACCCCAGGGCCTTTGCCTGAGCTGTGCTAGCTCTTTGAATGCCCTCCCACCTACTGCCTCCGACCGGCCTCCATTTGTCATTCGGATCTCAGGGCAGAACCAGGGTTGACACCCCCACCTATGCAACTAGAGGGTGACATGGTGGGCGAAGAGTGGGGAGGGTCCAGCCCTCTCTTCTGAAGTCTTATTGAAGTATTTTGGATATCACTTTTCCTTAAGTGTCACATCCTCCAGGGAGTTTTCCTGATTGTCTTGGATTAGTTTTGTGCCCCTTCTGTGAAACCCAGAGAGCCTGCCCATGTTTATTTATTTATTTTTTGTCATATGATTGGTTCCATTACAAGAGTAGCTGCTGTTTTTCCATTTAATTTGCTGACTTCGTGGAAGTTCTTCAATAGACTTTACGCTGCATATTCTTTTCTACTCTTTGCATTCAGAACCATGTGAATGGATTACTTAGTTAAAAAAAATAAAATTCTGTTTTAAAACATAGGAAATTTGATTTGAAATTTCTGTGGCTCTGATGTTTGATGGTCTAGGACTTTGGGACTTTCTTTAGGATCTCCTATTGCCAACCTCACCCCAGTTTGGAAGGGCCCCTTTCATAAGGGCACTGCCCTGTCCCCAGCCTAGGGCAGCTTGAGCAACTGAAGAGGTAAATGAATGGCTTCAACCCTGCTGCCCATCTGAACAGTCACCTTGACCCTAATGCTAATCTATCTTCCACTTAATTTCTTCTCTGACCAGCCCTCAAACCTTTCCCCAGCCCTGACACGGGTACCCAATGTGATCCCAGGCACTGATTCCTCCCCCTAACACCAATTTTAACCCTGACCTCTGATCTCTGACTGCTGCCCTAACTCTGATCTCTACCCCTATCCCTAACCTCTACCCCTGTCCATGAACTTGACCTCTGAAGCGGCTGTAACCATGACCTAACTCCAGGTTCCAGCTTATCTCTCCTTCTTCCCCACTCAAAATTCCAGGCTGGCATGGGGGAGACTGGGCTGGGCCTTGGTGGGGCCAGCTGGTTGGGGAAGAGGACAGGCAGGCATGGGTGAGAACAGGGAAGGGCCCTTCTGGAGACAGATGAAGCCAAGGTGTAGCTAGGGTCAGAGAGGGGTCGGATTGGACAGCAGCTGGGCCAGGAATGATGGGGCCAGGACAATGACAGGTGTGGGTGGGGCCAGGTTGGTGTGGGCGGAGCCATGGAAAGACCAGGATGTATGAAAGCGTAGGCGAGGTGGATGGTGTGCGGAAGTGGGGCGTGGCCAAGCTCTCCGTGGGCGTGTCGTGATGCGTGTGGGCAGAGCCTGGAAAATGGCCAGGGTGGGTGGGGTACGGGAAACGCGGGGAGGTGGGCTGACGGGTTGCGGGACCCGGGCGGGCGGGCATGGGCCTGACCGGCCGGCGGCTCTGCTTTCACTCACCTCCTGCAGCTGCAGCCGCACTTTGTTGAAGGCTCGAAGCCAGTTGGCCTTGGCCCGGGACATGGAGTCCTGACCCTCCTGGCCTTCCTCATCCTCTCGTCGCCTGAAACTGAGGCAAGGGGCGTCATGAGGCTCAGGGCCGGCCCTCCCTTGACCCTCCGCCCTTGGAGCGACGTCAGGTCCTCCGTGGCCTCTCTGGCCCTTCAGAGACACGATGACCCATCGGTACCCCCTCTGACGAGCCTCTCAGGCTCCCTTCCGCTTCCCCACCCATGACCCTGTGACAAACTCCCCTCCATTCCCCAGGTCCATGCTGACCCCATCACAGCACCACTGACCCCGTGACAGCCCCTTGATCCCCTCCCATTACCTCTCCTCAGACTTGGGGGGTTCTGGCTCAGGTGCCCGCTCAGCTGTGGGCACCTCCTCCGGCGCAGCCGGCTCAAGGGCTGCCTTGGCCACGTCGTGGGCCTCAGCAGGTACAGCCGGAGCCTTTTCCTCCTTCTCAGATGCGGCCGGTGGGAGGCTGACACGCTTAAAGTCTTTGGGCTCAGCCACGGCCACCTCTTCACGCTGGGTGTAGCTACCGATGTCATCAGGCACCTCCTCCTCCTCCTCCAGCTCCTCCTCCTCCTCCTCAGGCAGCTCCTCCTCCTCCTCCTCCTCCTCCAGGAAGTCCTCCAGGTCCTCCTCCAGCTCCTCGTCCAGTTCTTCATCCAGCTCCTCCTCATCCTGGTCCCAGCGCGGCGAGTCCTTGTGGTAGCTGACTGAGCTGTGGCAGGAGTGGTAGGAGTCCCTGTCCCGCTCGTCTTCCATCTCGGAGCCCTGCAGACTCTGCTCGTCTGGGTCGAAGTCCTCACTCAGCTGCGAGCTGCCCTGGCTCAGTTCCCCCGAGGAGGCATAGCGGCTACTGCCGGTGGGGCTGTGGGGACCAGCCAGGGCTCAGCAGCGGAGGCACAGAGCCGCTGCCTGACCCAGCCCCAGTCACACAGGTTCCATCACCCAGTCATTCATTCAGCATTGGTTAAGCACCTGCTGTGCACCAGGCTCTGCCCTAGGGACCTGGGAAACGCAGCCATGAACAAAAGAAACAAAAATCTCGGCTATCCTGATGTTTCCGCTGGTGGTAGAGGCAGTAAACTCGATCGATGACATTAGTGATCATTAATGACCTACTGTGCATCACTCCCATCCATGTACTGTGGAGACTGCAAATGCTCTTCTTACGTGCTGGGGACCCCAGTTAGTGCCCTCACCTCCAGCCTTTGGAGACTTAGTGCTCCTGAAACAACCTCATCCTCCTACCACCAAGCCTCCTCATTCACCAGGGTCCCATGTCTCCCTGCCTCCACTCCTTGCCTCAACCTCTATTCACAGCCGACCCTGCAGTGGGTCTCCTCAGCTCTACCTCGAAAACATATGCAAAATGCATCCACTTCCTTGCACCCTGGGCCCCACCCTAGTCCAGGCTCTGCCAACTCCACCAGATGCAGCCCCAACGTCCATTCCTATCCCCAACAGTCCTTGCTTCCCACGGAAGCCACAGAGGGACTTCTTTAAATCATAAAGACAATCGCATACCTCCCTGTTTAAGCCGTACCGTGGCTCCTTAGAGACCTTGGAATAGAATCTGTGCCATGCCCTACACCCAGGGTGGCCCCAACCCCCCAGCCTCCCCACCTCATCTCCCTCCGAGCTCCGTTCTCTCCCCCTGCTCCAGCCACATCGGCTTTCTCACTGTTCCTCCAAAACCCTACACTTGTGCCCACCTCTGGGCCTTTGCCCTTGCTGTGCCCTCTGCCAGGAACACCCTTCCTCACGTGCTTTATTTGGCAAAATCTTGGTGCCCATTGAAATGTCACTTCTTTGAGTGAGTGGGTTTCCCCCACACTCTGGCCAAGCCAGGTCTTTATATGTTCCTAATATGCACCCTGGATCGTGCTGGACATGACTAGGAAGAAATCTCTATCTCTGCCTGAGGGCAGGCAGCATGACACATGGGCCACCCCTAATCCCCCTTCTAATCATTCATTCAGTCACTCAACAAACATCATTCCTTGCCTTAAATACTTCCTCCACTCTCAGTGACAGTGACCCCTTTCTCCAGCCAGCTCCAGGGATGCTGTAGCAATCAAAATGGGGGTTTCTCCCTCTAGCCATTGTTTGCTAGTTTATGAGTTTCATTGATTGCTTTTTAGTGTCCATCCCTGTAGATGGCAGGAAACAGGTGGGGGATCAGCAGGTATTACTTGGCTGGAAAAGACTCCAAGCTCCCTCTGCTGATGAATACCCCTGAAGTCCAGCCCAGCACATTCTGGAGTCCCTGGTAAGGGGGGGGGGGGCAGCCTAGGACTGGGATCCCAACAGGGGCCTGGAAGTTTCCACCTCCAACCTCAGGCACCACATACATTGTCCCAGGCTTGGCTTTGGGGCCATCTTCCCATCCTGGCTCTGACATACTGAGTCCCAACACAGCTCTTACCCCAATCAGACGCTTCCCCTGGCTCCCATGGCCCTGAATTAGCCACGCAAGGGCCTTCCTGCATGATCTGGCACCTTGCACCTCTCCAGTCTGTGGCTGAGCTGTTTCCTCTGCCTGAAATTCCCTTCCTCGGACTTCTCATTTATCCTTCAAGGGCCATCTCCCAGGCGCCTTCCTCCAGGAAGCCCTCCCTACCCTTCCCCACTGCTAGAGTCTGGTCGCTCCTTCCAATCAAGCCCTGACCTGTGGGATGGAATGTCTGTGTCTGGCTCTGTGTCCCTAGCCTCTCGGATCACCGAGCACTAAGCAGCATAGCCATAGGATAGCTGGGGAGTGTGGCTTGAGTCACTCTCAGGGGAACACAGGCCATTTCTGCCTCTGCATCCTCTCCCTCACCCCTGCGTGGCCTGACCACAGCAGGAGGGGAGAAGACTCCTCTTTCTCCAACCTCCCCCACCCCATTCTGTCCCAGGAATGCTCACAGTAGACAGACTCCCCCAACCAAACACTTCCTGGCACTTTCTCTGGGTCTGATGCTATGGTCACTCTCCAGCTCTTTTTCTCCAAGAGAAGACTTTTCCTTCTTCTAAAAGAGTTAATAGTTTATTAATATTTCATATCTTACTCTCAACTCTTTCCAATACATTGAAACTTTATTCCCATAATTGCTTACCTTGAGTATGCAAATGAATGCGAGTGATGCTTTCATGAAGGAAATGTATTCTTCCAGGAACAAATATTTAGGAAAAAGACCCACAACCAAAGATCATACCTGGCCAAAACTTGGCACCCAATAGGTTCACCATAAACACTAGTCCTTATGACTTACCAGATGTGTGACCTCAAACAAGTGACTTAACCTCTCTGTGCCTTGATTCCCTGCCTACCAAATGAGACCAATAGTATTCCCACCCAGAGAATAAAATGCGATGATGAAGGGAAGGTGCCGGCCCAGCGCTGGGTGCATGGTTACCTCCAAATGCGATTATTTGTGCTGTGTACCTAACAGTCCCTGTGTAGCACTTTCAAACACCCCTCTAAGCGCTTTACCAACATTCAATCTGCTTAATATCATGTTTCTCATCATTCTGTTTGGAAACCAGGGCTGGGGTGATCAGGTCAGCGAGGAAGGATGGCAGGCACGAGTGTCAGCCTCTTAGGTTTGAGGACCAGCACCCTGCACAGGGCAGTGGCATGGCCCATGAGGGCCAGGGTACCCACCTATGGGACAGATCTAGGGACAGCCTACTTTCAAGGGACAGCTCCCAAGTCACCGTGCCCATGGCTGCCAGCCAGAAACACAGAGTCAGGCCATTAGGGAGGGCTGGGCAGCACCATGCCAGGACCACCAGCTGGCTGCTTGCTGGGAGTCCTTCCAATATCACTATGCCTCACCACCCTCCATGAATGCTAGTCTCTTCCTCCACCTACCCCTCCCCTGCCCAGTGAGAGAGAACACAGAAACCAGTGCCCCAGTGGCAAGGCAGCCCCGTATTTCAGGGGCACCTCTCAGGGGCCTCCTGACTTATCCCTCTTTCTCCAGCCAAAGCAGATGCCCTTTTACCAAGCTTGGGAGATTTTCTTACGAGATCAAGGGTAGAGAAAGGGCTCTATTACCTATAAGAGAGTATGGATGGTGCTTTCCTAGACCCACTTACCTCCCCCTCCATCTTGCCCAAGTTCCCTACTCCTCTCTCCACTCTGGGACACACAGCCACATACACACACATGCACACACGTGGATCCTTTTTTCCACAGATCACACACCTGAGGGCCCGTGGCTCAGAGAACTCCTCATAACTGTGCACGGAGTCACTGTAGGATTCCCGGGAACCCAGGGGTGGTGGACGGACAGAATACTGGTGGACTGAGGCATTGGGTTGGGATGTAGTGTAATAAGGTGGTGGGATGCTGTTGCTTGTCTCGCTGCGATAGTCACTGTCACGATCATCCACTGCACTGTCAGGGTCATCATCTAGAAGAGAGAGGAGGGGACGGAAGAGAGTGAGGAGGGAAGGGAGAGGGAGAGCACACCGTGGAGGCCAATGCAGTCTCTCAGACTTCTCAGACTAGGGAATCTTCACTGGCTGCTAACCCGAGAAGAGGAATCTTTGCCAGAATGAATGAAGGATCTTGGGTCATGTTGATAGAAGTAGGGGCTTTAGGATAAGGGAGGTGAAAACCCTGCTTTGCCGATCAGACTGAACTCATAGTCTGGGGTCCAAGGTAGGTCCTACAGTGTGAGGAGGACAAGGACAAATTAGAGAGTGTCCTTCAGCTCAAATGTGAGAATGGACTTTGCTAAAGTCCAGGTTTTCTGAAAACAAGATGAGTTTTTCCATCACGCGGTGAGTCACACAAACACTCAGGGGGACGTTTAGAGGACAAGGTGGAGTATTTATTTCCTTTAACCCTCAGAGATTTCATGATGTCCGAGGATGCGGATCCTAGATCTGAACTCACATGTGTAGGAACAAAGAAGAGGCTCTGACAGATACTACAGCCCTCAAAAAGGATTAGATTCTTCGGTTGGCAAGATCACCACACACTCAGAATCTATCGCTAAAATGCAACAGGGTGAAACTGCTGAACTTCAAGTGTTTTATAAGAATTAAGGGACGTTTTAGTTTGGTTTGTTTTCCTTGATAAAAAGAGAACAGTGTGGAAGGATGTTAGATTGTGGTGGGATGGGAGAGACTCAATTCACTTAGAAAGCAACACTGGGTGGCTCGGCCAGTTAAGTGGCCCACTCCTGATTTCCGATCAGGTCATGATCTTGGGGTTGTGAGATCGAGCCCAGTCTGGCTCTGCGCTCAGTGGTGAGTCTGCTTAAGATTCTTTCCCTCTGCCCCTCCCCGCCCCCCTGAACTCAGGCACACTTGCGCGTGCTCTCTCTCCCTCTCTCTCTAAAAAAAATAAAATAAAATAGAAAACAACACTTGAAAACAAATGGGTTGCAAAAAAAAAAAATTAAATCAAAACCCTGACTGGGTGGCCTATGATACTCTTGACCATGGCATCAATTTACTGGTGACATTAAATGCCAAGGAGGCGGCTTGCCCCTTTTTATGCCTGTAAGTTTTTTTGCTCATTTCCCATATGTTTGTGTGTTTTTCTTGCCTTATTATTTTAACCTTCTAGTTTTTCCCCAGCTAATCGTTTCTGTTTCTTTCTTTTTTTTTTTTAAAGATTTTATTTATTTATTTAAGAGAGAGAATGAGATAGAGAGAGCATGAGAGGGGGGAGGGTCAGAGGGAGAAGCAGACTCCCTGCTGAGCAGGGAGCCCGATGTGGGACTCGATCCCAGGACTCCAGGATCATGACCCGAGCTGAAGGCAGTCGCTTAACCAACTGAGCCACCCAGGCGCCCATCGTTTCTGTTTCTATATATTTGACAAATAGGTCCATTTCTTAAAATGTGGTAAACTGTTTAAAAAATTGATTTCACACTTCACGTAGAGAGCTAGTTGGATTCATTCCCAAGCCTATTTTGCCTTTTGAGAAACCTTAACTTCATTTTCAGCTAGCAAAGCTGGCCTTACCAAGGTAATTCTGGCTTCCTGGTTTCTCAAGTGACTTGAGCCACTGTGACCTACAAGCTTTTTATCTTGTCCCTGTCATACGTGGCTGCCATCCAATTGAGTGCTGGCCTTTTAGGCAGAAGTAGATGTGAATTCCCACATCTGCAGGCATCAGGGTGTAACTGAGGCCATAAAAGCCTGAAGTGGGGGGTCCGAAACCCCAGACAGTCCCCCATGGGAACTCTGGACAATTCATCAGTGTCATCAAATTGCTCCTTTGACCAACTTGTTTTCTACCCAGTTACCTGGGTATGTATAGTCTTTAGCCAAATGGGCATTCTTTCTACCAAACTGTCCTTGACTGGGCCAAGATGTTTCCAACCAAATCGCATGAGGCTGTGGGCGTGTTCTCCAGATCATTAATTTTTTTCTGACAAACTGTTTTGTTTTAGGGGCAAATTGCTTTCTATTGAATTCCTATTGGATTCTTTTCTTGGATGCTTTCACCCAGACTCTGCTTTTTACCCAATAGTTCTTAACAAATTGCCTGCTTCCCGATAGACATTTTAGCCACTCTGGTTCTGATGAAATGACCTAATTGTCTTTGTTCTTCTTGACCCAATTATCAGCTTTTGCCAAATTGGTTTTGGCCGAAAACGTCTTTGTTTTTGATTGTATTGTTTGTTCGTGGCAAACTGTTTGTTGCCAAGCCTTCTTGTTTGCCAAATGCCTATTTTGGCTACATTGGTTTTTGACAAATTGTTTTGGATCAAAGTATTTGTAAACAGTTTCCCTGGTCCTGGAGGGAGGGCATAGTGGAGGTTGTCCCTCCCAGTGGGTGGGATAAAGGGAAGGAGGTAGATTCATGCTCAGGCTAGAAGACTGGATTTCTCTGGAAGGAGTAGGACATGGAGAAAAGGGAGCTATTCCTCAGGGAGGTAAATAAGCATCCAGTTGTGTGTGTGGGGGGGAGAGGTGACTTGTTTCCTTCCCCTAGGGTTAAATTGGAGGAAGACTGCGGGGAACTTTGGAAGCCGAGGTCTCTGGAGTGATATGTGCCTGGGGGTCCCTGCCCAGCTGCCCCTTCTGAAACCCTCTCACCCTATATCTACCACTACCAAGTGACATTGGGGCCCATTTCCAGGTGGAGGAGGAAGATGGGGAGACAAAAAGAGGAAGGAGTCACAGGAGAGGAGATGACATTATACATGGGGAACGGGGTGGGGAGGGAAGGGGTCACAGTGCCCAGCTGGAGACAGGCAGGTCTCTGGTCTAAATGCCCACTCCTCCCAGCTGAATCCCTCCACCCCAATAATGGTGCCCAGTCCCCACCAAACAGAGCAGGACCTTCAAGACAGACATTAACGGTCAGGGGACAGGAGGGCACATGAGGGGCCTTGCCAGTCCTCAGGCCCCAGTGTGCCCATCATAGGCTCCCTGCTTCCCTGGCGGTGGAGCGGGGGCCTCAGGGCTGCCAAGGCACCCACCTCCCCATGGCCTCCCAGAACATCAAGCTGAGTACTTACTCTGCTGCTCACCCCAGCCAAAATAATTCCAGTTGCCTACAAAGAGAAGGGGCAGAGATAATAAAAGGGAGCAGGCAGAGGGGGGGCATGGGGAGGGGGACTCCCCCATCCTCCTCATTTTCCCCATCTCCTCCTCCCACCCCAGGACCCCGATCCCCTCCTGCCCTGAGTATCTTCTCAGAATATCACTTTAACCCGTGACATTTGTGACACCTTCAATCATCACCTTGAGAGGCTGGGGGTATATCCCAATTTTTCACAGAGGCCACAAGTTCAGCCAGGAAGTAACAAAGGAGGCATTTAGGCCCAGGGTTTTCCAACTCTGAACTCTGGAGTCAGCACTCCCCACTCTTTCCCTCCCCCTTCTGGAATACAAGGAAAGAAACACCGAATTGGAAATCTAAACTTTGAAACACTCCTGATGGGTGGGTCTTAATCATTCTGCTCATTTTATGGGTGAAGAAACAAGGCTCAGAGAGGTAGAGTGAGCAGCCTAAAGTCACACAGCCTCTGAGGACCAGGGAGAGAAACACATCTTCCCTCATCCCCTCATCCTCAGCACCTGGCGTGGTGGAAAAATGCCTTGGACCAGAATCCTATCTCCTCTGACACTTGGCTGCCTCCTCCAAAACATGGTCGTGATGAAACATTCTCAAAAGAACTCGGAGGTAAATGCCGAGGGTAGGTCTCCATTCCCAAATCGAACCCACCCCTCCCGTCAGGCTACCTGTCCATGTGTTTGTTCTTCATCATCTGCTCCTGTCTCCACTTGCCTGACACTGTCCCCACCTTAATCCTTCAGTGACCCCATTCACCAGGAAGGGGGTTAGTAATTTCTTAGGGCAGTGATGACCCCTCCCCAGGTAGGGAAGTCAGAGGACTTTCTCAATAGCACCCCCAAATTAGCGTGGAAATGGGGTTCCCCAACTGCAGTCCCCCAGCCCCTCCACCCCCGGGCTCCATCATTACCATCCTGGGCATATGGGGGGTCGACAATGGATACAGGGGAGACTGTGAAAGGGCATGAGAGGGGGATGGGGAAGCAGATGGAAAAGGAGAAAGAGGTAGAAAGGTGGGGTGGGGTCAAAATGTTGGGTGGGGCTCTGCCCTGAGACTATACGATTTGTCACTTCCTCCCCACTCCGGGGGACTCAGAGGGCACTCTTAGGGGACAGACACCTCCTTGGCCCATGGAGAACTGGTCTGGGTGCATCTGAGTATCCACAAGGCCAAGGAGGATAAACACTCCTGAAAACTTCAGCCTTGATGGAGGCGGGGGTAGCCAGAGGAACATGATCATCATTATCCATAGATGCAGAGCAGTGGAAAGAGAAGCGAAGTTGGAATCCCTCAGACCCTGAGTTCAAATCCTAGCTCTGCCTCCTGCTGAGTGTGTGACCTTGAGCAAGTCACTTCTCCTCTTGGGCCTCAGTTTCTCTATCTAAGACAATGGGCAGATGAAACAGCCTTCATGCATTGTATGTGCCTGTTGTACCTGTGTTAGCAGGATTGTCTGCACAACTGTGGGCTGCTTGGGGGGTGGGGTCTGTGTGGGCCCCATGGAAGCTTGTCGAATGAGTTATAGGTCCTCATCCAGGATCTGATGAATGGAATTAGAGAGTCTGCAAAGTGTTTTTCAAATCTCTAGAAGGACTCTCCCGTGTCCTTCCAACAGCCCTCAGAGTGAGGGCACTGTCAGATGCCCTATTTCAAAGAGAGGGACTCTATGGATCAGAGAGGGATTCTGGCATGTCTGTGACCACAGAGCAAGACAGGACTCACATCCAAGTCCTGGATCTTTTCTTTTCACTGCACCGTGAGCAGATACTGTGTGCTCTTAGGACCTGTTCCTCTGGAGGGGAGTGGCCTGTTACTCAGGACAGTCATGGGTAGGGGAGGGATGAGGTTTCAGTTGATGCTCAGGGAGGAATCGAGAGGTACTTACAACACTGGTTGCTGGGGACAGGGAGAGGCTTGTCTTGTTCATCTTGGAATGAATACTGAGAGGGAGGGAAGGAGAGAGTGTTCCTCTCAGGAGGGGCCAGAAGCCAGAGGACCAAGATGGTCCTCTGCTCTGTTCCATCCTGACTACCCCTGCCTCCCAAATCCACTCTGTCTGCAGGAGAAGGATGCAGATGTCCACAGAAAAAGATACACACACACACACACACACACACAGAGAAACAGTGAGAAACAGAGACAGAAAAAGAAAGAAACACAGATGAGGGAAAGAAACAAATAGAAGTGGGTGAAAGAGAGAGCTGTGGGGGAAACTGAGGCAGGGAGCAGAAGAAAGATCAGTGATGAGGTTTGGACAAAAACTATTATCATATGAGTGTTGCCTTTTTGTACTCCACCTCCCACTGAAGAGAGCTCTGGTCTTGCCTGCTATCTCTTCCCGGCCTTCGCCTTCCGAAGGCTGCCTTTTGGGCCCCATTGGGTCTTTGCATTGTGATAATACAGAGCCAAGAAGAAGGGGGATGTCATGGAAGAACAGGGGTGAAGAGGCCAGGGCTGGTGGGGGAGAACTTTGAAAAGTCCAAAAGCATGACCTGAGGAGTTGAGGGGTGTGGGGCGGAGAGCGGATGTAAAGGCTGCTGTGGGGGGCCTGTGTCTCCTTGAGGGTATCTGGCAAGGGCAGATTGATTCAATCGAGCCGATTGAAATTGTTCCATCATTGGTGGACTGTATGTTCTTTGATGTCCTCATCGCTTTGAGACAGGACCAAATGAGGCTCTGATTTTGTCCCCAGGTAGAGACACAGACAGAGGGAGACAAGTGGAGAGCGAAACAGAGACAGAAAGCAGAGGACATGGGGAGACAGAGGGAGGGACAGGCACAGAAAGAAGAGTCTCCCCTCCAACGCTCACCTCATCCTGGTCCCGCATGGCATTCAGCTGCTCCAGCTTCTTGGCCCAGTAGCGCGCCTCCTCCTCGGGAATGTCTGGAAGCGGAGCCCTGGCTGTGAGTCCAGAACCCCTCCCTGCCCCTCAGCCTCCATCCAGTGCATCCTGCAGGCCTATGGGCTGGTCTCAAGGGGGTGTAGGAAGAGGAAAGGAGGACAGGGTGGTGTCCCATCCACCCCCCACCCCCCCACCACCCAGAGCTGCCTTGGGAATGAATGGAGGATGAGAGAGGAGATGCCTCCTAGCATTCCAAGGGTGGGGGAAACCATAGGTTTCTGGAAAGATGCTGTGGAGAGAACTGAGCTGCTTCCAAGAGAGAAAGAGAGGCCTCTTTGTGTCTCTGCCTCTGTTTTTCTCTACATGTCTCTTTGTCTCTGTTTGTCTCTCCTCCTATCTCCAGCTCACCCTGCATCCTAGGACCTCACCAAGGACCGGCTCAGGGCAGTTCAGACCCAAGCTCCATGGGTCAAGAAGAATTTGCTGCCCATTGGTGACCTAGGGGGGCTGGGGTGTGCTCTGCACATGGCAGGTGCATGTCCTGCTGACTCACTGCAACTGGGAAACTCTCTCCTCTGGAGATAGGAAACTTCATCCTCAGAATGAAGGGCAGTCTGAACCCACCCAGGCCTGGCCATTCTCCTGGGTCTGGTGAGGGTCCTTTGCCCCCCACACTCACCTAAAGGCAGCTCGAAGCGGGTGTCAAGGAGGATGCGGTGGAAGGTGGGGTCCTTGGTGCCGCAGATCTCACTGTCTGCCATGATGACCTGAGAATCCAGTGTCAGCCACTCTCCAGGGCCCTCCTGGGGATTGGGGTGAGTGACAGGGTCCAAAGTGATGCAGGATGGAGCAGGGATCTACTGCACATTGACCAGCAGGTCCCCTACTTTCACAGAAGATGCACTTCCCCCCCATCTCACCCTTACCCTAAGAGCAAGGGTCATGCCCACACTTTACAGACAAAGAAACTGAGACTCAGAGAGAAGGTTCTGGTCCAGAGCAACATGGTGGGTCCAAGGAACCCAGAGGCAGGGACCCGGAGAGAAGGCCCTGTGGGGCCAGGCAGGGGTGGTCCCAAGCTTGCGCAGCCATGTCTCATCTCTCATGGGTGTATGTGGCCCTAGCTTCAAATAAAAATCCTGATGCCCATCCATGGGAGAATTCTCCACCCCAAGTGACCAAACTAGTCCTGCAGTCACAGGAGACAGAGCATGACACACTCACCTCCAGCCTGGAGAGGTCAGGGCAGAGCCAGAAGGAGAGTGGGGGGCTGGGGTATTCAAAGGGAAGTAAGGGAAGGTTTCCTGAGGAGAGGGCACGGGAGCTGAGCTTAGAGAGTGATGGAAGGGATACTTGGAACCCAGGGAACAGCACATTCGAAGGTTCAGAAGCCATCCTTGGGGCGTATAAAGGGTGGAGGTTGGGGGGCGGGGTAGGGGAGATGAGACTGGCAATGTAGGCAAGTGCCATCAAGAAGGCCTTCCAAAGGAGATGAGCAGGGATGGCAAGGAAAGGTCCTAGGGTGGTTAGAATCCGCTGGGCTCAGCAAGAAGTGTCTGAGTGGAAGGGGTGAGATATAAGGCCTGGAGGCCAGGGAGGAGGCCAAGGTTATTGTCTAGTACCTTCAGGGCTGATGTAGCCTTCTCCCTGCACAAAGTGCTAATTACCCACAATAACCCTCCTCCTCTTTTCCATAGAAATACATTTACAGCTGGGCCCAGGGCTGTGCAGCTTAAGACTACTTTTCCCAGACTCCCTTGCAGCTAAGTGTCCACGTGATTAAGTTCCAGCCAATAGGATGTGAGTGAAGTACTGTAAGCAGCTTTCAGGTTAGACCCTTAACCAAGAGGGTGAGCCCCCTCCCTTGCCACCTTTTCTTCCCTTGACGGCAATGCAGATGTAATGGCAATCCTCCAGCAGCCCTCTTGGGCTGCACAGGGAGAAAGGCAGAGCAACAAGATGGAAGGAGTTCAGACCCTGGTGACTTTGGAGCCACCATCACAAACATTGCTGGGGGACAGAGATACATGTCCATCTTGTGTAGGCCACTGGCCTCTGGGTCCCTCCAAGGCACTCCTCCCCAACCCTCAGCCCACCACTCACTTCATTGGACTGGCGGATGGTCCGCAGGGGAATCCACACGGTGCCCACCATTGTGTCCCAGATGAGACCCTTGTTCCACACCTCCACTGTCAGCCCCAAATCCAGGCGGTTAATCTCGCTGTGGAGAGAGGGGAGGGACATGAAGGGGTAGGAGTGAGGGCGTGAAGTCTCAGAAAAGTCAGTTCACCTGCCTTAGGACATGCAACCAACTGGAATTCAAACCCAGGCCTGGGTGAGTCTTACCAAGAAGATAACACAGTGGTTCTTGTTTTACAGAGGGGAAACTGAGGCCAAAGGGTTAAGTTACATGCTCAGGGTATCACAGCAGAACCAGGATTACAAGCAGGAAGGAGGGAGTGGGGAAAGATAACACACATCTCCTACATCCCCAACTCCCTTGGCTCATCCTTGAGCCCTTAGACCCTGAGAGTACTGGCTAAGGGAGGAAGAGGCTCAAACACCCACTGTGGCTCCCTATTACCCCAGGATAAGGACATTCCGGATGCCTCCATCCTTCCCAGAGTCACCTCTATCCAATGATATGGGGACACCCCTGAGAACATGAATGATACCACCTCTAAGCACTTTCCTTGCAGGACCCACCCTGGAAATATGCAGATTTGGGGGAAATCCTTGGTGAATGTCCAGTTCACTGAATTTACCAATTTACCAAAGATTTATCTTAAGGATTCTCTTTACATATAGCTATGACCTAGTCATTCAGTAACTGGCTTTCAGGAAGTTGAGGACCACACTGTCTCTCCCCCTTCATATCTTCTCTAGAATTGTAGGGCCTGCTGCTCCCCTCTTTCCCCAAATTCCTCTGTTCCAAGATCCCAACTCTGAGTTCTCTCATAGCCTCCACCACTGCTAGTCCTCAGCCAAGCTCTGCTCAAGGATTTGAGGGCTGCTTGGGTCCAAATCTCAGCTCTGCCAAGTATAGGCTGTGTGACACTGAGCAAGTGGTTTTGCCTCTCTGGTCCTCTGTTTCCTCTTCTGTAAAATGAGGATTAGAAGAGCACCCTCCCTCCCAGGGCTGTGGGGAAAACTGATTTAATCAAAGCCTTAGAAAAGGGCATAGAACTAGTTGTTGGTCATCATCAGAGAAGATGGGATGTAATATGAGGCCCTGAGTGGCTCCAGGTTGAGGGGAGGATCCAGATCATGAATTCATTCAGTTATTAGGCAAATATTTATTGAGCCACCTACTGTGTGCCAGGCCTTGTGCTTGGCATGGGGGGTGAGACTAACAGTGGAGACAGAGACCAACTGGGCCCTAGCCTCCTAGAGCTCACAGTCCGGGGTCAGGGGCCAGAAATGTGTCGAGAAATCACACAAATGACTAAAGTGATAATTGGTGGCTAGGCCTGAAATTACTCTCCAATCACAGCTTGGGGATGGTGGTCAGGGAGGGCTTCCCTGAGGAGGTGACTCAGTGGAGATTCGAAGTACGAGAAGGACCTTGCTGGGGGGAGCGGGGAGGAGAGAAGAGCAAGTGCAAAGGCCCTAGGACAGGAACAAGCTGGACATGTTGGAGGAATGGTCCAGTGGTGGAGGTGGCTGGGGCAGGTGAGCCAGGAGAGATGGAGGGAGATACTGGCAGCTCACAGGGGCCAGGCCTGGAAAGAGGGTGTTGTGGAGAGGAGTGTGGGTTTTGTTCTGAGGTTCACAAGCCATGAGCCACGGGCAAGTTTAGAGAGTGACAGGATGTGATTTGCAGTTTTAAAAATATCCCCTTGGCTGCCTGGAGGAGAACAGATTGCTGGGAGGCAGGAGGCGGGCAGCAGCAGGAGGCCAGGGGCGGAGGCTGGTGGGGCAGCGGGGACTTGGCTGGTGGCCATGGAGATAAAGAGAAGCAACTGGATTTAGGAAGTGCTTTGGAGGCAAAGCTGGTGGCTGGACATGGGGCTGAGGGAGGAGGGAGTGGAGTCCCAGACGACACGCAGGTGTCCAGCTCTGCTCTGTGGGACCAGCAAGGTGCCAGGCCATGCTAGCCCAGTCACTGCAGACTCACAACATGAAATCCTGCTCCCAGCTGGGCTGGCTGCCCCGCACAGCGATGGTCGTGCTCTTGACATTTTGAACCTTCAGGGTCACGTACGTGTTGAATTTCTCTGTAGTGGTGAGAGCAGGGGTCAGCACAGGAACTCAGGGACCCCCCCATCCCCCTTCCCAAGCTCTAGATGACCCTGCTGTGATGCCCCAGGGTCTCCGTGTACTTGGGGCCACAGTCCAATAATGATGTCCAATATACTGAGCTGTTTTTTTGCCTATACCCCAGAGTCCCTCCCTGCCAGTCTCTCAGAGTGCAAGGGAAGGGCCTTGGTTCAGGGAGATGTTAGGCATCAGGGATGTCTAATCTTGCTGCTTAGAAATTACTGTGTACAATAGCCTTGGTTTTTAGCTGGGAAGACTGAGGCCCCAGATAGTGGAACAAAATTGACAGTAAGAAACTCCCTTCACTCTCTGAGCATCACTTTTCCCACCTGTAGCCTGATCTAAGCATCCCCACCCTGTCTCTCAGGATCCTGGGAAGGGCCCCTGGTTTAGGGTGAGCACCACCTCCATTAGATTCTCCAGGAGATGGCTGAGGAGACTTTGGGATCCAGGACAAGTCTGACACTCTGTGATGCTCAGCAGACATGCAGCCCAAGTCCCCTATCACTGGCTCAGACCCCCTCCCCTATCTCTCCAAGACATAGATGGACAGACAACACAGGAACAGGGTAGGAATAGAGGCCACTTACCTTGGGCACCATCAAACTTGGCTTTTTTGACTGTGGAGAGAGACAGAGATAGGGAAGGGAGATGGGGAGAGAGTAGGGAGAAGACAGAGACAGAGACACAGAGAGACACACCAAAATAGAAATATAACAAGAGAGACAGAAGGGGGAGAGACACAGAAAGAAAGAGACAAAGAGGAAAGGCAAAGATAGAGAGCAAAAGAGATCAAGAGACCAAACAGAAAACAAAAACAAAAGCAAGATAAAGAGATGAGATCAGAGACAGAGACAAAGAGACAAGGAAAGGAAGAGAAACAGGAAGGAGTGGAGGGAGGCAGGGATGAGAGGGAGAGAAAGAAGCCATCAGACAGATGAGCACAGGCAGACCTAGGGGTTGAAGGAAATCTGGACACTGGGCATAATTTCTGCCCCTCTTCCCTCCCCATCAAATTCCCCCAAAGCTCCCCCACCTCCAGCTGTGCCCTTACCCACAATCAAACAGGATTCAAAAGAAGGAGCTGGGCAGGGGACAGGAGAAGCCTCCCACAGGAAGCCATCCAAGATTGCAGCCAAGAGAGAACAGTTAGGGAGGGAGAGAGAGAGGAGAAAGGCAATCTCTGATGACCCCCTCCACCTGTCAGACCAGTGAGACTTCTCCCCCAATTATCCAGCTCATTCTGTCCTACCAAATGTTCCAGGGGTTTGAGGTCTAATATTCAAAGGGGACTGGGCGAGGTGGAATGGAACAGCCCAGAGAGCTGGCTCTGTAGTGCCCACAGAGACATCCCAGCCTTGGCTGGGATGTTGTTAGAGCTTGTCCAGCCCAACTTGCTTATGAAAGATGAATCCCAAATATACGTCAGGGTCCCACGTGGTCCAGTCTCTTTATGTTTCACATCACCCCACAGTCCCAAGTGACTTGAAGCAATTCCACTCTTTACTGGCTTTTCTCACAGGATATTAAACTTACTTTCAACATCTCTCGCATCCTGCAGCTGCCCCCAACATCTTTTTCCACCATTCACTCTGTCTCCACCCAAAACTGGCTCCCAAACTGAGCCCTTTCTCCTGCTTTCCACAATTCTCCCTTTCTCCTTTTCAATGAATGTTTCTCTTTGTGTAGGCAATACAGGCATATTTTACAAAATCCAAAGCAACCCAGAAATTGGCATACAATGAGAATAAGGCTCTTTTCTACCCCAGCCCTCACAATCCCACCTGGTGCAATCAACATTACCAGTTCCTTGTAGTGGATAGAGATAGACAGTTTCTGATTCGGCGATCGTGTGCATTTTGTGCATTATTTTATTTCCTACACAAATGGCAGCATTCTACACCCTCTGTAGAAACTTTCTGTTTTAAAGAGTATGTGCAGGTAAGTTGAAGGGTAAATTCCTAGAAACAAAATTGTGTTTCTATTCTCTCTTTTCTTTTGAGAGTCAAGTTCAGCCCTTTTTCAGGCAAATGCCGTGGCCTCCCATCTTGGGTTCATGTCTCTGTCCTCATCACTTGAGTTTCTGTCTTGCAAAAGAACCGGAATGAAACCAGTGAAGAGAGAATTCCCATCAAGGGTGGGGAACATGGAGTAGTTCTAAACACTCATCAGTAAATACTGTTTGTTCCTGTTGCAGACAGACGGTGTGCTTGTCTGGTGGTAGTGGGGTGGGGGGGCGGGGGATCAAAGCTCAGAAGCACTGAGTTGCAGAGCAGGAGAGAGAATGATCACCTTCCTATGCCAATGCCAACGCCCCCAAGAAGACCCAAACTTTAAATGCAAGTAGGTTGTGCATCGTACTCATCACATCTGGGTTTGGGTTTGAGAGGTTAGAGTGCAGAGGTATATTAGGAGTGATGAGCACCATTTCAGCATGGAGTCAGACGAGCCAGGTTCAGCTTACAGTGCTGTGTGAAACTGGGCAACTGAATCCCCATCTCTGGGCCTCCATCTCTCTCTCACTCCATCTCTCTCTTTCTGTTTTTCTAGATCTGGCTTTCTCTCTGTCTTTTATCTTTGTGTCTCTGTCTCCCTTCCTCCCACACCCCCAAATCAGTCACCATGTGCTATCTTCCTTACCTTCCTGTTCAAGGCACATAACTGCATGTGCAAAGGCCCCCTTCTCTTGAAGGCATGCTCCGCTCCTGTCGCACTGGCTCCCTCTCATACCCTCAGCCCCACTCAGCCCACAGGGAGCTCAACTGCCCAGCCCCTCAACCCTGGGGCTGAGTGAAGCCCAGGGACACTTCGGACTGTACCCGGTAGGAGCTACAGACCTCCCTCAAGTAGGCCATGGGGGAGCTCCTGCTTGCACACCTGGTGACTGTGAAGCTGGGAGTAGGGATGAAGCAGAGGCAGGGGTAGGGCAGGGAGGAGGAACGGTGAAAGAGACACAGGCTGAGAAAGTCACACACACATGGAGGGATCAACATGGGGAAAGAGAGGCAGGGAGGAAGAGGAGGGGGTAGACAACAAGTCATAAGAGTCAGAGACAGAGACACAGAAAGAGAGAGACACACAGGTGTCCTCTAGGGAAGACCAGCAAAAAGGAGAGGCAGAGTGGGGAGAGAAGGGCTGGAGGGAGAGATGAGGGGCTGATTGGTGTCTAGCCAGGCCTGGCCTGGGCCCCGGCCCACAGCTCCTGCTCTGTAACCCTTTTTACAGACCAGGGAGAGAGCTCAGAGGGGAGGCCATTCATCCACTGTCTCCTCCATCCTCTCCTCCTGGTGGGGGATGGAGTGTCTCTCTGTTTCCCTCCTCCTGGTTCTCTTTCTCTCCCCCCCTCCCCCATCTGTCTCCATCTCTCTCATCCCCACTCCCTCAGATTGCCCGCTTTCCTCCTCCTTAAGCCTCAGTGGGCCGGAGGGTAGTGAGCTCCACCAGCGGTGGAGTGATGGGGGTGGGGACACTCTAGCTCTGACAGCTGAGGCCAGTCTCAGGCTCCCAGACCCCGTCAGTGAGTCCAGGATGAGGACATCAATGTATGTTCATCAGTGGGAACTCAGAGGGAGGAGGGGGAGACTCCGAGTGAGATAGGGGGCTCAGAGAGAAAATGAGGAATCAAGGAAGGGGCTCTGGGTAGGGAGGAGAACTCAGAGGGGATATTGGATATGGGGCAAGGGGTAGAGGAGAGAAGACTAGAGAAGGAAGCTCCGGAACTGGAGGAAGGTCTTGGTGGGGGAGGGGGTCAGGAAGGCCGAGGAGCCCGTGTCATCAGGGGTGGGGCTCAGAGGAGGAGGGGGCTCAAGAAGGGGCTGGTGGGGCTCCAAGAAGGAGCCAAGTCTATCTCCTTCTGTCTTCCCCATCAGTAAACCGTCCGAGTCATTGTCGCCTTCACCACCATAGTCATCCCATCTCTGCCCTGCCACTTTCCCCCTGCTCTCTGGCGCCACTCAAGCTCGAGTGGAGCTGCAGTATTGGGGTCACCGGGGCGGAAGCACCACCCCTCCCCCGCGGGCTCCTGGTCACACGCACAAGGCTATTTATAAAGTGGGCACAGAGGACGTGGGCAACGCGACAGCTGGGAGTGGCGGGTGGGGGAGGAGCCCACTGCCAGCCCCTCTGACAGGCCAGCAGGAGATGCCCCCTCACAACTGTCAGCAGCCAGCGTGGCCCTTGGGGGCCCCATCAGCGCTGACTGATTAATGTGGTTACACGGCACATGCTGGCCAGGGCAGAATCAGTGACGGTGGGAGGAGGGGCTCAGGCTGGGGACTCCCATAGGCTCAGCCAGGCTCTGGACTTCAGTTTCTGCATCTGGGAAATGGAGTGAAGTAGGGCTTTCTCCCCTTCCTCCTCCTCTCTTATTCCCTCCTCTTCCTGCTCCCTTTTCCTTTTCGTCATTATTAGAATCGGCATTATTACGCTGTTGTGACCAATATTTTTATAATTACCATTACCAGTATCATTACTATTTGTATTATTTGGTTGGGTTCTAAGTGTGCCCCTGGTCTGGATGACCCTGGATTCTAATTGAGGCGAATTCCAGTCTTTGGGCACCTCCTCCATGACCTCCCAGGCCTGGGGTGGGGGCGGATGAAGAGTAGATTCCAACCATCAAGGGAAGCACCTGAAAGCCCCTCTTCGGGACATGCTTACTGGGTGTCAGAAGACACTACAAGACAGGGGAGGAGGGGAGGGAAACAAAGAATTCAGAAATCGATTTTAAGATGTTTGGTGGTTTTACATGTGATGTCGATGGCCTACATGAGCCTTGTGGTAAGGACACTGGTCCCACTGGCTTTCATCTGGGAGAGAGGGCTCTTACCCTCCATTGACAGAAATAAGCCAGAGCCGGACAGAAGACCACAGTGTAAAACATAAACACGCCGAGAACTTTGACAGAGATTTCTGTCTGTGTTATTTACTGGGTGCCGCCACTTAGAACTAAGCCTGACATATAGTAGGTGCTCATTAAATAGTGTTCAATGAAATAATGACAGAATTTCCTCCTCCAGCAGCCCTGTCCTAGGATCGGCCCCCTCTGCACGGGCGGGCGCTGTCTCTGCTCTGTCCATGGTGCTGAACCCCTGTCCCTGCACGTTTACCTCCAATGAACTTGGCACACGTTTTTACCTCCTGTGTACTACTGAGCCCTCCTCAGGCCTGAGAACGCAGTGAGTTTTCAGGAAATGTCCTACACCCACGGAAAGCTTTTAGTCCCCATTAATAAAAACATCATCATTGATTCTTCCTGTCATTGGCTCACACTTACGGAACCTTTCCACAGGCCAGGCATCATGCCAAGGGCTCTTCGTGCCTCACCTCACTGGAGAGTTCTAGCAAATCTAGGCAGTGGGTACTATTAGTGTGTCCATTCTACAGATGGGCACACTGAGGAGTGAAGAGGATACAGGACTTTGCCAGGAAGTGGTGGTTTTAGGATGGTGGACTGGGGATGTCCTGGTTGGCACCTCACAGAGTAAGCCCATTGTATGTGGGAGGCAAGTGAGGTACAGCTTAGGGAAGGGGCTAAGACTGCAGCCCTGAAGATGAGTCAGAGCCAACCCTGGAGAGGCATCCTATGAGTATAGTGAGAGCAAAGACCCAGATACAAACTCCCCTGGCTACATGGTATCAGAAAGAGGGCAGCCAGGGGCAGAGGGATTTGTGAAGGCTTCCTGGGAAGGGAGCAGCAGAAAAGCCGCAATGAATCGAGGAGAAATGACACGTCTCTTTACTGAGTGGTTGAAGGAAGAAGGTGCTCCCAGGACAGATTCTCATCCCATGAAAGGGGCTTGGTTTCCCTTCTTCCAAGAAGGGGCTCAACTTCACCCCTAACTCCCAGTAGGCTGTGGAGTCAGACAGCTACACCTCTGGCTCTGGAGCACTAAGCAAGTTGTTGAACCTCCCTAAGCCTTGGTTTTCCTCATCTGTAAAATGGGTTTCTGTGAGGATTAAAGAAGGCAATGGGCATAAAAGTCCTCAACACCATACTTGTAGAATGCCAGATAAATGGGCTTGTTGTTGATATTATTAGTTTTGAGGCAAACTCACCCTCACATGCATTTGCTAATTGTATGCAATAGTCATTCATGAAATATTTATGGAGCCTTTAAAAACATTGAGTGGCCTGGCAAAATGCTGTAAGGCACATAGAAAGGTCTAGACCTGGGGCACCTGGGTGGCTCAGTTGTTAAGCATCTGCCTTTGGCTCAGGTCATGATCTCAGAGTCCTGGGATCGAGGCCCGCATTGGGCTTCCTGCTCTGCGGGAAGCCCTGCTTCTTCCTCTCCCACTCCCCCTGCTTGTGTTCCTCTCTCTCTGTGTCTCTGTCAAATAAATAAAATCTTGGGGCGCCTGGGTGGTTCAGTCTTTAAGCGTCTGCCTTCAGCTCAGGTCATGATCCCAGGGTCCTGGGATCGAGCCCTGCATCGGACTCCCTGCTCAGCAGGAAGCCTGCTTCTCCCTCTCCCACTCCCCCTGCTTGTGTTCCCTCTCTTGCTGTCTCTCTCTCTGTCAAATAAATAAATAAAATCTTTGAAATAAATAAATAAATAAAATCTTTTTTTTAAAAAAAAAAAAGAAAGGTCTAGACCTGAATTCCCACCACCATGATTTTGCACGTGCTATTCCCTCCACTTTTTTAGAGCACTATGTCCCTCCTGCTTAGCTCCAAAAGAAGAGAGCCCTGGATATCACCTTCCGTGGCTCCCTCAGCCCTTCCCTGTCCCTCCCACTCTGACCCCACCAGCATGAAGCCAGGAATAGCGCTGGGTCTCCAGGAACAGTGGGTGGCATAGAGTAGGTGCTCAACTAATGCTTGCTGAGTAAATATATGAATGAATTCATGAAGGAACCAGGTAGCACTTGGCATTTGCAGCCTCAGGATTCTGCCAAGCCCTAGCAAGTGGATGGCGGGAGGGGGGAGCAATGGGACTCCACATAAAGAAATGACAGGGGGTAGAGGCAAGACCTGTATAAGGTGGTCTCCTATGTGTTGGTGTCGGGTATGTATGCAAGAGTTTGCATGTGTGTGTGTTTGCATGTGTATTTGCTAGTGTTACCAGGGCAGGCAGGTGTGTGTACATGGGTGTGTGTGTATGTTTTCATGGAGGGACATGTGCTTATGTGTACCATCTGAATGCAGGTGATGATCTGTACATATGTGTCAGGGAGTACAGTGTGACTGTATGTGGGACATGCTAGTATGTGTGCGTTTAGGTATACGAGGACTTGCAGGTGATATGTTAATTAGAAACATATGTTGTGGTATGTGTATGGATATGTGTGTTATACAGTTGTATGGAATGTGTATTTGTTTACTTGTGTGTACATATCATCATTCACCTGTTCAAAGGGGCTGCTTTGAATGTCCGGGCAAGTGTCATCATGCACATACACATGTGGCCTTAGCATGTGCTCAGGTGTACACATACGTATTTCTTGGGATTGGGGCCCTAACAGGTATATGTAGGTACATGCTTGTATGTCAGGGCATGAGTGGATCTTTATGTGACTTGGATATTGTGAACATGCATCAAACATGCCTGGATACACCCATGTCTGTGTACATGCATGTGGACACACACGCCTATATTTCGGGGGCCATGTCTATGTGGCAGAGTGGCTGTGTCCTATATACATGTGGGGCTATATATATGTCCTACATACATGTTCACACACACATATGAATGTGCACATGTGTCCATAAGTGTCATGGGCATGTGGTCTTCATGGAGCCTTGGTGGATCCTGGGCATTTCTGTCCACACAGGGTGAGTCTGTGTATGGACGTTTCAGTGCATGTATGTACAGATATGGGCAAATATGAATTGGCCTCTGGTTGGAGGCATAGGTATCTCCTCATCTCCAGGGATGAGCTCAGACCCATGGAAAGCCCTCCCAGCCCCGCTCCACTGCTCCCCTGCCCCCATCCTCTCCCATTCACCCCCTTGCCCCCTGGCCTTCCCACTCTGGACATCACCCCTGCCCCTCCCAGTATTTCACCCTCTATTTCTCCTGGTCTCCCCTCTGCCTCTCCCAGCGTTATTCCACCCCCCATACGTCTCACGGCTTTATTTCCCACCCCACCCATAGACTTGCCCCTCCCAGCAACACCCCTCCACTCTGCTGGTGATTCCCTTCCTGTAACTTCCACAGAATCATCCAACACAATTCTTCCCACAGGCCTCCGTTTCTGGAAGCCTCACCCTTCTTACTGCCCCCCCCCCCTTCACACCACCTCCGCAGTCCAGCCTCCGGTTTGCGTCAGAGTTAATGGTGAAATTCCTCCCCCCCCCCCCACACCACTAGGCAAACCTTCCAGAGGAACCCAACTTAGAGGATGTGTGGCAGGGTAGGGTGGGGGTGGGAGGAGCAGAGGAGAGAATCAGCCAGGAACACTCACATTGACCGCCTCCTCCAGTGCCAGCCGCGCCCCCCACCCCCGCCCCGGCCCCCACAGCTAGGCAACTTAGAGGAGGGGAAGAAGCCAATAGGGGGTTTGGACGTTCACCTCCGCCTTCCCTTAGACCTAGCCCAGGGAGGTTCCAGGGGGTCCTTTTCACCTCCCCACTCCCTTAACTCTATAGGTCAGGGGGTAGTTGGCTTTTGATCTATGGGCCCTTCTGTCACCATCAGGCACGGTCGGGACCGAGCTCTGATAAAGCAAGTCCCTGTCCCTTTAAGAACACCCGCGTCCACGCCTGCCCAGCCCCGCGCGATAGCACTCTGGAAGTCGCCGCGGCAGGGAGCGGGCGGGCGGGGCAGGGTTTGTGAATGGAGCGACAGAGGGGGAGGGGAGGAAGGGGGAAGGGCGGCGGGGGCGGTTCCCAGATCTGGGCCTGTTCATTGGGGTCCAGGCGGAAGCGGGGTTCAGCTCTCTCTGTTTGTCTCTCTCTCTCACACACACACCACAGTCCCCGCTGCCTAAAGTCTCTTGAAGCCTGACATCTCAGGCCTGACCAACACACTTCTTCCCCGACCTCAGCCTTCTTGAAGGGAGTAGGTGTGAGTGAGGGGGGTGGACCCCAGTCCTTGAAACCCCAGGTTGAGACCTCTATAAGCCTCGAACCCCTGTTCGCCACCACCACCTCCGCCCAACGTCTCCCAGAGCCTGAGTTCTTAACTGGAATGCCCAGGACGCCTGAGTCCTGATGGGCTGGCTTCGCCCCCACCTCAGCCTCAGAAGTGGGGGGCAGCGATCGTGCCCCTCCTGTGTTTCTCTCCTCCCCCCCCCACCCCAACGCAGAGCGTGGGCCTGGGCGTGGGCCTCGGTGCAGATGGCATTCGGGCCCCAAAATAGCTCCACCCCACCTCTCCCTCCCTCGCTTCGGCGCAAAGTGGGTGAGGTGAGGATGCCGGGACGGGTGCAGACCGGCACTGCACCCCGAGGGGTCGGCTCCCTACGGGGAAGGCCGGTTACGCGTTCCGGAGTGCGGGAGGGGGCGGGGAGTGGGAGGCCCTCAGGCGATTCCCCCTACCCCCATTCGGGAGTCCAAAGAGTTAACGGGAAAAACGCCCCCAGGCCCCAGTCACAACCCTCTCAGGACGTAGGGAAGGGTCTTCTCCAGCCCCTTCCCAGGACTCTTCACACCCAAGGCTGGGAGATTCCTAGAGCTCGCCGTTGTCCCGATGGTCAAACCCCCTTACCTAAATCTTACATGCTCAGGGCTTGGAGACCCCTCCCTCTGCACCCCTTTTTGAATTCCGAGCCTAGTCCACGTCCCTGAGAACCCATAGCCCAACCTACCGCACAGGACTCCTTCCAAGTACCCTACACGATTCATTCGAACTACCCAGCCCAGCCCCTTCCACACCTAATAACCTGGTCTACACAGACTCCCCAGTCTAGATTAGGAAGCCAGATAGAGCCTCAGATCCCTGCTGGCGTCCACAAGGGCCTCCGCGTTCAGCCACGTCCGTACGACCCCCAGCAGCGGCCACCAGGACCCCCTGAGAACACAGTTACATCTGCATGGATCACCCCCTCAGGCGCCCTGACGCGTCTACAAGGGCTAGCTCCCCTCTCAAAAGTCCAGCCGCGTGTACTCGGGTCACCCCCTCAGGAGCCCAGCCGCATCCACACGGACCCCGAGCTCGGTCCGGGTCCACGCCGGTCCCCAGCCCCGCAGCCTCGCCTCCTACCTCCAACGCAAAGTAGAGACATGTCTCCGGGGTCGCCGGCGGGCCGGCTCTGTCAGGTAGAGTTTAGCGGCCACTGGGCTAGGGCATGGCCGGGACTGCAGCCCGCGCTCAGCTCACGCCGGGGCCCGGCCTCCGCCGCCGGCCATCTTGGTTCAGCACCGGGGGTGCGGACAGCTCCTGACGTGGTGCTGATGTCGGGCTGGCGGGCGGAGCCCAGGGACGCCTGATGGGGCGGGGGCGCTGCAAGCTTGGGGGAGCTTTAAAGGGCCGGAGCCGGGTGGGGGGTTCCCCGCCCCCAGGGCTCCCCGACCAGAGGGACAGAGAGCGGTCCCACTCTGGTTCCCTACTGGTTCTGTGTGCTTTCATCTCTCCTGGAGTCGCTCTGTGGGTTCTCTGGCTCTCTCTTGAGTCCTTTGCTGTCTCTCTGCTTTCCCTCTATTCCTCTGTCTCTACGTCTGTGTCTCTCATTGCCTGTTTCTCTATCTCTTTCTCTCCCTGTGTCTATGTCTTCCTCTTTTTGTCTCTCCATCTCTTTTGTTCATGTGTGTCCCTCTGAGCCTCTCTCAGTCCAGTCTCTCTGTGTCTCTGCCACTCCCTGTCTAGGTCACCTTCTGAGTATCTGTTTCACTCTTTAAGCCCCTCAGCCTGTGGATCTTTGCACATATTCAGACTGGATCCCATCCTTCACGCCCTTGTGTAACTGGCAAACTCCTATTCATCCATCAATATCCGGTTTGAACATCTCCTCTTCCAGGAAGCTTTCCCTGACTCCCCCACACTGATCCTACCTTCTGAACTCCCCCAGCCCCTAACTCTTCCCCTGACTCAGTCCTCATCCCAACACATCTCTGCTCTCCAGGCCTCCCCACTTACCTAGCTGGGCAGTTCCATGTGGGTCATGTTCCTGTAAACCTGTTCACCGTGTATCTCCAGTGCCTAGAACAGCACTAGAAGCTGAGCCCCACAGAATCCCCTGCCCCCAGCACACATGAAGGAGCTTCACAAACAGAATGTACATGGAGTTAGTTGCAAGTGAGGCCCGTGCTTAAAAGCCAACTCTGCCTCTAATCTCTAGCATGACCTTGGGCAAGTCATGTGACCACTCTATGCCTCATTTTCCCAATCTGTAGAATGGGGACAATAACAGGACTTGCCTCACAGAATTGCAGATGTTATGTAAGCTAACACCTTAAAGAACTTGGAATAGTAATGTATATTGTTACCCATTGTTGTAACTCTCACTGCTTTTCTAATTTTTATTACGTATTGATTAGGCCTAGGTAAGGAATAAGGGGCAGCAATGACAGGCTTGAATAAAGAACATTACCACCACAGTCCAAGACCCCATGGGCCTCTCCCCTATTTCGTCCCTCCCTTCAGAAAGAACTACCCCAAATTTTCTTCTTCATTCTCCTACTTTTTTTACAGTTTTACCACAAATTTATCAACAAACAATGCACAGTGTAGTTTTGTGTGTTTGGGGACTTTATGTAATGAGAATAAAATGATCACATATTTTACTAACCTGTTTTGTTTGGTCAACATAATTCTGCTGATATTCATCCACGTTTCTGTGTGTGCTGTAATATATGCATATTTCACTACTCTACAGTATCCTCTTGATTTACTATACCTTTGATTATTTATCTATTTTCCAGTTGGTGGACCTTAAGATTGCTTCCATTTTGAGTTTATTCCAAAAAAAAAAAAAAAACCCACAAACTTTTATAATCATTCTCAGAAATGTAGGCTGGTGCACATGGGTAAGATGGCTGGATTGTAGGACACCCACATGCTCAGCTTTACAAGATAACATCAAATTGTTTTTTGACATGCCTCCAACTATTTTTATCACACTCGCACCATATAAGCATTCAGTTGCTCCACACCCTTATCAACACTTGGAATACTCCCAGTTTTTGAATCATGCCAAAATGGAGGGGGAGAACTGTTGCTTCCTTTTGGTTTTGATTCCTTTCTTATTGCTCACGAGGGGGAACTTTTCATGTGATTATTGGTTTCTTCCTAGGGTGAAATGCCTGTTCAAGTTTTTAATCTGTTTTTTAAAAGATTTTGTTTATTTATTTACTTGAGAGAGAGAGAGCACACATACGAGGGGGAGAGGGGCAGAGGGAGAGGGAGAGAGAGAATCTCAAGTAGACTCCCCGCTGAGTGCAGAGCCCAACGATGCAGGGCTCGATCTCACAGCCCTGAGATCATGATCTGAGCTGAAATCAAGACTCAGACACCCAACCGACTGAGCCACCCAGATGCCCCAATAGTCACATTTTTAAAAATGGATAAAAAAGGGTGCCTGGGTAGTTCAGTCAGTTAAGAGTCCGACTCTTTTCTTTCTTTCTTTCTCTCTTTCTTTTTCTTTCTTTCTTTCTTTCTTTCTTTCTTTCTTTCTTTCTTTCTTTCTTTCTTTCTTCTTTCTTTATTTCTTTTCTTTCTTTTTTGAGTCTGACTCTTGATTTTGGCTCAGGGAGTCTACTTGAGATTCTCGCTCTCTCTTTCCCTCTGCCCCTCCCCCCCATATATTTTCTCTCTCTCTCTCAAATAAGTAAATAAATCTTTAAAAAAAAATAAAATGTGCTGTCATTTCCTACTGATGTGCGTTCTTTAACCATATTACATATGAATCCTTTGTTGGTTTAATGTGTGTTGTAAAAAAAAATCTCCAATTTTGTGGCTTGTTTCCATTCTATTTCTGGTATCATTTTCTGAACGGAGTCTCTCAATGTTTTAAATAAACTTTTTATTTTGGAAAATTTTTAGACATACAGAAAAGTTGTAGAGGCACTGAACTGTAAAAAGGTACAGAGTATTTTTATATACTCTTCACCTAACTTGCCCTAATGTTAACATCTAATGTGGTTACAGGATATACATGTCAAAAGGAAAACATTTACATTGGCACTTATTATTAACTAAATTGTAAACTTTATATATCACCAGTTCTTCCACTAATGTTCTCTTCCTAGTCCATGATCTAATCCAGGACCTTACACTGCTTTTAGTCATCTTATCTCCTTGGTCTCTGCCTATCTGTGAGTTTCTTAGTCTTTCCTTATTATTCATGACCTGGACACATTTAAAGAGTACTCATCAGGTATTTTGCAGAAATTCCCTTGATTTGGGTTTATCTGATATTTCCTCATTATTAGACTGGGGTTATGGGCTTTGGGGGGAAGATTGCAGAGATGGGGTTCTCTCATTGTCACCGGAGTTCCTTGATGCCCACATGATATCGCAGGGGATGTTAACCTTGATTGTCTGAGTAAGATGCTGTCTGCCAAGTTTATCCACTGTCAAGTTATTCTTTTTCTCTTTCCCTACTCTGCTCTTTGTAAGCAAATCACTAAGCCCAGCCCACCCTCAAGATGAGGAAATTATGCTCCATGTCCTGGAGCAGGAGTATCTAGGAAGCTCTTAATTTTAAATTCCTTTTTTTATTGCTGTAAAATACGCATAATAAAATTTACCATTTTAACCATTTTAAAGTGTACAATTCAGTGGCATTTTTACATTCACAATATTGTGCAACCACTAGTTCTATCTAGTAATAAAACACTTCCATCACCCCAAAAGGAAACCCGTCCCCATTGGCAGTCACTTCCCATCTCCTCTCCCTCAGTCCCTGGCAACCACCAATCTGCTTTCTGTGTCTATGGATTTAATTTAAAATTCTTCAACTTAACCTATCTTTTCCTTTGCAGGAAAGAAAATAAGATGCTTTTATTTCCTCCTTACCAATTCTTGGGCCTTTCATTTGTTTTTCCTGCCTTATGGTGCAGGCCAGTACCTTCGGTACAATCTCACACACCATGGTAACTGACATCCTTGCCTTATCTGCCCATCTTAAACAGAACATTTCAATATTCACCACTAAATATATCTGCTGAGGTTTTTTTTTTAAGATTTTATTTATTTATTTATTTATTTATTTATTTATTTATTTATTTATTTATTTGAGAGACAGAGAGCAAAAGCCTGGGTGAGAGGGAGAGGGAGAGACTCTGAAGCAGACTCAGCACGGAGCACAAAGCCCCAATGGGGAGATGACAACAGAGCCTAAACCAAGAGTCAGATGCCTAACCTACTGAGCCACCCAGGTGCTCCCCCCCACCACCGCTAGAGGTTTTTAATGGAAAAATCAAGTTAAAGTGGTCCACTTCTCTTCCCCATTTGCTAGGATTTTTTGCTTTTATCACACGTGGGTGGTGAATTTTAGCAATTACATTTCCTGAATCAATTGGGATGCCTATATAACTTTTCTTGTTTAATCTCTTAATGTGAATTACATTCTCTCAATATGTTCGATATGCATTGGTCTCTCCTGTTCTGCCCTCTTTTACCCACATGTCATCTCCCTCTGTCAAAGTCTCTGATAAACTGATCATTCAGATCCAATTAATTTTTAAGCTCCACTGTCCCATTTTGCCCCCACCAACAGCTCTGCTAATTCCAAAGCTATTTATTTGAGCTATCCCAACCCTCCATTTAATTATGCCATGCTGCCTCCATCTTTCTCTTGCACTCTTTTTTCTGCAGCTCCCTCTTTCCCTGGCTCCTCTTACTATGCATCTACACTCAAATCTTCTGCAAACTCATACTCACCCTCTGTCTTTCCATCTCTCTTCTCTTGGCTTCTGATGTTTCATTCTCTTTACCATCCTATGAAATCCACAGAGAAGTCACTGAAAGACAAATAATGGGAGACAAGTACACAGACTGGTGAGAAGTACAAGTCCTCCCCCCCTCCATGCACACACAGGGGAAGAGACCCACACACACCAAAAACGAGCACATGCACACACACAAACACACACACATCTCCCAACCAATGAGCTCCTAGCAATCCCCAGGGGTCCAACTTGCCCATCTCCTATGCCAAGAGCTTTAGATGAGAAAGTTCCCTCTCCACAGCACCTATTGAGTTCAGCTTTTTTTTTTTTAAGATTTTATTTATTTATTTGAGAGAGACACAAGGAGAGAGGGAACACAAGCAGGGGGAGTGGGAGAGGGAGAAGCAGGCTTCCCGCTGAGCAAGGAGCTTGATGCGGGGCTCGATCCCAGGACCCTGGGACCATGACCTGAGCCAAAGGCAGACACGTAAGGACTGAGCCACCCAGGCGCCCCTGAGCTC